ATGTCTCTGTTTATTTCAACCATTTCCTCATATATGATGCCATTTCCTTAACTTTGTGTATGTCTAATATGAAGTCATAATCCTTCCCAGTTTTTAAAAAAATTATTGGGACCGTTGATGATGAAAGACTCTGAATCTACTCTTAACATGCTTAAATTATATTCTCAATTTAAGTTCTTACATTCTCAAAAAAAAAAAAAAAAAAAAAAAACTTTGTGTCTTCCTCTCATTTTATGAAGACTATGAATAAAGATAGTATTAACAACCCCCTCCCCTCCCCCCACCCCACTCCATCCCTTCCCCAGATATTTGAACCAACATTGTTTTTACCATATGTTCCCTTACATCAAATACACATATCAAATTAAAAGATACGCAAAAACAAACTAGTAGGAAGTTAGTTGTAAGAGTATATCCCTAAGCTATAGTTCCTGATGTGTCACAGTCCTCAATGAACAACTACCATTCTCCCACCTATGACTCCATTCAAAACAACTTCATATATTTACTACATGAACTTGGATAACCCTTCTACAAGCTACTATAGTCCAAATATAATAGCTTTAATATTATCACAAAAAGCTAGTATCTTAAGCATTGAGACAGCTTTATATTAGCTTGGACACCTACCAAGTTTTCACAATAAATACACTACGGTCAACGCGGATCCCGTATTTTCCCGCGCCCCCGCGATGGTGTTTTAATCCTTTCCGCGATACACCGTCGCGGTTTTATCATCGCGGTGATCGCGGGGACACGAGATTACCGTGACGGTGTGCTCTACCGTATTTTACTGAATGTGAAGTCGATAATCCTTAATGTCAAAGTAAGGATATTAAATTGTGAATATTTAAGATCGTTTTTTTTTAAAATGTGGCTTAAACATGTTAAAGTCATAGATGGCATATTTTTTATAAGTTCAGGCTTACTAAAATTAAAAAGGTCTTTATATTTGTTTTATTGCCTTATATAAAGATAGGACTTTTCTGTAAATTACACAATTTAAATCAATCGCGTTTTATAGATATTAAAAATTTAAAACAATAACTGATTTATTTTATACCAATCAGAGAGACAGTTTAAAGTCAATTTAATTATAGAAACGTGGGGTTATTCAAGTTCAAAATCGGCGAAAACTTTAATTTGAACGTAAATAACAAATATCATGTTCATCTACACTCAATCTCGTATTTTTATTTTTTTAACTCAGATACGCCATATATAGCTTTAAAATTCTAGAAATAATTTATAAAAAAAAAAATTTCTGTCTAAAGGGTGATATTTGAATGATACTTGGCATTTATTCTATCAAAATATTATCATTGTTGTAGTTTCTAATAAGTAACCTGAATTATATTGTGGAGATCTATAACTCAACATAATTTTTTTTATTGTAGTAAATATCGATTCGATTTATATTACGCCCTTTTTTCATCATAACAGTTTTTTCATACAGTATCACGGCAGTGGGTTTTTTTTCCGAATTGAATATTGCAATGTATATATAACTAAAAAAAAAATGAAAACACATAATTTCACGCCAAAATACCTCTCCCAACGTATTCAAATATTATTTATTTACAATAATCCCTAATATTTGAATTAACGATATTGATCACTACCTCATTTGTTAGACTTATGGGAATGAAAAAATGGATAACAGCTCTGTTCATCATTCTAAAAGATTGTTATTTCTATAAAGCTAAAAGAATTAAATGGTTGCGTTCTCAGCTGATAATTAAGCAGAGAAGTCATGAACTAAATAAGATGAAACTGACCAAACACGTGTACATGTATTACACAATCACAGCGTGTGCAGTGGGGCGTAGCTTATCCTATCGGTCGCCCACAATAAATTTTTGGGTTCTCGGAAAATTCACGAGATGATCAAGCCCTTTTACGTTAACCGTGATTTCAAGCCATAAAAACTGCATGTATTACATGACCATATTTCAGTAGCCGGTCTTGACACCTTGATCACCCATCATACATGTACTGTAGGTTATATCAACTGATCAAACGCAATCCTGAAATCACAAAAATATCGTTATACTCGTATAAAGAATTAAAAAAAAAAAGCAATAAAAGTCTTCTTTTTTATTGGTCGGCGACCTTGAAAAATTTGGGACTGTTAGAGTAATTATTGAAACCAAAGAGAAAGGTTTCACAAAACAGAAACTTTAAAATCATTTAAGGGAGTGGGTGTTAAATTACACACTGTAATTTTGGGTAGAGAAACATGAGGATTAGTTTGTGTGGGAGGGGATGGGGGTTAAGAATAAAAATCTAAAATAAACGGCGAGGGACATATCAGGAAACTTGTCTGTATGTTTATGTTTACACTATACTGTATATATTTATTTAATCAACACACTTCATGAATGCCCAAAATATACATAGCATATCTTTAGAAAATAATCAATAAATATGTACAGTACGTCTCATTAAAACCAGCCCCCCCCCCCCTTCTCCTATCGTCGTCGATTTTTGAATATGAGATACTTATTCAATCTATTTTTCTATGTAATATTAATGCATAAAACTTGCTGTTTGTTTAAACCTTTCAAATTCTGGAGGAATTCTGAATGAAATTTCATTTTTCTAATAGTTCCTGAGAATTTAATTTTGTATTGAATCAATGGAAAATGTTGTATAAAATAATTTGCCACTTATAAAATGGACAAATTATTTCATAGTTTGCGATGTATTTCAAGTTTTACGAAGCGGATTCCTATTCAATATGAATGCAAAATTTTGCATGTCCAGGTATACAATACAGGTAAATCACAACTTTAAGAAATCTAATCTATTGTTGTGCAGACGTATGTGTATATCTATTACATAACACTTCCTGTCTGTTTCAGTGCCGAGGTTCTGACTGTGCGTACTACAAACTCGAACCTAGCCCGGGGACACGAAGAACCCTCTGTCTATTCCAATTGTATTTTATCAGTGTAAAGTAAATTAAATTTCAAAATCGAATGTTGTATATTTGCACATGCTGTAAGATTCTCTGAGCTATTAATAACGTTTTTTGCCTGTAATTGAAGGTAAATAAATTACCCCCCCCCCCCCAAAAAAAAAAACCCAACGTAAATTCAGGAAGGGGTATCACATGCATGAACATAATGTGTGATGCCCAGAGCATGGGAAGTCAGTCACTAGAAAACAATTAACGAATGAAAACTTAAATAACTTTGAATCAGATTTAAATTTTTGAATTATCAGTTGATGTGGACCGAAAATTAATTCAATTTTTAAATCAAAATAGGGTGAAGCTTGCTATTTACGAAAAAACATGTATCTAAAGTAAATTAAAGTTTGAATGATAATATTTATAGACAGGATATATTTTTTAAATCATATTTTACACCCGAATCATAGTTTGTTTGTAATACCTGGATAAATACCGTACAAAGCGCACTAGATTGGAAGTCATGAAAAAGAGTCTAGAATTATAATACATGATGTACGTTCATACGTACTTTCTCAAGTTTAAAGTTTTCAAGGAAACTTGAATTATTAATAAGGAATACAGAAAAAAAATATCTATTCCTTTGAAGATTTTATTCTGAGCGCCTTTTTTTTTAAATACTAGTATTGCGACTATTTTACTTATTTAAAAATGGTTAAATGACGGAAAAGTTGTTTTCAATTGACAATTAAATCATTGAGTTATCGGATGATCTATAACTGTGATCTACAAAATTAATGCATATGTATATTTAAGAATAAGTTAAGAACAATAAATGAACACACAATTTATAATTAAATATCTAGTTGTCTCCATATCATGCATTCTTTCTTTCCTTTTCTTTCCTTTCTTTTTTTTATTTTTGAAAGAGGTGTGAAATAAGTAAAAAAGATAAAATAATCAAATATAAAAAGGGAGACCTAAATAACTGCTAAGACTGGTTTTATCCTTTTAATTTTTTTTTTTTACTTCTATTCATTCTTGTTCTGTTGTGTTTTTTTTTCCGTCGGGGGAGGTAACTCGCGTTCATGAAAAGAATAATTTTTTACCTGAGACGGATAACACAAACCGCGATGGTGTGGATTAGTTGAGGACCCGTACCGCGAGAACACGCGGTTTTACCTGAGTTACCTGTGTTAAACCGCGATCAATTTCACACCGCGAGGACTCGCGGTAAATACGGAAACCGCGTTGACTGTAGTGTAGAGATATAGTAATATAATGCAGCCACTAAACTTCTCATATCTGTATCTAGATTATATTACATCATAAAGATTTATAAGCAGTATTTGTTGAGTTCAGCAACCTTTTCGTCAGGAATAAATCATATTCCCAGACATTTCTCGGAGATATTAGAGAATTTAATCGGTGCAAACTATGCAATGCATCTCAAGGTTTTATCAATACATGTAATTTATCAACTTTTCTTGGCATTTTAAGTCTGAATTCTTTTCTACAAAAATCAGTGCAAAATAAAAACAGCAAATTTAAACAATTGTTTCCTTTTAGATAAAAAGAAATTCAGTGTATAGAAATTCTTTCATCTAACTTTTCTTCCAACAGGAAGGAGACACTGGTATAGAACAAAACTAGAGGTACTGTGAGCACCGAGCTCACAAAATGTTACCCCCCCCCCCCCTTCATATGAGTATAATAGCAAAGTCCATGTTTTGCAATGGGAAACCCCATATATCTTTTCGATCAAAACATAAAATAGGTGGACAATGGCACTATGTAAGAAAGATTCTGTGAAAGTCTCATTAAATTTTATTCAGTGGTATAAGATAAGAGGAGTTGCAGATAAGAGATGGGTACCCCACGTTTTACAGACACATGGAAAGAGGTACAGAAGGAAAGTGCACCCCATCACTATATACCCCCATTTTTCAAGTAAGGGGTACAATGAAATCTCAACAAAATACACTGGCATTAAAAATGGATGAAAAGAGTAACTTGAAGCTACCACTCGCAAGAAAGAGAAGGGAGGGGTGGGAAGGGATGGGGTGGGGGTGGAGAGGGGTCTCACCTCCTCCTTGGTACTGGTCACAAATGCATGACAGAACTGCATGCTGAGGTTAGCTTTGGGCTCTCTGGCCAGAAATGAAAACTGACAGAAATCAGGATCACAGGTAGCATATGAAATCCTCTTCAGAGCATGGGCCATGTAGACACTCTAGTAAACAAAAATACGAAACATGTAATTACATTCTATACTCAGAGCATGGGCCATGTAGACACTCTAATAAAGAGGTAATACATGTATATGTAATTATATTCTATACTCAGAACATGACCACAGAAACACCATTAAATGTTTAACAGATCTTGTTAATTGACTTTTGACTCCAAGCACACAAACATGTACATGTATTTGATGAACAATTACCGGGGTAGATCACTGAGTATTAAACCTGTAAAAATTTGAATGATTTCATGTCTCTCCAAGATTTAGCAATGGAAACTGAAATATCTAGCATATAAATATCCTATTTTTCAAGCAGTTTTATCTAAAATCCTGAAGAATAAAAAAAAATTGAAATATTTAGTGATAAGCCTGTCAGTTTTAGTCTTGGAAATATCAATAAGACCTAATCATTAAGAATCTATTTGGCAACCTTAATGATGCTATAAATACCTCTAAAACTGCACTTATCAAGATCAATTTTACCTTAGGATGTTTTAATGTACATGCAGTACTTCAGTAAAGCATGCAGACTTAAAATGAAGTAGAAATACATAAATATATCTCTGATTAAATCAAGACATGGATGTAATTGGTCACTAAATACTTTACAAAATTTTACTGACACATGTATCCGCATGTATGCCCAGTCTGACTTTATTCTGACATTACTATGAAGTAAATGTTGGCTTTATTGGTTACCTCTCCATCACTGCTGCAGACTTTGATCCCAGATAATGAGATGACCAGAAGTACCTTCTTACTCTTTGTAGAATTCTATAAAAAAAAAAAAAAAAAAAAAACATCATATAAAGAATATTACTCATTACCACTACAATTAACTCTCTCCTTTTCTCTTAACTGTTATACCAAAGAGAAATTATGACAATGTTAAGTCGTGTCTATAGTTCATGCTTATTAGTCTACTTAAAGTGTGGCCATCTATCATGTTAAAAAATCCTCACAAATGGCTAGCAATTTCCGTGTGTCAGATCTGTAGACTTACCCTCATCTGTTCCAGCTGTTTCTGGACACATTCAGCCCTCTCATTGGGGTCTGCCCCAGTCACAGAAAACGACCCAATATACTAGGAAAAAAAAACAACAAAAAACATGACAACACCATGACAATATCAGAGTCTTTAGTTTGTAATCAGTGAAGAATAACACTTTCAAAGTCAAACATACCAAACTGAAGTTAGCTAGATACATATGGACCTCAATCGAAGCCAGTTGATGTTCTATAGTAAAATGTTCCGATATATCATATCAAGTCTATATCCATCAATGAAAGTGATATCTCATCATATTATTCACCAGAAGTCCACCTACAACCGGTACTGTAATATTATCATTTACACTTTCATTATAAAGCAGAGGTATGCCAAATATTGTGAAATTGGACACCTAGAATTTCCTATACTGATGGTCTTAGTGACACGTAATGCAGACACAGGCATTTCACGATCTGTGATTCTAACAGGTTAATGAGTTTTCTTAAAACACCTGGTGAAATTCTTTTCTGATTACCTGTTTAAAATAAGTTCAATCATGGTTAAATTTTTTAATTTCAGGTGTTAATTGTAAAAGTGCATAAACAAAGAGTAACTGTTGTATTGGAATCCACAGTAAAATCACATTTCAGAATACATAGTAAAAAGCATAACTGTTTACAAAAGTATGCCACTTGATTTAAGATGGAAGTATCGTATACAAAGTATACACTCCTCTGAAGTGCTCCACTTCATTATGCTGGTAGACTGTCACAGAGAGGCAAGACAGTGCACATTGTTTACAAAATTTGTGAAAATTCTCTACACATCAATAAAACATGCATGAGTACTAATCCTAGACATGTATATCATGCTTATAGAGGGAACCTAATCTGTTGGTTCATGTATAACTGCATAGAACAATGCATGTCTATCCAGCAAAGACATTTTATTTAATCAGATAATAATGGACTCCATCAGGCATTTCCATCACTAAAATTAAACAAGAGGCCCATGGGCCACATCGCTCACCTGAGCACATTGGCTAGGCAAAAACACAAATCAGTTCAGTATTGAAAAGGTTACTGGGGGGGGGGGGGGGGCTTGAATTTTAAACTACCTGATGATGCTTCTATGTCAATATAACAAATGGCTTTGCTGTACTTGAGTAGATTTTAAAAAAATTTTCCCATATATTCCCATACATGTGATAAGTCAAAGACCACAAAACTGTACAGGAGCCATAAAAAAAACTGGAATTTGGGTAATAAACATCGTATATTTTATACCTATGGAGATCTGGGCCAGATTCATGTATATTAAGTCATGTATATCAACTTAGAAGTTGGCCTAATTTTTTTCAATCAAGTTATGAAACATTAACTGTTACAGTTATAATTAAGTACCTCTTTAAAAATAAAGCTACCTAAAGGGGTATCTTGATATGGATTTATAGCAAGGTAATTATCCCAATTGGCAATTGACACCTTCACACGCAATGGTTTGTGTACACTACACAATTCGGAAGGTCAAGTGTCAAACACAGGTGACGTTTTCCAGTGTCTCGCAAGCGAGAATGAGAGGAAAATGGCGGCATTTAGCGAGAAATTCAAAATACTGTAAAAAATTTTCATATTCCGTGAATTTTGGTGTCCTGCCTGTACACGATGAATGGGCTCGAAAAACTGTACATTTTGCGTACCGCCGGTACATATCACATGTATGTATTCCTTTGTAAAAATTTGATCCCCCATTGTGGCTCCTCCCTATCCCAGAGGTCATTATTTGAACAAACTTGAATCTACACTACCTGAGGATGCTTCCATATCAATATGACTAAACATAGCTTTTCAGTTCTTGAGAAGAAAGATTTTTTCTGTATGTTTTTGTGTAAAACTTTTGATCCCCCATTGGGCCCCACCCTACCCTCGGGGGTCATCATTTGAACAAAATTGAATTTACATTAACTATCTAATCATGGCTTTGCAGTTCTTCATCAGAAGATATTTTCCTATATATTTCTATTTAAGACTTTTATCCTCCATTGTGGCCCCATCCTACCCCAGGGGGTCATGATTTGAACAAACTTGAATTTACACTACCTGAGGATACTTCCACATAAATATGATAAATCAGGGCTTTGCTGTTCCTGAGAAGATTTTTAAAATTTTTCCTATATATTTCTATGTATAACTTTGATCCTCCATTGTGGCCCCGCCCTACTCCCGGGGGTCATGATTTGAACAAACTTGAATCTACACTACCTGAGGATGCTTCCATACAAATATGACTCATCATGGCTTTGCTGTTCTTGAGAAGAAGATTTTTAAAGATTTTTCCTATATATTTCTATGTAAAACTTTGATCCTCCATTGTGGCCCCGCCCTACCCCAGGGGGTCATGATTTGAACAAACTTGAATCTACACTACCTGAGGATGCTTCCACATGAGTTTCATCTTCCCTGGCTCTGTGGTTCTTGAGAAGAAGATTTTTAAAAGATGCTATTAATTTTTCACTAATTCTTTATTATCTCCCCTAATCCCCTCCACCCAAGGATACTTTGTGGCAAGTTTGGTTGAAATTGGCCCAGTGGTTCTTGAGAAGAAGTGGAAAATGTGAAAAGTTTACAGACGGACAGACAGCTAGACGTACAGACGGACTACAGACAAAATGTGATCAGAAAAGCTCACTTGAGCCTTCGGCTCAGGTGAGCTAAAAATGATGTTCAAAGCTTATTTCCTTGTACAATGTAGAGTTCTAAGTCCAGTTCATAAACACTATTAAATTTGATGATGGTATGTCAGATTTCTTGACAATTCTACTTTGATACAGAATTTTTTTTTACGTTTCTACTTTAATAAATGCTGCAGAGCCCAAAATTGGATCTATATAGCTTATTTGTCTACTTTAGCACCATAGTACATTTACAAGATCCTAAAGGAGATGAAAAATAGCCCCAATCTGGTTTGCATCTATTTTTGTCACCATGATCAATAACCTAATACCTTCCAACGTTGTCCAGACAACAGATTTTGATTTTTCTACTTTTAGTGAGTCACTTAAGCATAGGGAGATTATTCAGCCCAAAGAACATTCCAGTTAGGGCCAAGATAATGGTATTTCTTGTATTATGTACTAATATGACACTATTCCTTTATCAATACTTTCCCCTCCCCCTAGTAATTTCCTTTAAATTTAAGAATCTGATAAATACACAAGGACTAATAAGTAAAAGTAATATTATGATATAACTCATCATTAGAACTTAAGGAGAGAGAGGGCATTCATCTCCAGAGTATATCCTGCATCACAATCATCTTTATCTTGCACTACAATTTCAATGGTCTTTGGTATAGACAAGCATCTTGTAAACATGGTAAATAGATTTTCTGTGCCCTGGTCCTTACTTTATGATAAAATATATCTCAAAATATACATCAAAGGTATCTATTAATGCACAAATATAAAACCTTTTTTGCTTAATTAACGAAAAAGATATTAATACAATGAATACTTTCTTCAATTCCTCCTTTGGGCTTTGGTTCTTACGCCCTGTTCACATGAAAAGTTTTATTCGAATGAATGCAAGTTACTGCGAATTAATTTTAATAAACTAGATTCACAAGTAAAATTTAATGTGAATTCTGGGTTAGTTTAACTTGAATCAATTTACTGCACATCAAATTACATTGTATCAACTCTGTGTGGACACTAAGCAAAGCTTATTCGAATTAAATTTTGATGCATGCGTAATTGCAAAATTAAGTCAAATGCTGGTGGTCAGATATAGGCATTTATTCTATTTTTGAGTGAAAAACAAAGAAAAATTATGCTAATCACTAAAAATGTGTAAAGATACTGACATATATATGTCAAATGTTTATCTATACATGTTGTGTATCTGCTCTGCCTAAGTTGATGTAATTTTAATTAGCCTAATAAATATTATCAAATTTTAATTCCCATAGTTTACTTCACATCCACTGTTGTGTGAATGCTAAATTTTATCATATTAACTTATAAGGACTAAAATATGAACACTTTAAAGGTTTTGTGATTCTAAGATAACTTACAGGGATACTAAGAGTGTGTGGTCAGAAAGGGCTAATTTAAAATGAATGCTGAATAAGACACATATTCCTCATAACAGTGACTCAGAAAACAAAACATCTAAATCAAACTGCAGCAGTATGCATCGTAGAATAATGTACATCATCTATACAACCTTGGTCAAAATGTAACAGGAAAGGAGAAAATGTAAGGCTGGACCAGGAATCCGGGTCCCCTGCATCATTGGTCAGGTGCTCTACCCACTGAGCTACCCAGGCCGATATCCACAGCCCAAACCATTACATTCCTCCCTCCTTAAATTGTCTTTGCCCTCAAAGACACAACCCAAGTTTTTATTGCCCTGGCAGGACTTTCACCTGCAAGTCCAGGGGGTGGTCAACAGCACCAAATCTGTATCAGGAAAGGAGAAAATGCACAGCTGGACCAGGAATTGAACCTGGGGCCCTTGCATCACTAGTCAGGTGTTCTACTGACTGAGCTAGCCAGGCCAAGATCCATGACCCAAACCATTATAAAAGTAAGGCAAACTATTCCAAAAATAAGTGGCAAGTACCTTGCCACTAATTAAGGAAAAAAAAGGTTGATTCAGCATCTGAAGCAATTGGCCAGTAGAAAGCATATTAATGAATCATTCCTGGAAGTTAGTTTGGTCCAGGAAGGACACATTTTTCACAAATGGACCTATTCCGAAATCTTTGATGTAGAATGCTGATTCTGCCAGGTGTGTGGCACAAGTTCATCTTAACTTCATTGAGAAGAGCTATTAGGTATAAAGTCTTTAGTTACTGTCTTTTTTTTCTTTACTGTGCAATATACTAGCAATACAAGTACAAAATGTATAGCTATTCTCATGATCTCAAAGAAATTGGTTCAGCATGAAGGAAGTTGTGTCTACAGTAAGCTAATCAGTGGCACACTATCTCACAAACCTACAGAATCAGAAGTAATTACAGTAAGTTAATTGCTCATCAAGGATGACAGATAGACACAAATATCAGGTACAAGGTACATAGATTTCTTAATCCAGACCACCAACCCTCTCCTGACTAACACAATACAATACTGACAGAAAAGACATATGCTGGGCAGTAATTGGATTTAATAAACCAGGATAACTTGATTACATTACCATTAATAAGTCTATAATTGAATCAAGTCTTTCAGTATTGCACTGATAGACTACAGGCCATGTCTGGGCATCTTTTGCGGAATATTAGGTCAATACATTTGACATGCATTGAAAATATACCTTCTTTAGAGCTTGTCTGAGTGTGTCATGCCTCTTTTAAGTTTGTCTACATAATCACAAAGCATTCTCATATATCAGGGGACAGGATGTTTGTAATTAAGTCTCTTAAGAAATACAAGGAGACAACAAACAAAAGAATAGTAGCTCTGAAGAGCATAAAATGCCATTTTCATTTCAATTTAATTTTTGAGCTGTTGAAAAGATGAATATCTCCATCAAGATTACAGCTCCCTCTAATCTTGGGCTGCTAACATCTGGTTAGCTCTAATAGCCTGCACCACCAAATCCAATTTAAATACTTCAAATTTTCCTTTCATGTGCTAATGTCAGTGAAAATTACTTATATCTGGTTGGGCCATACTAAGGTTAAGGGGGGTTCTTGACCTGGAGAGAGTCGTGGCACTCCAGTTTACCTGTGGCCAGTGATATAGAGGACCGTGTACACTAGAAAAGAGATCAACAGTAGAGGGCTAAGTAGTACAGCTGCTTAGAGGTTGTAAAGGAATGACTTGCAGGATTAATCTCTTCTAATCAATAAGTGTGGAGGTGTGAGTCACTGCAAGACAGAGGGGAGGAACCATTGTACTAATGACACACAAGTACCATGTCATTGTAAGTGTATGCATCCATCAGACCTAGCTACCAAACAAAGGTCTGTCGTCAATGAGTCTTGCAATGAACCTCTTGACTTCATTCCCAAAGTCACAAGGAGACATAGAATCATCCAACTGCTCTTTTGTAAGTCATCAGCTGGGACAGCCACTGGATAAATTGCCAGGAAATCCTCTTTTCACAAGATCAATGTATACAGTAGCCATCTCCATGGTTGTACAATGTATGCACTTGACAGCATGTAGATGATGTATGGGAGATCATTTCCACATGTATCTGTGTCCTGTCCATGGATATTTATACAACAGAAAACATTCCCACATGTACCTATATATGTCCTGTTCAAAGATATTTATATAACTGCTGAGACCTTTTCTCAGAACTTTGATCTTTTGTATATACACAATATTTAAATATATCAGTTCATCAAAGCTCCTCGTTGATCACCCAGATGAGATCATTCTGTAGGAACATATATATGAAAGGATATATGTGTTCAACTTGTATCTATCAGTATATAATAATTCTATTCTATACCATCGTCAGTAACCCACGGGTGATTCACATCGATTCTCTCCATAATCATTTGAGGTAGCTTGTGGACTCAAAACCATGGTTTGCAAGGATGATTCTATACCTTTTTTGCAGTCTTTTTAGCAGTTCTACTCCACCACTTCAGACTTAGATATCATACAATCACATATGAAAATCTGTTGGTACACTTCAAAAATGTGAAACTGCATATATATATATATATATATATATATATATATATATATATATATATATATATATATATATATATATATATATATATATATATATATATATATATATATATATATATATATATATATATATATATATATATATATATATATATATATATATATATAGTATAATATAAATGCTTTATCAATTTTTATGTTGAAATTTGATGAACAGCATCTTTAACTGACCTAAAGAAATTTTCATTTTAAGTTCTCTTCAACCATGCATAGGACCTGCCTGAAATATTGCCAAACCTCAAGAAAATAAATTCTCAGAATGATGTAATGTCTTCAGGTATAACAAAAGACAGAGTCCGGGTTTTTATGTTATGCTATGTTTTTTCCATACACAGTTACAAATAAGTACCACCCATCATTCCGTACATCAATAAAGCGTAACTGGACTATGATTAGGTTTCTTATGAGTTTTCCTTTGCCTGGACCCAATCTACAATCTGTCAATTCTAACAAACAGCCATTCAAGCCAAGATGATGAAGTCAAGTATGATACTGAAGCAACCTTGAACAAATCTAAAAATATACAAATATTCTCCCTTCTAGTTACTGGATGTTTATTAAAAAGAATATTGTAATTTATCAATACTGCAATGAAATAAGTGTATGATGGTATAGATAAAATTTTCAACACTTATGATTGGAACATTCAGAATTTGCTTAAAACATGAATTAGTCAGGTGTACAACTTGGAGCTCTCACTGTTTATAGGAGAACAGCTGTGTTTATACACTCACTTGATTATAAAGTGTGGGAATTATTAAAATCCTTGATTATCTCAACAATATCACAGTCACAATTTCTTTTCTTGTATTTTTTTTCTTTTAAGTAAAAGGAAATTTCTATGGATGGCATCTATAACTGTGGATGGTACTTCAAATTTAGTATAGATATAAAGCTGACCCAGTTTGCAGTGTATGCTGGAAGCAAAATCAAGTAAACTTTCATACATGTCATGCATTGCATAATAAAGCACTTTTTTTAAGCAGAGGATGTCAAAACAATAAAAGAACAAAACACAATGATTGCTTAAAGGCATCTGCATATGTGGGGGTCTTAAAAAAAATATTAAGCTGTGTTTTTTTTTCATGTCAACCGAAAGAATATTTTTGCTGTACCAGTTATTTCATAATTACAAAGTCATTAAATTTATCTCCCTTGAGACAGACATGCAGATATGACTGTATATAATTAATTTGTAAATCCTTTTAATTCTCTGCTTTGATCATGGTCTTTTTCACCCTCTTTTACCTCCAGGGAAGAACTGTTGTCTAGGTATGAATAAGATTACACAACTCAATATTAAATTTTTAGAAACTTTAAACACCTTAACCCCCCGATCACCAATAACACCATGCTGTGCAGAACAATACTAGTTAATCGATTCAAAAATGCACCAAAAATATTCATGTGAAAATGAAATCACTCAACCATTGCAAATGTTCACGGGGCATCTTGTTAACAAGTCTAATTGTTAATGTTGGTGGTTTGATATTCAAATAAGATTCACACGACTTTTTCCTAAACCGTAAGAGTGCTTTTTTGGGGGGAGAAAATATAACAGGCTGATAGTGTATGGTCATTTCACACAGAGAGATCGAACTGATGGCAAATTCAAATAAAAGAAATTGCTTCAATGTAATACACTAGTTCATCAGAAGCAATGTCTGCAGTGAAAAAGCTCAAGTTCAAACACAATGCTCATACACAGCGGTTTAAGTCTTAGACGCTTTTGCCTTGGGGCGATATGAACTTGATAAGCATGATAAGAAAACATGTGTAAGTAATTTGATAGACTTATTGTTGTTTAACTTTCTGATAAAACTTTCCAATATAAAAGAGTTTTAAGATAAAACACATTTATGATATTTTCTCCAGTGCCTATCAGAACCTGAAATTGACTTCATTTTAACACATTGGCGGGCTATAATTTTAAAAATAACCACATGCTCTGATGATGTAACCTACCTCCACAGACTTTATAGCAGTATCTCCCTTTCCATCCGATTGTAAAACACTTTTTGGTCGATAACAAGCTCCATCGGGCAAATCTTCAATTCTTAAGTCTTTTGGGTCACTTTGAACATTTTTCTTAGTAGGACTCTTCCCTGCATTAGCCGCAGCAGCCGAATCTTGAGTCCTACCAACGTCTGCAAACTGTTTTTCCAAAAGTCTTTCTCTTTTTTCTAGTAATTCTTTGTTTTCCTCCTGTTCTAATTGCTTCTTTGTGCGCATCAAATACATGTTGATGCCGTTATGACCCACAATTCACTTTCTAATCGACTCTCACAACATCCTAACTTCTTTGTTTTCCATCACGAACTGTTTGGTTCAACAACTTCCGGGCCAGAGGTCACGTGCGTTATCAGCAACTCAGCTGTTTGCTCGATGTCCCATGTCGAGTCAATGAATGTTACGATAGGTCTCGTTCATCGAGGTGACATTTTATTGAACTGAATAAGGAGATTAAAAAAGTAACACAGTGGAAATGACTAATGGGATATTTGTGGTCTGTTTTAGTTTTGGTCCTTACTTATATTCAGTGCAATTTCACTATTGGTGAATGAATTTTGAGCCTTGGCTGCAAAACCTTTTGTTTGCTAGTCTTGAGAGAAAATCCCATGATTATAAGTTCCAGACATGTGAATGCACTGTTAGCAGATAAAACAGTCTATGAAATATATAATGAGGTCAACACATTGAATATATATTACGCACATTTACGTATTAAAAGGTCAGAGCCTAGCCTCAAAATAACGGCCTACAAGCAGATAGTGTGCCATATTTTATTGTGTATTGAACAGAAATATCATTTGATAATCAACTCCTCAATATATGAGCAATGAAAACATACTTTTTTAAACAAACAAACAGGCAAATAATTCCTTTTATTATAATACAACATTGCCGATATGAGGATATGATACACTATGATATCAGTGGATTGTACCAGATGGAAAGAAGATTAGAACGTAAACGTGGAAAAAATATAGATTTAAAAAATGTAACTTGTAAATTATTATGTTACACATCAGTTATGCTGTAGTGCCTTTAATTGCCATCAGTTTAGCCATGACAGAAAAAAAAATATATAAGGGAATTAAAGTCTCGTATTCAAAATTCCTAGATCGGCGAAGGGAAGTTGATTAATTTCGGAAATGCTATACCTTGTTTCGAAAATTAACTTATAAAATTCACGGACGTAGCATCGTTTTTGAAAGGGGGGGGGGGGCAGCCAGAGAAAAAAAAATCAACTTACCTGAAAAAACTTGACAAGCAAAAAAAAAGAAAGAAAAGGAAAACTGCCCAAACTCGAAAATCCTATTTCGTGTTTGTGGGGGTGGGGGGTTAGTTTCCAACTTCTTTCAGTACCAAACCACACAGTACATACTACATTACCCTTACTTGACTATACTCCAACAAAATGGGGGTGGGGGGGGGGGGCAACAGGCCTTTCAATGAACATTTTCAGTAGTAAAAAGTTATGTGGAAAAAGTGACGGGGCAGCCCCCCCCAGAAAAAAAATCAGTAATGAAATTTAAATTTCTCGTAATGCAAAACTGCGGATGGATTTAAGAAGACAAACCTGCAGACCCCCACCCATAGTGACCCCCCTTCTTTGTTTAAAATTTCTATATAATTTTTGGTGGTGGGTGAGTAAAATTTATATTACATATGGAATAATGATCATGAAAATTTTTCTTTCTTTCATAGAAAAAATACCGTGTATACTGAATGAATAAAGATAATTATAGAAAGAAATTAACAGTAAGTTCCTTAATTTTACAAGTTTTATATCTAAACACGATCGTAGTATGGAACTATGTTTCATTTCACCCAAATATAGAAGGAATAGATATTAAAAACTGTTATAGAAAAGGCAAATACCAGAGTGCCTGTTTTATGCTCCAGGGTTATTTTGTAAATATACCACCATCTTCACAGAGAATGAAGTTTTTCTGTTCTATAAGTTGGGTGATATTATTTCTTTAAAATCTTGTTTTCATTATCATACTCAGTTTAAATATTGCACAATCAACTCACAAAATGGACTAAAAAAGCTGGGGTTAAGGATTCATGGAGAGGTCTGGGTATCGGCTGGGAATTTTGTATTGCGATATACCGCGATATTTTTTTTACTGTATTGCAATATTTTCAATAACAGTTAAATTGATCTTTTCTTATTTCATTAACTTTCATTTATAAGCAGAGAATCTATAACTATTAAAAATACGTTGTATCAAAAAAGTTCATGTTGATTTCACTACAGTTTTGCAACGAAATGCAACCATACAACAGCGACTTTACTGTTTGCCATGATTGAAAACGTTTCTGACATCTTAAATTTCATATTTTACTTTAGAAATCTTAAGTCCAAGCATTTTGCCGGTATACTGCTACAGAGAAAACATATCGCAATACAATATTTGTTGTCAACGAATCGCAATATACCGGAATATCGATATTATTGCGCAGCCCTATTCAGGGACCCCCCCCCCCTCATCTGAAATCTGTGTTGATGTTGAAGGCACACTTTAGTATCCTACTACCCCTTATTGAATCCTTTGTCTATTTTCTCTAGCTCCTGTCTGTCAAATACATTGACTTTCTGTATCTTATGAGCAACATTGCAGTATCATGTTGTAAATTTTGAATTTACTGGGGGGGGGGGGGGTTAAATGCAAAATTTACAACATAACTAGTTATCATATTGTAAATTTTGCATTTACCTCCCCCTTGTAAATTCAAAATTTACAACATGATACCAGGACACAAATTTCAATTAAGGCTGCTCAATTCAACGCTTTACTTAGCTGCAATAATGATCCCTCTCTGATATTTTTAATCTGATGTTTTCAGTAGGGGGCTACCCCCCCCCCCCCCGAAAAAAAAAACAACAACAAAAAAACAGAGTGCTACATTTTACCAATTTATACATTGTCAACATTGCCCATTGTCAATGGGTATCGACTGGGAATTTCGTATTGCGATATTTTTAACTGTATTGCGATATCGATATGTATTGCAATATTTTCAATAAGAGTTAAAACGACCTTCTCGTATTTTATTTATAACAGAGTGTATATTACTATCACTGTTCTAACAAGAATGCCATGCTGATTTCACTACTGTTTTGCAACGAAATGCAACCATACTACAGCGACTTTACTGTCTAGCATGATTGAAAACATTTCTGACATCTTAAATTTCATCTTTTACTTTAGAAATCCCAAGCGCAAGCATTTTGGTGGTATATCGGTACTGATAAAACGTATCGCAATACGATATGTTTTGTCGACGAATCGCAATATACCGGAATATCGGTATTATTGCGCAGCCTTAAAACTAATATCATGGTATAGTTTATTTGTGTCCGAAGTCTAATTGAAATAAGACCAAAACTGAAGAAATAATGTCTTGAACGAATTACACACAAAAATTCTATTTATATAGTCACATGACAGCTTGTGATGGGTTATTGGTTAATTTTTTATAATCCATCATCGATTGGAATCGTTGCTGCTTCCGATGCAGTTTTGTCGGTTATAATAGGAAGTTGAACTTGTACTTTGTAAGACACCATCTTGCAATTTTAAAAAATTTATTATACATTATTTTTCATGTTGTCTTGCTGCTTTTGCACTTTCTACATGTGCATCATTTAGTTTTTATATCACACTAGATGTCATTTTTACTCCACCGGCGCATGTAAAGTGAACACAGAAACAAGATAATCACAGAATTAATTCCGTTTATATTATGTGTGAATCCGATGATCAATTATGAGAAGAAAATAATCTATCATCGGAATCGGTAGCTTTTTTCCGTCGTTAATCGATGTTTTCTGATCATCGGTACAACACTAATGGTAGCATCGATTTTTGAAATAAAAAACCAATATAGTGTATATATAATAATTTATCTATTTATTGTAATCGGATTTAAACTGTAATAGGAGTAGCATTTTGAAAAAAAAAATACACAGATATTTCTATTTTTAGTAACCAAGGCAATATTGTTCGTCATAATCAAAAAACCGATACACAGAATTAGGTATCTTATTACTGTTGTGTACCTAGTCTTACCGAAATCAGACAAAAACTGTAGGAGGAGTAGCGTCTGGAAAAATTGTTCATAGACAGATACTATACTGTGTCTACAGAAAGAATTTCACATAATTTTCTATTTTTAGCAACCATGGCAACATCCTTTATCGAAATAAAAAAAAAAGATATGTATAGAATTATGTATCTTATTATAGTCTACTTGTGTACCAAGTCTTATTGAAATTGGACAGAAACTGTAAGGAGTAGCATTTTGAAAAATTGTTTATGGATAGATGTACAGATATACTTTGTTATATTCAGTAAAGTCTCTATATAGGGAAACAGTCAACATAATTGATACATGTATTAAAGTCATCTATGGCGTATTTCTTATAAGTTCAGACTAATTAAAATTAGAATGATCTTTCTATTTCTTTTATTACTTTATATAAAGATAGGACTTTCCTGTAAATTACACAATATTTAAATCAATCTCGTTTTAAAGATATTAGAAATTTAAAACAATAACCGATTTATTTACCGACTCCGCATTTAATTGACAGACCAGTTTAAAATCAATTTAACTATGGAAACATGAGGTTATTCAAGTTCAAAATCGGTGAAAATTTTAATTTTAACTAAAATAACATATATCGTGTTTAAGTACAGTCAATCCCGTATTTTTATTTTTTAGCTCAGATACGTCGTATATAGCTTTAACACCTCTGAAAAATATTGACAGTCATTTAAATTTAACTACTGACCGGCAAAGAGAGTTTTCCCACAATATTATTGATTTCGAATCTGATTAGTAGATTGATTTATTGTGACGTAATGATACTGTCGCGACTTCAAAAAAAAAAATTACTGTCACAATCAAAAACCAAGTAACACATTCATTGCAACTTGAAGATTCCCTGATACTATAAAATCAACATCCATATAATGCATTGGATACAAATGAATTGCTGAATTTTAATGAATGAAATCAAAATTCTGTTTTATTGATTTGTTTTTTCATATAATAAAACAATGATTGACTGTCTTTTCGGGCAACATTGATCATGACAATTCAGACGATTTGTTGAACCAGTTTCAATTTTTGAACAGAAGAAATTCAATATTGAACAGAAGAAATCCTAAATACAGTATCTGAATAATTTGAACAAATTTTGCATGGGCATTGTGTATGAAAGAGTTGTCATTCCATTGAATAAATAGGCAAAGAGCAGTTATAGATTGAATTCTATTTTACTCTTAAAAAAAAAAAATCAAATGAGAAAGAAATAGTTGAGTACCCCTTATAATATTAGTAATAGTTAATTTTAAAAAAAACCAAATTGAAACTTGTTAATTATTTGAATAAACTGGATGAACCAAGAATGCTTCTTCATAAAACATAAATAATCTAAATAACTTGAAAGTAACTTGACTGAAGTCATTTAATATTGAAATTGTAGAAATAACATAATTTATGCACCAGTGTTGTTGTGAATGTTACTGAATAAGTTATCATAAACTAAGAGGAATAGAAAATGTCTCCAACTGATCACAGATTATGACATTATGCTGCTAATTGTCCACTGCGTTATTGTCGCTGATAGAGATATAGATAGGCGAGGTCCCTTGGGGGGTGTTCAGACAAAGCCACCTTCTCGTCATTGTAGATTACCCAGCGCCCCTCCTTCTTTATGTGACAGACATAGTGGCCGACCATTGTGGAGGTCCCCATGTGGCTGATAAATGCCACCAGTTTATACTCTAAAATAAAAACACAAAGGATATAAAATAGCAGTGAAGAAATCTAATAAGGAAAAGTCTCATATTCAAGAAATCTGAATTTTGAGTAGAAACTCAAGGGACTGATTCTGAGTTCTATACAGACTCGTACAGTTGTGTTTATGTGTAGACACTTACTGCCTTCCCCATCCCTGTAAGTTGTATTGGGCACCGTGTCTCCCCCGGCCTCCGTCTCCATAGGAGTGTCCAATTCATCGGTGTGACTAAATATCCAATCCACAGCTCTCTCTACATTGTTATCCTACAAACATGTATATATATATTCATGTCAAAATCTCCCATGATAAACCTAATGCAGAAGAATATTCAACTGGTTTTTACAACATTTGTTACCTACATGTACTTTTCAGAATTCTAATATGGAGATTACAAAAGAATACACAAACACACACACAAAATAAAATAGTGACTTTTTTTTTTAAATCTTGTGTCATAATTCTAATTTTATTATTAATCTTTGGAGGCATACAGTGTTTTTTAGAGCTTTGATGGCCTGGTCTCTGTTAAACCCCATGGACATCACCATTCCTATTGCATCCTCATTGGGAACAAAACTTCCTGTCTTTGGTTTACCACCAGGAGGAACAAATGGAGCATTGAAATCTGTGTAAAGAAGCAGAAAATAAATTCTTACAGCATGCATTATCACCTGTATGATTTCACAAACCACAAGAGCTATTGTAAGTGACTTACATTGTTGATGCATTGCATGTATTATTATTGAATTTCAATACATGTATTCAAACACATTATACTAAGCATCTGTTTGTTAAATGTCCAAAATATTGTGTACAAAGGCAAAACCTTATATGCATAACTTTAATACTTTGCAATTACCAATGCCTATATCCTTACAACTTATTTTGAATGGAGACAATAATCTTCCTTACAACCAAAATATTGCCGTATTTAAAATTGTTCAAGAATATATTGCATCTACAAAGAGATTTGCATGATATTGTTTCTTCTTTTTTTTAATTTTGTCAAACCACAGAACCAACATCTATTTATGTGTTCTTATTAATTTTCACATTTATACTTGTATTATTATAATTATCAGTCATATATGTTAAATGCAAACTTATATAGTATCATCAGCTCATTTATATTTTTTTTCCTACTTATTTTGTGTGTGTTTTTTTTTTTTTTTTTTTTTTTTTTTTTTTATAAATCTCTTTAGAATATACACATGTATATATGTTTTCAATGTTATGTAATTAATGTTTACTTGTAACATATATGACTTGACCTGTATTGTGGAGAGGACTTATATAGGCAGTGCCTGCTGTCCAATCCAGTTATGTTTAATCATAATAAAATATTGTTTAAATTAAGCATCTGTTTGTATTATGAGTTCAAATTACACTCTTCAGATTCAAAAAAAAAAATTTTGTGCTTGTTAGTCTTCCACATCATGTATATGATTATGTGTAATTATTTTATATCCAATGAACAAAGTAAATACCATGATCTTCCATATGTTCCATGACCCAGTTCATGGCCGGCTCCACCCCACTATTGTTTGTATTGAACACTGCCTTCTTACAGGCCTCTATAGGGAACCCCATCTCTACTAGCTGTGCTACTACAACTTCATCTATCTGAACTTCTGAAAAGAATATCAAATGTAGATATACTGCTAAATATTTAAATAAAATATACATAAAGTAAAAAGAAAAGTGTTTCAAGGAAAACATTCTCCAATTTTAAGATAACAATTTAACATTTAAACTACATGATTACTTATTTAATATGTTTATACAGTTTAAGCTTAACTCTGCAAAAATATCTAATCTTGAAAAAGTTGATTTCTCATTTTACTGTTCATCATTATTTACTAAAATTAAGGAAAAAAATCATCATTTTTAGACTAAATCCTTCCTTTCTAGCTCTCTCAATGTGTACAAGCCTATCTCATATAAAGTGACATGAAATAAATATATTTGCTGCATTTTCTTATTTTACTATACCAATTATGAAACATATTTGAATGCCTTTTTTGTGCACAGTCACAGGTATTCTACATATAGGGAAACTAAAGTGAAGTCACGAAGCTACAAATCTAGAGTCTCTGACTGAAAATAAAATAATGTAGGACAGCAAATTTTGAGTGTATTTTTATTGATTTTAAAATGTTAACATAAGAACTACTTTTTGTTTGTGTATGTTATTGGTGCGTAAAAACAGAGACTTGCAGGTGTATTTTTCATGAATATGCCTATGTGACAAGTTTGTGTGATTAACACAAACTAACTACCATGAGTGAGCTCACAAAATATACCCCGTTGCATTTTTTAAAGTGCCCATATACAATGTTCAAAATATGACCTTGACTTTGCCAAAATGACATTGGTTAAAAAAATAACACATCCTATGGTCATAAGTAATCTTTGAGTGTATTATGGACCTCCAATGTTTCTCCATCAGAAAATTTTTGACCTGACATGAATTTTACACTTTTTTACTGTGACCTTGAACAGCATCAATGACCTTGGGTCAAGGTTATGACATACCTTTGGCTCACAAATAATCTTTGAAGTTTCGATCTCCAATACTTCTCTATAAAAGAATAATGAACTGGACACAAATTTTATACATGTACATCTTCTGTTAGGACCTTGAACTTGCCAGTATAACATATTTGCTTCAATGTCACAAAATACTTTCAAGATATAAGTAATATTTTTTTGAAGTGTGAACTTCCAATGTTTTTCCATTAGAAAGTTATAGACTGAAATGAATTTGACAATTTTTCCATCTGTGACCTTGAACCTGCAAAAATGACCTTAGGTCAGATCATGACATTCCCTTTAGGTATAAGCAATCTTTTTGTCAAGTATCAACTTCCAATAAGACTCAGTTTGAAAGTTATAGACCATTATAGACAAATAAAACACTTTTTCTGCCAGGGACCTTGAACTTAATGAAATGACCTTGGGTCAAGGTCAGTGCATATCCAAAGATCACAGGTAATATTTGAGATTAGTATGAGCCTGTCATAATCTCCATTGGATGGTCAGGACAGAAATTACACATTTTTCTAAATGTGACCTTGAACTTGATTAAATAACCTTTAGTCAAGGTCAAGACAAACCTTCTGGTCATAACTTATAAGCAATCTTTATGTATGGTATGAACTTCCAATGTTTCTTCATTATTAAATTATAGACCGGGTATGAATTTTACACTTTTTCTGCCAGTGACCTTGAACTCGTTAGAATGACCTTGGGTCAAGGTCATGACATACTCTCAGGTTATAAACAGTCATTGTACCAAGTACCCACTTCCAATGATTCTCCATAACAAAGTTACAGCCCAGACATGAACAATACACTTTTTCTGCCAGTGACTTGGTCACAGATAATTTTTGTGACAAGTAAGAGCTTCAAATGTCCTCTGCTGCAAGATATGGTCAGAACAGGAATTACACATTTTTCTAAAAGTGACTTGTACTTGATCAAATGACTCTGGGACAAGTTCATGACAAACCTTCAGGTCATAAACAATCTTTGTGTAAAGTTTGAATTTCCAATGTTTCTCCATTAGGAAGTTATAGACTGGACACAAATTTTATATAGTGTACTTTTTTGCCAGTGACCTTGAACTTGCCACAATGACCTTGGGTCAAGGTCAAGACACATCCTTGGGTCATATACAATCTTTGTACCAAGTATGAACTTCCAGAGATTCTCCATAACAAAGTTATAGCCCAGAAAAGATTGCATGGACAGATGGACAGACAGACAAGGTGATGTGATTCCTATATACCCCCCCCCCCCATACTTCGTATGGGGGGGGGGGGTAAAAAAATTCCTTAAATATCAGCATGACATTTCCTACATTTTATGATACAAAGTTTATGCTGCCTTACCTTGTGGGGCCTCAGCCTCTTGTGGGAGCTCCTCTTCTCCTGGCTGAAGACCTTTACCTCTTAATGATGAAAGGTCAAGGTTATCAGGAACATCTAGAGAAACATCTGCAAGTAAAAGAGTAATGATGAAAGGTCAAGGTTGTCAGGAACATTTAAAGAAAGATCTACAAGAGAAAACATCAATATGTGAACTTTTTTCCCACCAAAGTACCAGAAGACGAACATTTTGAAATGAAACAAAAAATTATAATATAAATTTTATGAAAATTAAATGTCCAAAATGTTTGTGTGACTTCTGCATGTTCGACATTTTTTAAAGTAAACACACACTGGAAATATATATGTAGCAAAGAGAGAAAATAGAATGACTTTACCTAACTTTTTAGGAACCCAATCATCTCCTATTGTAAATTTCTTTAAATGCACCATTAAATAATCAGGAAAGGAAGATAAGCGGGTAGATCTGAAAAAAAAAAAGAATTAATTTTAGTTAAGTTACCTGATGTATATGAAGGTAATATGTATTGGCGTTTCTGCCAAATGTACCATCAATAAAAGTCTTTCTAAAATTATCTTTTACACCCATTACTTCCATTTTCAATTCCATGGTTGAAACTCACTATAAATAACATTTTATTTTCCTTATATAAACAAAAGCTCAAGGCTATTCTAGTAAAAATCATCTGAAGGGAATGGAAAGCCAGTGATTTTCAGATCCCCCACCTATAGAAAAATATCATAAAAATCTCCACTACCAAGAGAATTAAGTTTTGTTTGTCAACCTCCTTACCAAAAAAAAAAAATGCAATAATAAAGGTGTGATATGAATGTGATTATTAAAGCAAACGTTATGAAATAATCCTCATTCCTTTCCATGGTAAATAAACCTTTTACTTCTAGTGGAACAAGAAAAGTTCCAGAAGGGGGGGGGGGGGGGGATAGGACTGAAGAAACCTGGGATGCTATAAGAATGTCTCTAACATTTCCCTTTACAGTAAACAGAATTCCTTTGATATTATTTTTGACTTATTAAACCAGAAACATGTCTCTGATTAAAAATAATATTGATACCACATGTTCAGCTTGAATTTTATCTGGTTCTGATTAAAGAAAATCCTCCTACTGTATTGTATCATTTATCAATTGCTTGTGTGGTGGTCAGACGGGTTCGATCGCCATTGGCCAGATAGCTCAGTTGGTAGAACACCTGACTGGAGATTCAGGGGGTCTGAAGACCTTTAAGGAGGGAGGAATGTGGTGGTCAGATGGGTTCGACCGCCAGTGGCTGGATAGCTCAATTGGTAGAGCACCTGACTGGAGATTCAGGGGGCTCGGGTTCGAATCCCAGTCTGGTCCGTTTTATTTTTTTCCTCTCCTGTTACATTTGGTGCCATTCCATGCCCTAAAAGTGACAGTTGAAAGACCTGCCAGGGAAGAGCCTGGGTTGGTGTCTTCCAGGGCTGAAGATCTTTAAGGAGGGGGAATGTGGTGGTCAGATGGGTTGCCAGTTAGCCCAGTTTGTAGAGAATCTGACTGAAGATTCAGGGGGCATGGGGTTTGAATTCTGGTCTGGTTTGTCATTATTTTCTCCTCTCCTGTTACAGTTGTTTATCATAAATAGGAACAAAAGAACGGTAATCTAGGTCACCTACTCTCCTAAGAAATTCTAGTCCAAGTACACAGTTTTAGGAAAGACAACTCTTACACTTCTTGGATAACTTTTGCAGGTTGTTTGAAAAAAAATTGCAAAAGGTCTGACTAGTGTGTTTTATTAGATGTTATTACAGTGTAACTTGATAGCTCAAAACTGGAGACACACCCCAGTAATAAATTTAATCATCCATCCTAACCCTCAGAATACAAAAATAACCCCATAACTCATAATTCAACAACTCATTTGCCTTATAAACTGGAAGTCTTTGATGAGACTGTAGTTCTACTGGTTTGTTTCTTATATAAAGAAAGAGAAAAGCAGCTTGACTTAAAACTTCACAGCAATGGCAATATCAATAAATAAGAATTATGATCCTTGGTTTTGTCGACTTATGTTCCAAGTTTTCTTAAATTCAGACCAAAAACATGTGAGGAACAATGTTTTTAAACAAATTCCAATATTATCCTATTTATAGTAAGCATTGCAACAGTGTTCATCTAAATCAAAAATTGCCAGGCAGAATGATGTACCTAGAACATGATATCTACTCATGTACAAGTCTTACTGAAATCGGCCACAGCAGTATGAGGATTAGCGTTTTGAATGAATTTCACAGAAATATAGTAACCATGGCTACACTGTTTGTTGAAATCAAAAACTGATAAGAAGAGTTATGCATCTTTGTTAAGTCTACTTGTGTACCAAGTCTTACTGAAATCTGACCAAAACTGTAATACAAGTAGTGTTTTGAATGAATTTCACAGAAATTTCTAATTTTAGACACCATGGCCACATCGTTCGTTGAAAAACTGACAAAAAAAATTATGTCTCTTAGTATAGTCTACTTGTGTTGCAAGTCTTATTGAAATCAGACCAAAACTGTAAGAGGAGTAGCGTTTTGAAAAATTGTTTACGGACAGACAGATGGATGGATGTGGGACACCTTACTCATGTATTATGCTCTTCTAGTCTAAGACCAGTAGAGCTAAAAACTGAAAGTCATTATCATGTACAAATGACTGCTAAAACAAGTCAAATGCACTCCATTATCTTTATAATAACATGTACAAACTGACAATATAATGGACTAGTGCTACATACTTTTTAGCAATAGTCTTCCCTTTGATTGCACTACTATAAAAGTCATCAACTGTTTCAAATGCTGCAAAACTCTGGATACATGCTGATAATGGAATTTTGGGTCGAACAATCTCTTTTGGGTCACTGCAATGTTACAAATATTCATGTAAAGTAAAATTCTAGCAAAGTAAATTATAGGTATTGTTTGAAGTCTAAAGCTTTTATAATTATCTTACTAATTATAATTTTAATGGACGATAAAAATATCAGACAAATGATTTTAGTTTTTGACAAAGTGGTTGAATAATCATCTCACTGTATCTTTTTGCCTTGAGCCTCTAATTCTAACTTCTTTGCCTCAAATAAGGCTACATCATCTGCAAATAAAAAAAAGAAGACTTTAATGAGTACTTATGGGATATACAGTATACTAGATTATTACAATACTGTCAATTCATACATCATCTGAAGAAGACAGTTTAGTTTATTTCTGTGTAAGAAATGTGGTGATTTCCATTGGTTTTGGTAAATATAAATTGTACACAGATTGACATGTGTACTTACTTACCTTTGTTTGTGGTGGCCTCCATTGGTATAGGTAAGGATAAACAGTATTCAGATCGACTTGTGTACTTGACTTTATTACTCTGTGTACATTGTACTCTGTCTTCCACTTGGAATTTGAAACAGTCTGCTGGATTTACAGAGCCCCGTGTGTTTTTCTAGAAGAAAAAAAGAACATTTAATTATAGTTTATTATTGTTGAATGGGTGTCATAAAAATGGATTTCTAATACATTAACTTAACCAAACTGTGAATTAAATACATTCACAAAATAAAAAGGTAAAAAAATATATGGAGAGGGCTACATTATTGCAGCTAGAACAATACCAATATATTGCATGTTCATAAAATAAAGGATTGCATGTTCATGGTTTTTTGGAATATACCTCTAAAATATTAATAAGATGCAAGAAGTATTCTTGAGCATCTTGCTGACGCTTTGTGGAGAATTCTGGGTGACCTCTGCCTATTAAAGTTTTAAACATTTGTGGACGGATACCTGTAGGTGGCTGAAAAACAAATCAGTTCTAGTATAGTTTACATTCTGTTAGGTTTTCCAAATAAAGCTAGTTCCAATTTGTCAAGAAATATGTGTATAAGAACAAACAAAGCTAAGGTCTTAATTGTATCAATGTAAAAGTCCTTGTAAAATTTATATTCCTAAGTTAAAGCTGCTACATTCACATACTAGTAATCTTTCATCTGCTCCCTCTGGTGGTGGTTTAGAGTAATCACCAGACAATAAGCCATTTCCTAGTTTTGTCCTGCAAAAGACCAACAAAGCCTCTATGAAACTGAGTTAGTTATTACATCTCTCTCTAAATCACATTTACACATACTTTTATATTTCTTTCTACTCTGTACTGATAAAAACTTACATTTGTAGATTAAAGTCTGATGTTGGATCATTTGGAATGTTGTCAAATGAGGGAGCTGTGTATCTGAAATAATGAAATGAGATGTCCATTCAATAATCAGACGAAACCTTAATAAATGTTCCTATTTTAAATGAAACCTGTTCTAATCCGACATCTGCATTGGGAGACAAATTTTGTGTCAGAATAGAAGAAGTGTCTGATTACACAGTGTAAGAATATGGAAAATAGTAAAGTGGGAATGAAAATGAATGTCGGAAGTCACAGTGAAACGGATTACACACAATATTCGTATGCATCGTAAACATGTTCAAGTTAACTACCAATATACTAATGGTAAACATACAATTATTGAATTTCATGCAGTCAACAACCAAAGAAGGATATTCTCCACAACCAAACAGTACTGCTTTTAAACGGTGGATCACACTGACCAAATGAAAGTGCATAGTAAAATTCTTTATTTTATAAACACTGATCTTTTAGTGCTATTTTTTCATCAATTCGCATAAATTCAGAGACATACAACATACAAGAGACAAACAAGGATACACGTCTAATTGATTGAAATCCCCATTCCAATAAAATACTATCATTTTCTTGATAACTTAGGTTGCTGATACCCTCTTATCATAAAGTCATTATTCCTTGATCATTAACATAAACTGTGGTATAATAATGATTTCATGCATCAAGGTCACGATTAATGAGAATGATCAAGAAATAATGACCTTACAATAACCAGTCTAAATTTAATTTACTTTATTACAATTTCAACAGTGAAATACTGTAATATATTTACTGAATAAAAGTGATATTCTGACACGGTGTAAATGCATATCAAAATGGTATTCTCACAGTGCGAGGTTATCAGAAGTGCGGCAAAACTTACGATTTGCTTTCCCTTCACAAAGAGTGTTTTAAAAAAAAATCCCTGGCCTGTTATAAGATAGAGTTAATGAGCCATCCTGACAGAGACTAATAGTTATACTGTCAAAGTTTTTCCAAATATGTTGTTAAAAATCTATGTTTACAACTTTTTTCAATCTTGCTTTCACTTAGCTATGATGTCTCAACCGCTCAACTATGACGTCACAGCCTACGACACTGTGTTACGAAAAGACAGAGGCAAATGGAAAATCTAAGAAAATGTAATAAACAGAAAATTCAATGTTTTGTAGATGAATATGGAATTTATTTCACTCGTGAGACAGGAATTTTTAATATTTTCACTTGTGCTTCGCACTCGTGAAAATATCAAAAAGTCATGTCCCACTTGTGAAATAAATTCCATATTCATCTACAAAACATTGAATATCCTCTATATAGTTACATATACATGCATATTACACCTGTCAATTTCTTACCTTTTCTGAAAGTCTGTGATGGAGAAGATGACCTGCATTGTAGAGTTCATGTAACAGCTGTTTCCTAGATTCCTCATTCCCGTGTAGCCAGGGCCATAGAGGGGAGACAACTTACTGCCAGCTTCCTGTATGACGTCCCACTCTCCCACTTTCTGATTAATATCAATCTCAAGCTCCATCATTGTCTTCTCTGTCTACAGTGTCAATAAATAAAAAAATTAATACTACATTTTTAAAAGTGAAATGCTGTAATATATCCACTGAATAAAAGTGATAGTTTTCAAAGTGAAAAAAATATCAAAGTGATATTTTTCACAGAAAAAATGTGCAGAAAAACTCCAGATTTTCCTTCCCTTCACAAAAGTGTTATTAAAAAATACTCCCTGTTATAAGATTATATTAAACATCTTGAAATGGACAAAAATTGACAGAGTTTCTCCAAATTGTTAAAATCCATGTTTATAATTTTAATCTCACAATCAACTACCTACATGTATGACATCTCACAACCATTTAACTCGGATGTCACAGCCTACAATGCTGCATTACAAAAAGCCAGAGGCAAAAGGAGAACCAAAGAAAATGTATTAAGCCAAAATAAAAATAATCCTAGATTTTCATCCCCCTTACCAAATTTTTACCCCCTCCTCGATTTTTTATATCTGTTTTTCTTTGTCTTGATTCTAATTGGGATCAATATTCAACTTACCATTCAACTTTTGTTTTAAGTCTCACAAATGTACAAGATGGTAATTGCTGTATTACGTATTAAACAAGGATCATTGGTGGTGAAAGATTGGTGAGGGTGAGTAGTAAGAGATGTGTACATTTAAATGGACCTCTACTACGACTTTTATTTGGGCAAAATAGATAAACCTGCATTGATTGATGAGTTCACCAAAAAATCTGTACAATGGAAGAAATAAAAATATGAAATAAAATCTGCCCGCCTGCCTCAATCTTTTAAAAAATTTGGATGAGAATCTAGAAATATTTTTTTATCATGGCCTAAACAGAAAATTTAATGTTTTGTAGTTGGATATGAATTTATTTCACAAGAGAGCTTTGTACTCATGAAATAAAAAAAAAAAATCCTGTTGGACTCGTGAAATAAATTCCATATCCAACAACAAAACATTAAATAATTTCTATACCTTCATCTAACTTAGGTAATAAATTAGCTTAAAAAGCAAATTTATACAATTAAACAATCTCAGAAGAGCATTTTTAATATGTGAAACCCTAGTCAATGTTGTATTTTAGCAAAATAAAAACATTTTTTTCAGCCATCTGAGTCTGTAAAAATTGCTGGATGTAATATTAATGAAAAGAGCTAACTCTTAAAACAAGTGACCTTTTCTAAAGCTTTGATGTTGATTCCAAAATGAGCTAAATGTTTGTCCAGGTAAGGGTCCAACACCATGTCATCTTCATCATAAGAGTAAACATCTAGAACAAAAGTGAAAAATTAATATCAATCTGACTGTCCTTTAATTATTTCAATCATTCATGGGGAGTGTAATTCTTGAGTTCTTGAGTGAGTTTATGAGATGAGATTATGAGCGCATGACTTAGTGAGCTCGTGATTGATTTTCATGGGTGAGCGATTGAGTTAGTGAAAGTATTTGACCATATGCTATTGGATACACAACTGATTATGTATCTTACAGAAGTGAATTAATCTGAAATCCTTTCTGAATTGTAAATGATAAGACACCCACCCGCTGCCTCTGGAGTGATTGTCCCTAGTTTGACAGCGAGGGGATACCCTGTCTTCTGATAGTAATCCACAGCATGGTTGTTACCACCACTGCCATCAAAAAACCTCCTCCCACACAGGATGCTGCCGTCTGTCAGGTTCAGCCAGAGGTTAGAGGTTAGGTCACACATTTCACACTTCCAGCCAGTGGGAGGAATCTTTTTACCATTGTCCAGCTGTTTCAGATTTTCAGCATGCCTGTTATTCACAACAATAGTTTTGTACGTTAGAAAAAGTTTTTATTATACCTCTATTAAGAATACTCAAATTTGATTGGCATGTTAGAAGGCTTTTAAACTCAATAATGACTCCAAAAAGTACCGTTTACAGCAATAATGACCTAGGAATCATTGCAAGTGGGGTATAATGACCGGTCAATAAAAATAATGACCGCTAAAAATGACCTGTTAATCCAAATTCCATTCAAATTAAAAAAAATTATGCATACGGTAATGATTGTACATTACAAAATTGCCGTTTTAAAAATATGTAGAGTATTTTTAGGATATGGAACACGATTGGCCTTTAGATGTGTCATAACATTTATCATTTTCATTGAAACTTTCGTTACAATGTCAAATTCAACAAATGCAGACTCTACTCTCTTGTACAGTAAAAGTCTGCTCCAGATTGTCATTGTACTTGGGAATGGTATTTGTGAATTTATAAAAATGCATGTTACTGACAATCACAGATTCTTTTAATAAATCGGCGGTGCAAAAACTTACAAGACTTGCAGGCGAAAAGTAAACAACTTCACTAGTGAATCCCGATCCGATGGAACACTGATAATAACAGTCCGTAGGTCTAATACACAATTGATTATTTTAGCAATTAAGCCTACAAAAATTGCCTTAACTTACATCGGTATAATAAAACAATTGATTACCCCTTATGAGTTCAACATGGTGAAATAAGGACCCTCGACATGGCCTAATCGCTGACCTGACCTGACCTCGGCCGCTACGTGGCCTCGGTCAGGTCAGGTCACCTCGTAGGCCAGGTCTATGAGCCTTATTTCACCATGTTGAACTCATAAGGGGTAATTAATTGTATAATGTCATACATCATACTGAAGAGTGTATGCCTCTACTTTGTGAAGACATACAAGTAGTTTTGAAATTAAGAAGAAAAAATTAAAAAAATTCTTTTACTACTTATCAAATGAAATTAACATCCATGCATATTTAAAATGAAAACCAAAAGTACAAAGTTCTAAAACTTCTTCCAAACCACTCTATATTATAATATGCTAAATAAATCAGGTAAATAATTTATGAGGCTAGTTATCCCTTAGTCTATTTACTTGGATACTTTTCTCTCCTCCCCCTCCCATGTATTGGACATGGCTGCTGCCTCGGCTGCCTTTAAAGGATCCTCAGCTGAAAGTATGGCTGCCACCGAGATCTGAGCAATGTCAGGTAGTTCTGGATTAGGAAGTGGAATCACAGTCCATTTAGGCAGCACTACAATAGAGTTCATCTCCTCAAATTCATACTGCTTCTCATCTGGATTGAAGCCCCCTTCTACACCTGAAAAAGAACTCTTTTGTGAGGAAAAGAACATTCCAAACTAGAGGTACTGTGAGCAAGCTCACAAAATAATAACCCCACCCCTGCAATTTTTTAAAAAGTATCATATACATTTTTCTCAAAGTAACATTGAACTTGCCAAAATGACCTTGGTTTAAAAAAAAAGGAGGTCTAAGTAATCTTTGAGTGAAATATGGACATCTAATGTTTCTCCATTAGAAAGTTAAGGAGCTGACATGAATTTTACACTTTTCTGCCAGTGAACTTGAACATGCCAGAGTGACCTTTGGTCAAGGTTATGACATACCCTCTCCTCCAAGTAATTTTTGTTTCAAGTATCAACTTTCAATACTTATTCATGAGAGAGTTATGAACAGCACACAAATTTTATACTTTTTCTGCAACTGACCTTGAACTTGATTGAATGACATTCGGTCAAGGTCATGACATATCTTCAGGACATAAGTAATATATCTATGAAGTATAAAGTTCCAATGTTTTTCCATTAGAGAGTATAGATCTGACACGAATTTAGCACTTTTTCTGTCAGTGACCTTGACCTTGCTTAAACTGCCTTGAGTCAAGATCATGACACACACTTAACCCTTTAACCCCCAGAGACGCATTTGGACGCATTTTCAGCATTACAGATATTTAACTGTTGGCGTTTATTAAATATTCGGGTTACATAAAAACAATTGATATTTCCTGAAACTAGAGAAGAAACTAAACAATTTTTCTACTCAACGTTTTTCTGTGCGATGTTGAGAAATCATCATAAACTTGAATTGAATATTGCATATCATTGCAAGAAGTTGATAAAACTACGCATAAATGACTGATTTTGTGCCATTTTCTGTTGGCTTTATCTTAATTACAAACACAATAAAATAAAAAATGAATGCCGTAACCTGAAAGCTGGGAATTTTCCCTACATTTTTTATTTATGGACATTATAAGGTACGTGCATCCGTTACAGAGATATATGTCGTTGAATATTGGAACTTTTACGAGTAAAACACACAAAATGCACTATGACGTCATTTGACGTTTTACATGCACAATGAAATCTTCATGAGCTCAGTGTAAAACAAACTCGTTCTTTTGATATATGGAACAGATTTATTTTTTAAAAAATGAATTATTTGTGAAGAGGAGTTAACGTACGACAGGTTTTGAGCCATAAACATGTAATAAAAGGATTTTTCCATAGCTTTGGGAGATGTATTATATACGTGTAGTAATAGTCTTTGGCCCAACGTGCACCCATCATATCAGAAATCCCTGTCGAATTTTGTGTCAGTCCTACATGTAGTAGGAATAATTAATCAAATAATTAAATATCATCCTTACCATTTCCCTAATCTTCAGATTTATTATTAAGATTGAAATTTTTTTTTTTCTTCTAGTACTTGGTGTAGTGCATTTTTATTAAAGCGACAGGATAGATAACGCAGTCAGCCTTTTTTTATGATTAAAAGATGCGGAAAAAAAAACTGTCACAATGAAAAAATATATCAAAAGTACAACGAAGTGTTTTTCACTATAGAAATCAACGGAAAATATTTTTAAAACACCCCCTTTCCTTTTTACAGCGATTATGAATTATTAATTAACAAATTTATAGCAAAGCTCTTGTTGTTTCACGGGGGGGGGGGGGGGGGGGGGGGGGGGAGGGATGGGTATGTTTAAACTTAAGATAAATATGAAAAAAATAAAGGATCATTTATCCATGTCCATGAATATTTTAAAATCTGAGTACTATTTTAAAATCTGGTGATGTTTTAAAGCCTGATTTCAATGGATATACATCTTTTAGCCCCCTTATAAAAAGAGTTGCAATTAAGAGCAATTAACAATTTTACACTGGTATTAATAAATAAATGTCATATCGTAATTTTGAATTTACCGAGTGGTAGTAAACAACAAGAGGCCCATGGGTCACATCGCTCACCTGAGCTCATTGGCTGGGAAGAAACAGAAATCAGTTCAATATTGAACGGGGAAGGGGGTCAAACTTTAATGTAAATTACCTCAGGATGCTTCCATATCAATATTACTAATCATGGCGTTGCTGTTCTTAAACAGAAGAATTTTAAAGATTTTTTTCCTATGTTTTCCACCGTCACGGTAGCTTATTCTGTAGAGCTCTCGCTCCGTGATTGGAAGGTAAGGTGTTCGAGCCCCGGCTGCGACTGACCTAAGTCGATAAAAAATAGGTAGCAGCTGTTCCTTCACCAAGCGCTCACCACCTTGAAGTGAAAGTTGCGAGTCCTTCAGATGTGACCTTAATAACCGAGGCCCCATATCACAGCAGGGGTAGGCACGATGAAGATCCCTCATTGCTCAATGGCCCTCGGCACTCAGCCGCGTAAAGGTCTAAATTTGATGCCCTTCACCAGTGTATGAGTGAAAAATTCTTGAACAGGACGTAAAACAACATACAATTAGTCAATCCTATGTTTTCCTATGTAAAACTCTTATTTCTCATTGTGGCCCCACACTACCCACCATAAATTTGAACAAATTTGAATCAACACTTCCTGAGGATGTTTCTATAATAATATGACTAATCATGGCTTTGCTGTTCTTGAGTAAAAGATTTTTTCAAGATGATCCCAATCTTTTTTTTCTTATGCAAAACCTAACTGACCCCCGTTGTGCCCCCATGATTTGAACAAACTTGATTCTACAATACCTTATGTTGCTTCTGTATAAATATGACTAATAATTGCTAAGTTGTTCTTGAAAAGAAAATTTTAAAGATATTTCCAATGTAAAAGCATTTCACAGTAGAAAAGGATTTATCAAGAGATAGTTTCAAAAATGTTATTAACTGAGCAGTAATTAATTAACAAAGATATAAATAAATATTCAAATAATATGAATATTAATAAATACTGTGGTGGAAAGATGCATTAAAACATCAGAAATAGAATAACAATTGAAAACGATTTTTTTTACCAAATAAGTTTTTTTTTATAATTGATTTTTTTCATTGATTAAAAACAGAGGGAGATAACCCTTACCAAAATTCAAGGTCATAAATTAGGACACATCCCACCCTTACATGCTAATAGTAATAAATGGTAATTACGTCAAAATATAGTGAGTATTAAACATGCACCTACACATCTGTTGTGTATTCAATTTCATTGAATCTGTTGCTGTTAGAGATGGAATACCTTAACTTCTTTATTGCCGATTCAGCATCCAACTTCTTCTGCCAGCTTCTGAATGCCTGACTTTCTCAAAGCTTTGCCGTTACCCTTTGGTTTGGCTACTCCATTCCAAAGGTTGTCAGATCATTCCATTATTTGAGGTCTTTACTCGAATATGCCCCTTAACCATTACACCTATATATTCCTATGTAAAAATTCGACCCCCTCTTGCGGCCCTGCCCTACCCCCCGGGGTCATGATATAAAAAAAACTTGAATTTACAGTATGTAATGAAGTTTGCACATAAGTTTAATTTTTTTTGGTCCCGTGGTTCTTGAGAAGATTTTTAAAAGATGCCATCAGATTTTCATAAATTCTTAATTATCTTCCTTTGAAAGACGACGCAGTACTTCCTGTGAACAAACTTAAAATTAATTTCCTTCACCCAAGGATGCTTTGTAGCAAGTTTGGTTGAAATTGGCTGGATGGTTCTTGAGAAGAGGTCGAAAATGTGAAAAGGTTACGGACTACAGACGACAGACGGAGGCCGGACACTCTTTGATCAGAAAAGCTCACTTGATGATTGATTGATTGATTGTACGTCCCATTCGAGAATTTTTCATGCATATAGAGAGGTCGCCATATACCGGTGAAGGGCTTCAAATATTGACCTTTACTCGACACTCAGGGCCATTGAGCAGTGAGGGATCTTTAACGTGCCAACACCAACCGTGACACGGGACCTAGGTTTTTAAGGTCTCATCCAAAGAATCGAACTCACGACCTCCCGATCACGGAGCGAGCACTCTACCGACTGAGCTACGTGAACGGTAAACGCTCACTTGAGCCTTCGGCTCAGGTTAGCTAAAAATTACAATTATATGACATGTTGTCATATTGTAATTTGTTGTATTTACTTCCATTCGGTAAATTCAAAAATTACAACATGACAGTACATTTGTAATATAATTCAATCACTAGTAAACTTTTCTTTGAAATAAAAAAAATAATATCAAAATTGTCATTTATTAAATAAAGGCGTATAAAATGTAGGCTGGAATCGAGAGTTAGTGTGCGTAGTTCTTTACCAACTCTCCCCATAGCCATCTTTTAAAACTTAATGAGGAACTAGTGATATTGTATGTTCGAGTACATATCAGGGTGTCGTGAATTCTCAGATGCAGGTCGCTGGAACCAGGCAAGTAATTTTATTCAATGGTAAAACTCTACTGAAGTAAATGGGGGCCCATTTGATATTTAAAACGACTGTGCATTGTTTCCTCTAAAACACATGGGTTTTCCAAAAAGAAGAAAAAACGGGTATTTAAGGCAAAATATTTTCTCGCATGATTCCGAGGACATCAAATCAACATTTAACAAACGAATAAGAGACAATGATCAGCAAAATTCCTCCTCCTCTCACTTCGACCAACGTTTTATAGATGTCAATTTTTGTAACGTAGATATTTGTAATTTTAATGTGTACAATGGCGTTGAATATAGTATACCCATGTTTTGTTAGAAAGTTCCCTTCTCAAAATTGCTATTTTTGTAACCATGGTAACACTGTTCATTGAAATAAAAATACTAAAATAAAGAATTGTGTATCTTAGTGTACTTCACATGTGTACCAAATTTTATTGAAGTCAGGCAAAAACTGTAGGAGCTAGGGAAAGCTATTTGAAAATTGCTTATAATTACGACAATCAGACAGCTGTATAGCCAAAGTCTTAAGGATGACGGACATTGTGTGATTCCTATCTATTGTGTCTTCCTAACAAATAAAATTGACCAGTATAACTAAAAGCTAATTGACTGCATGCTTTGTTTAAATAATATCACTAAATCCTCTGTTATAGAAACATTATATGTAAATTTGTTTGTATTTCTGGGATGAAAAAGGGTGAAAAAAACACATATTTTGGCAATTATGGGTTTCATTCGTTGCCATGGCAACCACGACGTCATTTTACTCTGCATAATTAAAAACTTTAAGATTTTATCTTTCAGAAAATGTTAAGGTTACTTTATGCAAAAGTGACTATAAAATGTTAAAATTTCAATTTGAAATTTTTAGGCAGTTTTGCAGAAAAAATGCAAAATCTCTGGTAGTTAAAGGGTTAAGCCATAAACAATCTTTACATCACGTATCAACTTTCAATTAGCCTCCATTAGAGATTTATGGACTGGACACAAATAACACACTTTTTTTCTACTAGTGATCTTGAACTTGCTGGATTGACTTTGGGTAAAGGTCAGTACTTACCCTCAGATCATAAGCAATTGCTGCAGGGTTTGACACTAAGGCACGTCCGACCGACCCAGTCTAGTAAATGAGTGGTCCGGTCGTGTGAAATGTTCGTGAACTAGACCGATTGGTCGTGTTGATAAAATAACTGTTAAAACTTTTTTCAGTCTTTCAAATTATTATTTCAAAAACTTTTAAAGAATTTTTCTTAATTTGTTCAATTGTAAACACAGCCAAGAATCCCCGTATGACACAGTCACTATTTCTAGCCACAGCTGTAACAGAGGAGTTGCGGTAGAAACTAGCGTCCTTCAGTATCAATATGGTATATAAATAGTTACTGAAAAGATATATTCTGCAATTAATTTATCAATATTAAGGATAGAAAAATTATTAAAGTTCGTTGAATGATCTTTAAAGCTTACAATATTCGCATGTCTTGATGAACCTGACTCAATTGGCTAGTCGGTAAAGATCATAATATGCAAGAGAAACGATTTCAAAATTATTTACCTCATTAAAATCAGTGATTTTAAGAAATAAATAAAATTTGCAAGTTTGGTCAGAGCTAGTGATTTTATGGCCAGGGCTAGTAAAAATTATGGGAAGTAGCCCGACTGGTCTAGCACTCGTAAAAGTTAATGTCAAACCCTGCGCTGTGATAAATATGAGCTTCTAATGTTCTCCAGAACAATATATGGTCATTTCAGGATTTACACATTTTTGTAGAAATGACCCTTGATCAAATGACCTTAGGTAAACATCATGGCACACCTTCAGGTCATCTAGGCAATCTCTGTATGGGATAGGAACTTCCCCTGTTTCTCCAGGGAGTTGATGACCAGAGATAAATTTTATACTTGTTCTGCCAGTGACCTTGAACTTGCCAGAATGACCATGGGTCAAGGTCAAGACACACTTTTGGGTCATGAACAATCTGTGTACCAAGTATGAGCCTCCAATGTTTCCCCATTACAAAGTTAGGGCCAAGACCCAATTGCATCCATGGACAAATAGACAGCTAGATAGAGGGATGGACAGACTGATAAGGTGATTCCAATGTATCTCCCTCCCACACTTCATTAACTGGGGGCATAAAAATTCTCTGCAAAATCATTGCAACTTTCTTTTATCAAAGGATCCATTTATTTCACATACCTATGGCCAGTTTAGTGGGCTTTTTCTCTGGTGGAGATTCACTGCTTTTTTCAATCTAGAAATAAAATTATGCAGTCTAATACAATTGTGAAAATGTGTTCTGCAATAAAATTATTTATTAAACACAGCTTAATTGTGACATTTTCCATATTTCAGTAGCATATTATGAGGTGTACCTCTTTGCGAATTCTTCTAATGTGTAGAAACACGGCATTTCCTGTCTTATTGTAGTACCACTCCACATATTTCTTCCCCAGCCCAAGAAATGTCGACATACACACATAAAGCCCTGTGTCACTCTCCTAATACAAATGTTAACCAGAATATTGTTCTCACTTCATAAATACACATAAATCTAAAATAACACACATATTCCAGAGGAATACTATAGCTTTCAGAATAATTCCCACACAGGATGATAACATTTTGTTAGATAAAATTGATGTCAGCATTCTACTTACTGGATTATCAAAAGAAAAGGTGCATTCTTCTTTGTAAACTTTTTCTTGTCCAAATGGAGCTTTGATTTTAGCCAGCTGGGGCATTAAGTCCTCCATGCTGTTTTAATAGAAGTGTATGGTACTTATTTAAAGATTCAAAAATTATTTGCATCCAATGTTACATTGGCAATGTAAGATCCTAGCATATGAATGCAAAATCAACAAGTGTTGGGACTGTCTATAAGATTATTAACAATCCAAGAAAATCTCCTTTGACAAATCTGACAGAACTGCACTGAACCATGGTCATTTAGGCCCGGTGACACTTTGGCCAAAATAGGATGGCCCAATATTTAAGACAGGTCGGCCCAAGATTAAAAATGGGTCAGCCCACTGAAACACTTTAACTCAAATCACTTTGGGAAATATTTATACTTTAAGGGTGTAATGATATTGTGATATGTTTCGCTTTAAGTCCCTAAGTGGTAGAGCAATCTGACACCGGTTTTTAGGACACAGTTTGAAAATTAGTATTTACAAATCATTCAACTGCTTTAAAAAATATATTTTTGAGAAATAAAATTTTGTATTATTGGTATTTCATTAAGGTTGTGTTTGTAGATTGAAATTTAAATTTATTCCCAACAATATTACAATGATAATTTTGAGAGATCATTTTTTTTTATAACTTTATATAGAACAAAAATAAATAACTGAGATGTTTTAGTAGGTATCATGATATACCAATCAAAAATATTGATATATCATGATACATTTTTGTGTATCAATACTCATCTCTATTTTTATAATACTTCCTAAATTATGTGCACCTTCTGCAAAACTTGATTGAAAAATTTAATACTCTATCCATAAATTTCATGACAATAATTTATGAAACATATTTACCAAAAGTTTTTGCTTTTTAGGTATTTTTATGCAGATCTACGGCCAAAAATAGTATACTCTTGTTTTCTATCATGCTACCTTCTCTACAATTTACCTCCAGACTGTAAAAGTTTTTATGGCAAATACTGTGATCAAACAAGAAAAGGGAATTTCTTCTATTAATTCATTGAGAATGTTCCAAATTTGTTATCAGAGTACATGCAAAAATTAAAATATGTCTTAAATAAGTATGTGGATGTAGTCTAAAACAACTGATGAAACACTAGGTTCAATTATTTTCATGTTTCATTACAAATTAGCTGCAAAACTGTAGCGTTATGGTTTTATATTTCAGCCTTTGACCATAACACTACAGATCCCGTAATGCAAATATGGTGCAATTTACGGCGCACTTTGGGGATGTATTTCTCCACTTTCCAGCATTGGACAATCAACTACCTTTCATTCCCTAGTTCTAGACATATTCTTTTACCAACCTGTGTATTTTATCCACTCCTAACATTTTATAATTGTCTCTACAGACCAATAAACTCGCTTGTTTTGAATTTTCGGTCATCCAACAAAAAAATTCAAAGCAAGCAAGATTATTGGTCTGTAGAGACGACTATAGAGGGTTAGGAGGTGGATAAAATATTTTTCCTGCATACCTTCCCTATTTTTTTCATCTGGGGACAGGAAACAGGGATATTTTATTCTGGCCTAAGTTAAATGTGGAGTAAGCATCCAGTAATAAATTATATATACACAAGTGTACTCATCCCAACGGTCACACGGTCAACATATTACTCAACGGTGATTTTTTTTGTTTTTTAAACCACCACCCCTCCTTTTGAATTGGGAAAAATTAGTGACATTTTCCTCAAATTGGGAAAAATCATTTATAGTAAATTTGAATGCTAAAAAATACATAAAATAATCAAACTAAGTTACAACAACAGTTTTTGTTTGATTTTAACTTTGAATTTGATTTAAATTCATAAAATAATCATTTAAAAAAAAATAACAATATTTTATTGAATGTGAACATGGCTTATATTAGTCACACCTTGTAGCGTCTATTTTCTTGGAATTGCTTTGTCTAATTTCATTAAAAAAATAACCAGCATTTAGACTCATAATCTAGTAAACTGTCTTATATTGATAATCAAGTTTACAGTCTTTACAGTTTGCTTTTACCTGATTTTAGCGAATCCCTATTTTGTCCATTTCCTGATATTAGCCTGACCCTCTATGTAATAATGGCGGTCAAAACAAAATCATTATGTCAACATGACTTGTATCTGGGAACTATTTACCAATTCATTAAGGATACTATAAGCTACTTATCTGCTTATATGGATATCTGCATTGTTTTACACATTCAAAAATCGGCTGCATATGCATGGATTTGGAGAATAAAATTGAAGAATAAAAACATATTTACTCTGTCAGCAAATTTAGCGACATTTGTTCAGAATTAAAACAATTTCTGTACATCTGAAATTGGGAAAAATATGCTAATAATTGGGAAAAAATAGCTAATTTTTGTGAGGGGAAACAGCCAAATATCGGTGGCATTTTGACCCAAAAAAAATCACTGCTCAAATGTTGTAGGAAATGAATACCTTTTCCATTGTTATATATTCAAAGTTCTGGTAGACTTAATGGAATATTTGTGAATGTTATTGCACGTAGCTGCAATAATGTAGCCCTCTACGATTTTTTTTTTTTTTTTTTTTTTTTTTTGGGAGAGGGCTACAACTCCTTAGGATCTCCGTAATGGTGCAAGTGCGGGAGTGATTCACTACCGCACAGATTTCGGCTCAAATTATCAGTAACTGGGTATTTTGTTAACATATCTTACCTGAACTCATAAAATGTAGTTATGCAGGACATGAATTGATCCAAAAATATACAGAACAATCCGTATAATGGTTATTTTTCGTGTATGTCAACATCACAACTTGAATTTATCCGCCATGTTTACTGACCTTGATCGATTTTATTTTGGGACAACCAATGAGAATTTGGGAACTAGGGGAGCGGATCTGTATGGATTTCCCTTATTATAAGCATAAATATCACTGTTTATGATAAAAATATCACGTGGAATGTTTTTATGTTTAGTTATATCATACAACACAAACATTTATCAACACCGACATTTACATTATCAAGTGATTCTAATTTCAAGCGCAAGTCTCAGTACATCACGCGAGAACTGTCATGGCTGCTGAGGTGAACGACTGGAAAACACGCAGATTTATTTTACTTGGTTTTCGCGTATAAAGGGCTATGATGTTGATAGTGAATAAAAATTCCGTCTTATTGGAAGTAAGTTGAATGCAAAAACAATTTCTTTTGCCTGCAGTCGCCCGTATCTAAAAAATATATTTGCACCATTACGGAGATGCAGTGGAATTGTAGCCCTCTCCTGAAAATATCAGATTAAAAAAAATCGGAGAGGGCTACATTATTGCAGCTATATTGCACGTTAAGACAAACTAATTTCCAGAGTTGCAAATAACCACTCGCCCACTCACAAATGCGAGTAATTCTGTCCATGGGCAACTCTTTAAGATGGTATCACCCACATGGCAAGTAAGAATTTTATTGGAAACTCCCAGAACCCAATCAAGACAAAAAATTGTAAGCCCCAAAATATCAATGTGGGATAGTAAAACTAATTGCCCACATGACCCACCAGGTTTTAAAAGTTATTATTTGCAACCCTGAGTTCTTGGGCAAAGGTTTCTTATATTTGGACTGACCCGTCTTAAATATTGGACAGACCAGTCTTAAATCTTAAGTCTTTGTTGACTTGTCAGATTTGATCTGTTGATGGGTCGAAATAAGCCAAGGCGTCTGGATGCCACAGATGTCTGAGAAAGGTTGAATCTTCTGTAGCGAGATATGATTTCTATACTTTGAAAGTTCACACATGTATATCAATAATTTCAATGAACATAAAATTACCTAATGTTGTATCTACGTATGATGACAAAAGATTTTTTTCACCGATTACTTTGATCAAAGTCAAACTTATTTTTTAAAATTCTCTCAATCTTACGTTATCTCAAACGCAGGATTGAGCGTGACATCTCCAAACCTAGGCCAATGAAATCCAACTTTACAAATTTTAGTTTTGTTACATCATACCATCATTATTCTGGTAATTGTATTTGTTTCTAAATGCAATAAAATTTTCAGGATATTATGGGATACATCAACACTTGAATTGTTACTTGAATTGATGTATTAAAAATAGTCATCAGATGGTTGAATGTCTTAAATTGACTTCCTATAAATTATTAACTTATTGTACAACCTAACAAAATTAGATAGCTAATTTGATTGGCTGTAGCGGGAACTTCAAAAACAATATCCATCTGGCGTTTTTTTGTATGATAAGAATTGCCACATCTTCGTGTATGGTTAACTGCATTATTTATAAATTGTAAGTTTTCATTTAAATGCCATTATCCAAAACAAAAATACACCCTATACAATATTCTAAGCAATGCCTTTTTATAAACATTGCTTTTTTTTTTAATTATATGATTTTAAAAATTACTATATGTTGCTTTATTGAGCTACATTTTTATTTGTTGATCTATTCATCTCTCGGTACTAATCCCTTCAGATTAGAGTACTCCGAATATGATGCGCAACTGGTTAAACAGGGTTGCAAATAGCATTTTAAACTTACAGGGGCCACGTGGGCCCCTATTCTCTTTAGGGAAGTGGACAGGCTTTCGTCTACATGCACTTTAACTTCACAAGTTTTACTAGCCAACATTGATATTTTGGGACCCACTGTTTTCTGTTCACTTGGTAAAAAAAAATCATTTCTTATGATAATCTCAAATACTTTCCTGTCCACAGTCTTTCATTTTCAATTTTTCTTGGGGATTTCGACACCACTTGTATGAAATTCCATGTTTTCATTCACTTCAAGATATGTATTTTGAATTAAATGTTTCTATCGTAAAATTATGGAAAGCGTACTTTGCTGACTTTCACAGTTCTGTTCATAACGTGAAATATTTTTACCCACAGTTGAAGCAAACAATCAGAAAACGTTTTCAACATTTTTATTTCAGGAGGAAAATTAATGAATATAAACCTGCTAATTTTGAATAATATACAGTCCATCTTAATAGGCCATGGGCAATAACCCGCTACCATTGATACATATTAAAAAGGAAAATTTAATAAATTTTGAAGGAATTTCCATACTTTCAAGGATGCACTTCGTTGATATGATTCTTCTACAGAATATTCATCTTTTTATTGTATTTACCTAGTAAGAAATTTTTAAACCCGTCCTATGTTTACTTTAGAGAATATTTAAATAAAAAAAATATTTGATAATGGCAAATATTCATTACTGGTAAAATGACTGTATATGAATTGATCAAATCATAACTTTTATTACTTACACGTTGTTTGAATAATTCTTTTGTAACTTAATATTGCTTTTGCACATGTCAGAACATGAAAAATCAAACCCCACACAAGTTCACTTAAATCTATTAAAGCTAATGTCATGATAATGTTAATGCTTTAGAAATTTTGTTATGATATATAAACTATTATCAATCTATCAGCGTTGTTAATCTTATCTACTTTTGTTTTAGTGAAAATGGGACTCTCTGGCAGTAAAGATGAGTCGGAGGACTTCAACACTCCACCAAAGATTGGAACACATCGTCGAATCATCGATCAGGAGTTTGATCCAAGATCACCCTCAGTGGGAATAGCAAGGACACCTATTGTAGTTGATAAAACCCCAGAGGGATTGCTAGACCCAAGGTCCCCCACAACAGGAATCACAAGAACACCCATTACAACAGTGACTAGTAAACATGGTAAACACATTATCTACAACAAGAACAGATATATGGGTTACCCCATTTCCAAGATATTCGACTTTTAATTTATTCGAATTTTCATTATGCTCAGATGATTTCTAATTTTAAAAAAACTATTTACTGATAAAAGGTCAGAGATACTCAAGCTGTAGAATGTCAACTATACAATGGCCATAAATATCCTGAAATGACATAATATTTAGGCTACTGAGTTTCAACATCTTTTGTTGATTAAAATATGCATGTGTTAAGGAAACTGCATGTACATATATAACGTTACATGCGTGTAGTGATAATTACAAAAAATAATTAGAACACCCATTACAACAGTGACTAGTAAACATGGTAAACACATTATCTACAACGAATTACTAGAACAACCATTACAACAGTGACTAGTAAACATGGTAAACACACTATCTACAACAAACATTCTTCTGTACATCTAAGTGTTATCATGGTCACTTAATAACAAAAGTGTGTCTTTACACTTTCTTAAAAGGGTTCTTGAAATTGTTTAATATCAGAATATTGTTATTTCCAGTAAAATATTTATAATTTACTTGTAATCCATAAAATATGCATGCTTGATGATTATTTATTTAAAATTCCACATCATCAAAGAATAAACTGTACCATTGCTACTACAAAATGTACATTTAATTTCAGCTGGTGTAACAGAGACACATGATCTTGCCCCACTTATTTTACATGATGAGGCAGATATAAGAAAATCATTGGAAGAAATGGAGGACACAGACAAATTATTGATGGATCTGGAGGAAATCCCAGATCTAGACAAGCTTGAGATAACTGATCTGTTAGAGAAACAAAAGAAAACAACCAAATCCCTCACCAGTACCACTCTGAAGGACATTCCTCCACATAAACTGCCTGCCAGTAAAGATAAAAATAAAATATTTGAAGGTACTATTGAAAAAAAAAAGCTATAAAAAGGTCTTGTCAAACATTGTTTGTCAGTTACCAGTACAAAATTTTCAAATGGATATCATAGTAAATGTTAGTAACTGTTTTGTACATCTTGAGGCAAGAAGTGGAAGGGTGGCTGTTGAATTAAGAGTACAACTCCTACCTAAGTGCTTAAGTACATCTACCAGTAACCACCTTTGTTAATGTCCTTGTGTCCATTTAATACTCTCACTAATATTTTTTGGTTGTATAGAACCATTTGATGACAAATATTTGATTTGAGATACTACCGTATTTGGCTGAATATAATACGCACTTTTTTCCCAAAATAATTTTCTGTGAAAAAGGGGTGCGTATTTTACACCACAATGGGATTTTGATAGGTTTTTCTTTCATGTGAAACACGGCTATCATACGCACATACCGTAGTATTACCTAGAGACTTGTGCAATTTCTTGCTGTTTATCGCCATATTTAAAACTTCGGAAAGTTATTGTTGGAATGTAGGCTTGTTAAAAATGTTATATTTATAACCTTTTGATAGTTAAATTTAAAAGCAAGTTAAAATTAATTTGAGCTGCATGTTCATCGTCTCCGTGTAGGCCGCCATTAACGATGTTATTTATAGATGTTGACACATTCCTTTGCCACGTGCTTCCGTAATCATAGTACCTGTACCTAATCAGTCGGACACTTGGTCAAAAAGTAATAAGTCATTTTTTAATGAAATACAATAAAGTAAAATTTATTTTAGGTTTTAAATAACTCAGTGAAAATTAATTTCAATATAAACATCCCTCTATATGTCCCAATGAATGGAAGCCAATGTTGTGAACACGTGCGCTTGTCACTTGATAATTACCCCTCAACACCCCTCCAGGCAATTAAATTGCTTACCGACTCCAAAGCATTGTTTTTACAGTTAGAACACTGATCATTTACTGCCCTTATTAATGGCTTTGATTATTTTCTTTGTTAAAAATCGGGGGTTGGTTTATGATTGTTCGTATGTATAAGCGTCTGTAAATTACGACATATTTAACAATTAAACGCTTGTTAAATGTAATTTTATACTTTATCTTATATTGGCCTCGTGTTAAAATGATCGAGAGTTAAAAAAGAAAATATGAAGTATGTTGAAACTTAAGTGTTATCATTTACTCGTGCTCTGTAGAAAATAAGATATCCACGAAGATAAACTCGATGTATGAAGACATATATCCTACCTTTCTACATCATTTTTCACAGCTTTGGAGGTGTGTTGATAACTACACTTTACACGCTTGTTAAATTTTGATTTTATTTTTATAACATCAGCTATTTATTTAATTAATTAATTTCAAGTTCAAAAGAGGAAAATCGTAGTCTATGAATACTTTGATGTTGCAATATCTCTTGCCCTGTTAAATTTACATAATTTTCAACAAGATTACCTTAAACTAAAAATAAATATGACAACTGTTAAACTTGCAAAAATACCTCGTGCTTTGTTGAAATAAAATTATTTCCACAAAGAATAGTCAGAATACGGCGACGTATAATTTCAATTTATCCCCGTATGCTAAAAAAAATTAATAATAAACTCTGTTAATACTTTAATGCAACATTATCTCGTGCTTTGTTAAAATAAATAATTTCCTCCAGATTGCCGCGATATGGAATGTCAAGATTAAGAAATAAAAACGAATAAAATATCGTGTTCTGTAAATTTTCGGCACTTTATCTCCGCGCCGATTTTCATAGCAAATTACCGCGATTTTCAAAAGTTCAGAACACTGCTTGGTAAAATTTTCTGCTGCGTATAATACAACCGAACTGCGTTTTTTCCCCCAGTTTCAGGCTCAAAAAGGGGGGTGCGTATTTTACACCAATGCGTATTATATTCGACCAAATACGGTATACTACACAGGGACTAAAAAAATCAAATGACTACATGCAGAATTTTCTAATCCACCCCATCTTTTCTTTTCAAAACATGGAGAGAAAATACTGAATAGGTTGGAACTGATAATTCTTCCAAATCAACTTGCTGTTAAAGCTTTAAAAAATTGGAATTGTTTTAATCTTTACTGATGCCTGTAACTCAGATGTATGCATTAATCTTGGTTAAATGTTCCTGTAAATCTCAAGGTCACAAGACAATACTGTGTGTAAGTATTTTATTAAAAAAAAAAGTATACTGATGTCAGATTCCCTCTTTAACTAATCTGAACTTTATTTTTAGATGCTCCATCTAGGGTGTCAAAAGGATCAGCCAAAGTTCCCCAGCCAAAGCAATTGTTTCCAAGTAAACGAATGGCGCCTGGCAACAAAGACAATACTCGTTCACCTCTGGCGACCAGAACACTTGACATGAACTCCCCGAGAAAAATAGTGCAACAGAAACAGTCCAAAAACATTGAATCACAGAAAGCAAAGAGTTGTGCCCTGGAGGCTGTGACAATGAGTATGAATAAGGAAAATGTCAATATGTGAAATTCAGTTCAGCCTGAGTCAAGATGAATGTGAAAATTCAGTGAAAGCACACTTTCAGAAGTTTTCATAGAGATTTTTGATCCACTTCATTACATTAATAATAACGAAGCACATGTCCTGTGCTGCTTTGCATTATGCATGTATTTAAAGCAGTCACATGCCTGTTACTGATATTAATAATTGCTCATGCAAAACTATTGGTAGCTACAAATGTAAAGTATAAGCTTCTGTTTTTTTTTTTGTGTGTGTGTATGTGTGAATAGAGGCAAGGGAGCAATTGTGATGTAAGACATGACAAGTAATTGATGTTTTAACTGTATTACAAGTATTACAGTCAATCAGATGATGTGCATTAGTTGTATGTATATTTGAACTGAAGAGTGTAAACCTATATTGTCCTTGAAGTAAATTTGCTTAAAAACCTTAATTTAAGATGCACTGAAAAACATCTATCATTGTTTGTATAAAAATATAAATGAAATTTTTAGTTCTTAGAAATGATAGATACTTTAATGTACAGTACCTTCTATCAAAATTATGCAAATTCTATTATTTTCATCTCTGCAATACTGTTGTAGAATATACATGTACATGTACATATTAATAATGTTCTAGTCTGTTATTCATACCTCATTTCTCCAATATTCAAAAAAGTTGTAGCTGTGCTGAATAATTTAACAACAAAGGCCTTCAAATTGAAACTTTCAAATAAGTTTTTTAAGTATTGTAAATCATTCAAGTGTTCACAATCATTTATATTGTAACATAATTATTTATACCTGTTTGTAAATAAATTCACTTTGTAATAGATAAAGGAAATTTGTAAACAGTTTTACTCTCCTCTTTATGTATACTGACATACAAAAAAAAATCCTAATAAAAAAAAATCAGATATAGGGTATAATTTTGTAATTAAAATTATGGAATCTTTAACTAGTCAGAAATTCGAAGGTTGAATGATTTTCATTCCATTTCTGTATCAAAATCTGAGCCCAACTTAACGGAAATGATAAATTGCATGTTTAACAAAACATGCCTATTATTTGGATTTAGAAGAGTTGTTTCTGTGTGTTGTAAGTGCATTGTATTGCAGCAATATTCCAGAATAATTTTTTTGTTTCTTTCTCATAAGTGATGCCAAGGCTCTAAGCATGCTTTCAATTGCTTCTAGCTGGAAATTCTCAAAATTAAGAGGAGAGTTGCAGATGCAAAGATGCATTATCATTTGCTAAAATAATAGTCTGTGGATTGGAAGATCAAGGGTTGCTACTCAGATTTGAGGAATTTTGACTTCAGCATCTGAGAAAAAGGCACTTCAGAAAGACTGAAGAATACTGGTATATATTTTGCTCAAACCACGGGAATGATGAACTTAAATGCATCATTTAATCTGAGCTACAATTGTGCATGGTGGACTTCCTAACTATAATTGAATTTCGGTGGGGGGGGGGGGTTTGAGCAGGTCTCATTCGCAAGTAACTATAGGCCCTATATTGACCAAACTTGCCTGGATGATACACCTAAGGATGCACACTACTGAACTTGCTTCGGATGCTGGATCTGACCTATATTTTCGGATGAGTGACCAGGTTAAAGTTTTTGGAGCAGATCTCATTTCCAAGTAACTATAAGGCCTATATTGACCAAACTTACATGGATGATACATCTAAGGATGCACACTACTGGACTTGCTTGGGATGCTGGATCTGACCTATATTTTCCGGATGAGTGACCAGGTTAAAGTTTTTGGAGCAGATCCCATTTCCAAGTAACTATAAGCCCTATATTGTCTAAACTTGCATGGGTGATACATCTAAGGATGCACTACTGGACTTGCTTGGGATGCTGGATCTGACCTACATTTTCTGGATGAGTGACCAGGTTAACATTTTTGGAACAGATCTCATTTCTAAGTAACTATAAGGCTGATTTGAACCAAACTTGCATGGATGATGCATCAAGGAACGAACACTCTCAAACTTGCTTCAGATGCTGGATTTGACTTACATTTTCTGGATGAGTGACTAGTTTAAAGTTTGTTGATAAGTCTATTCCCAAGTAACTGCAAGCCCTATCAGACCAAAATTGCCTAAATGTTGCATCTAGAGATGCATACTACTAGATTATTAGTTTAGTGTGGGACTTTGCCTTACTTAAAGGCAACATTCGTTGAGGTGAGCTCTGTAATCTCTGATTACCAATGTTCTTTGCAGAGGTTGCACATACTGAAATGAAATTTGGTATACAGATTTATCATAAGAACATCTAAGTCTAGTTCTGCTTTGGGTACAATCGAGCAATTTTTGACAGAGTTATGCCCCTTGGACAAATCCTTTCCTTTTGTTCTTTATCCCATCGTAAAGGTTTTTATCAAATTATATGGCCTAAGATACGAGATAAGATATATAAATTAATAGAAACTGTTTTAGCAAAGCTTTCTATTTGGACATTGACATATTGGCACTCCCTTTAATAAAGATCATACAGTCAAACCTTGTTATCTTGAACTCAATAGGACTGAGTAAAAACTTTGAGATATCCAAGGATTTGAGATATCAGGGATAATATACTTAAAGAATAAGTGTTTCGACCTTTCAAATCATTTTGACAAATCCATGGTATTAGAGGTACAGTGTATTAGTTTGAGATACTTAAGTTCAACTGTATTTTGAAAGTAGTAAAGAAAGTCTTTGCAGAACAAATAGTCTAAGGCATCTACAAAAGACCCAGAAACGTACAAAAATTTTGAGTGATTACTTCTTATTATGGGACTAATCTCTTCTAGAAACCAAAGTGTGATAGAAAGACAATAATTACCCAAAGCTTACATTAAATGATATTGTCAACATTGAAATTTATGGCTGAAAATATTTTGCACAAATATTGAGGCTTCTGTTTCAACTCCAGAGGTGCCAAAGTTACCTTATGCTTGCCTACATGTGTATATGATTGTGACCATGTCTTAACACCACCATCATAAAAAGGATTGGAGGAATACCATTTTTCTTGATAGGAAAGTTTGAAGAGAAATTATTCCTATGGGTTGCAGTCAGTGTTGACTGAGATCATGACCTAAATCAATTCTATCTCTTGAAAATTTAATGGAATCTTTCAAAAATTTTCTCAAAAACAACTAAGCAAGAAAAGTTGAAACTTATGTGAAAGCTTCATTACATAGTGAAAATTCCAGTTTGTGCAAATCATGACCCCCCAGGGAAAGGGTAGGGTCACATCATGGGATCAAAGTCATATATAGGAACACTATAAGAAATATCTTTAAAAATCTTCTCAAGAATAGCAAAGCCATGATTAGTCACATTAATATGGAAGTATCCTTAGGTAGTGTAGATTCAAGTTTATTCAAATCAAGATCCCCGAGGGTAGGGTGGAGCCACAACAGTTATCAAAGGAATAATTAGGGAATATATCTTTAAAAAATCATTTTCTGATGACCTGCAAAGCCTTGATGAGTCATATTAACACAGAAGCATCCTCAGGTAGTGAAGTGTAGTGTCAAGTTTTTGTTTTTTGTTTTTCAAATCATGACCCCTGGAGATAGGGTGGGGTCACAACAGGGGAACAAAGTTATACATAGGAATACATGTATGAAGGAAATATTTTTAAACTAGAAATATGTTCATAGGACATGAATGCCCCGCCGAGGGTATATTAGTAATGCAACATGAAAATTTGTATTAGTGTATGAAATTTGATGAGAATATCTTGAATAGTTTCTTTAAAATTGAAATTGAAATCTAAAAAGTTGGATATAGATGATGAATTCTCACCAAATTATGTATAAGTGCATAAGCTTACATAAATATATCTTAAATGGTTTCTTTAAAATTAAGCAAAATGCAAATTTAAGAAAAGTGAGGTCAAGGTCCCAGAAAAGTTCAAGGTCAAATGTTTTTGATGCAGTTAAATAGTTCTCATAAATACGTATCAGCATATTAAGTTTGATAAATATATTTTGAATGGTTTATTTAAAACTGAGCTAAACACTAATTTAAAATAAATGATGTTAAGGTATGTCACTCGTGAAATTTGTTATATCAAGGATTTTTTGAGAAGTATATTTTGGATAAGTACTCATATAGTATGACTCAAAATCGCAGAGAAAATGGGGGGTCAGTGTGCATCTAACTAAGCTACGGTACAATTAAGTTGACCTTTTTGCACTTAAATTGTAACTCTTTGGTTAATCACTTTAACCGTTATCATATTTCATCAGATGTAACCATGGCAATAAACATAATCTTATTTCACGTAAAATAGTTTGAATAATATTTATCATTGAACAAATCATGCAAATTAATGCGCGTAAATTATTGTGTGACCTTTTTGCACTAAAAAAAGTCTCATATTTGGGGTATTAAAAATCTAAATAGGCAATAGAATATTTTCTTGTATCAAACTTTTTACGACTTTAGTGCTGATTGGTCAAAAGTATCGAGTAGTTTAAAATAATGAAAGAAAAAGTTGGGGTCAGTGATGTAAATTTTGAAATATGGGTCAAAATATGCGATTTTCTGGCAAAAAACTGTATAAATTTTATCTCGATTTCCTTAATATATCTTCATTTCTTGGCAAAGTTTGTTGAGCGAAGATGTAAATTTTGTTATAAAAATATAAATTGAGACCTATATTTAATATTCCAGGCATATCATAACGGAAAATATTCTCTGAGTAAAAGTATGTGAGGCTAAAGTTCGAATATATTAAATTTAATAAATGTGTAGATTTGTAGAATTTTCTGCTAAATATCCTTCCACCACAAGAAATAGTCCCTTATAAATCTTGCTTCTTTATGAATTTTTGAGCAGTTTTTTAATTGGATGTTGAACATTTTACATTGTTTAATTTAAATATGTTATAAAGATTGAATTGTAATAAATAGTTTTTAAGTAAGAGGTTCTGACTGAAATTTTCTAAAAGGCTGACGAGTGACATACCTTAAGGTCAAAGGAAAGGTCAAGGTCAAAAAATGTTGATAAGATTACATCAGTATGTATTAGCATATGAAGTTTGATAAAAATATTATGAATGGTTTCTTTAAAACTGAGTTAAACACAAATTGAGGAAAGTGAGGTTAAGGTCAAAGGAAAGGTCAAGGTGAAAAAATATTGATGCAGTTGAATAGCTTACATCAGTATGTATTAGCATTTGAAGTTTGACACTAATTTAAGAAAAGTGAGGACAAGGTCAAAGGAAAGGTCAAGGTCAAAAAATGTTGATGCAGTTGAATAGCTTACATCAGTATGTATCAACATATGAAGTTTGATTACACTATCTTGAATGGTATCTTTAAAACTGAGCTAAACACTAACTTAAGAAAAGTGAGGTCAAGATCAAAGGAAAGGTCAAGGTTGATGCAGTTGCATAGCTCTCATCAATATCTATCAGCATATGAAGTTTGATAAAAATATCTTGGATAGTTTCTTTGAAACTTAGCTTTGAACAGAGCTAAACGCAAAGTGTGACGGAAGGACGGAAGACGGACATGACAAACACTATATGCGGCCATATTCATGGTGGGGCATAAAAATCATCTAAAGAAAAGCAAAGAAGCATCCTCAGGAAATGTCGATAAAATTTGTTCAAGACTCCTGGGGATAGGGTGGGGTCACATTAGGCAATCAAAATTTTATATGGGAATATATAGGAAAAAAATCTTTCAAATATTTCTTCTTAAGAACAGCAAACCCATGATTAGTCAAATATATGGGAATATATAGGAAAAATCTTGAAAAAAAATTCTTCTCAAGGACAGCAAAGCCATGATTAGTCATATGGAAGCAAGTTTGTTCAAATCATCAACCCTGGAGGGGGTAGAGTGGGACCACTTATATATTTAAACTTTTCAGTACTGAACTGATTTCTGCTTTTCTCTAACCAAAGTGCTCAGGTGAGTGGGTTGTCATAAAACATTGCAACGAATATTGCTTTCTTGTTTCTAAATAAATGTTCATTTCATTAGGTAAATGACCCAAATGTTAATCCAGACAAATACACAAGGGCAATAGAGCAACAGAGCAATATCTTGTTATTCAGCACAATTTTGTCCACTGTTTAGCAACAGTTTTATATCAGCTGTAAATCATATTGCGGAAACAAAAGTAGATCCGAAACCTTTAAAGGCTTGAAAAGAAAGAGTCAAAACATAAAGATTTTATAAAAATTGTATGTTAATGAACAATTACATATGGGCAATTACAATTCATTATTCATGTTTTAAAACAAACACTGCATTCATTTTAACATCTCATAAGAATTAAAACACTGACTGGGTCCTTGTATAATCACGGAGTCCTAACATATCACAGATTGATTGTCTACGCTTTAATCCACTTCCTCATCATCCTGCTGAATAACAGGACTGTCTTCTGCTGAGTTCATGTCACGGTTCAGCGAATCCTTCCTCGGGGAGGTGGAGTCAGCCATACTGGTGGAGCTGTACTGTACTTCCACTGGCTGTAAACAGAAATATTTTTCCCATAATACTTCACAAATAACCTTTACCCTACCCAGTAACTTTGATGATTAGTCAGTGCAGTATCACCTTCTGATCCTCCTCTGACTTGTCTTTCTCATTGCTATTTAGAAGTGCATCTTCTGACACCTCCCTGTCTCCACCAGGTGTCACTAGTGTCTTTGTTGGTGTAGCTGTACCAGGTGAACTACTGGCAAGCTGCCAGGCAGGTAACACAGGTGTTGACACTGGGGTAGGTGGAAACTGTCGTCTAAAATGTGCAAAACATAAATTTACAATATGCCTTTTGATGAAAGATATATAATAAACAAAACTGTTATACCTTTAAAAATTGGTTCCTATATAATTCTATACTAAAAATAAGCCTAACATCAGGGGCTGACAAATCCCATTGCCCGACACCAGGGGCTAGTGAATTTTAAGGGTGGGCAAGTGAAATTTTATCAACCACTTCCAGCGAGCAAGTGACTTGAAAAAAAAATAAAATCGATATATAAGTCATAGATTTAGAGCTTGGCACAGGGGTTTGCATGATCAACTCGGTATTTGTCTTCTTCTTCTTCTTCTTTTTTTTTGAATATATAAAATTTGATAATAGTTTATTGTGGGGCAAGCAAATATTCAGGTAGGGCAAGTGAATTTTGACCATGCACTTGCCCTTGGACAAGTGTCTAAAAAATCTATTTGTCAGCCCTGTAACATTTCCAATGTTTTACTGAGCTGTCAAAAAAAAATAATTGATGTTTGACAGCAGAGTGAGATATTGGACCGCTTACATCACACTGTGGGTGAGATCAACTAAATCTTATTTGCAATCTTTGGTGTTCCACAGTGATAGAATTGACCGAATTTTACTGCAGTGCAGATAAAGGAAATTTACATCATGAAAGCCAGCACAAAATACTTGTATGTAAAAAAAAAAGTACATAAAAGGTATAACAAAACATTTATTGACTTTGTTCTTGGACAAAATGTGTTTTTTCGACCCCTCAAACCAAACTGTTTGCCTTTGGCCTAACAGCCTCAGGCAAACAGTTTGGTTCTTGGGTCTGACAAAATGCATGTTGCCCTCGAACCCAGTCAATAAATGTATATTGTTTTTTTCATCAATAATTTATTTATGATTAGCTATCCATTGACAGTATACAGGATAGATACTAATTATCAAATGTGTGCTCTGATTAATTGAGCCTCTTATCTATAATTTATTACTTTTATTTATCTAATTTTTTTGCTTGTTTTGAAAAATCAGCTTTTATTGGAAATTTAGTCTCAGAACAAATATATAGTAACCGTACACATTCTTATTATACCACTCATCATATTTTAGGGCCTTTCATCTTGTTTCTTGTCTGAAAATTCAAGCAACACTAAAATGTTGAAGCAATACATGTCATTTTTATAACTTGAGTACAAAATTTTATGATTGCCCAGACAAAGAGGATGATTGTGTTAAATTTTGATACTGGTATGTTATTTTATTTAGATCAATATGCTCTTTCTAGATTTGACATTATATAATATTTGCTTGCTTAGAAATAACAAGGAATTGAAATACATGTACCTACCTGTTTAGTAACAATCCCTTTATAGATGTCAGTTCTGATTTGATTTCTGTTGAGAACTGCGACTCCTGCACTCTGGCAAGTGTCTCTGAGGACTACAAGAATAAAAATTACTTACATGTACTGTATATATGCTGTTTCAGGGAAGAATGCATCAGACTATGACCAGTCAGATTGTGCTTACCTGAATTTTTATCCATGTATCTGAATTTGTCATAAACTGAGTTGGACATTCAATATTCAATGGTGTTTATTAAAATAGAGAGTTCTTTTGAAAATAAATAAATACATGTATAGATGCATTTCCTTTAAACAGCAAATGTAAATTCACCATCTTATTTCACAAAATAAAATATTGACATAAATGATGCTTATAGATATTTATTGAAGTGTCTGTGATATGAACTGTTTTACAATGTGATTACCTGTTTATTGTATACATCGTGAGAGATCGACTGTAGTTTCTCGTCCTGTTTAGATACCATGCTTTGAAGCACTGTCAAAGACTCCTGTACTTTAGCCAGGGTTGTAACGATGCTCTGCTGTAGTTCAGTAATGGTTCTCTCCATTTTCTCCAGTCTATCCTCCTCTTTTGATTTTCCAAATAATAAAGGTCCTATCACTTCCTAATTAACAGAGAAATGCAGTCTAAACTGAAAAAAATCTTTCTCTCCCATTTTGAAAGAAAATCTATATAAATATATGAATTTTTAAAATTATCTAATATTTTGATTACATTCAACATTTGCCATCTCATAGAACATTTACAGCAGCTGCTAACCTCATAGAACATTTACAGCAGCTTCTAACCTCATAGAACATTTACAGCAGCTTCTAACCTAATAGAACATTTATGAATCAATCTTCCCACAGTACCAACCAGACCCAACCTGACACCAAAGCAGTCCCAGAAAGCAGTCCCCGGGACTGCTTTGGGACCGCTCTGGGACTGCTGTGGGACTGCTCTGGGACCGCTATGGGACTGCTCTGGGACTGCTGTGGGACTGCTCTAGAAAGCAGACCCAGCAGTCCCAGCAGTCCTTGGGACTGCTTTCTGGGACTGCTTTGTTCACTCATGCGTGAAAAAGGTTCTGAGTGACATGATAGCTCCGCCCCTTGTGTATTCTGAATTTGCAGCTCCTTGTTGTTGTTTTGTTTACTTTCTGCAGAGAGGTGTTTAAGATAGAAACAAATATAAAAAAACAAGTATTAATTTCTTACAAAAATTAAATAAATAGAGATAGTTATACATGTAATTACTAAATGTCTTAAGACGGCTGTAAATTTACACAATTGTAGTCTAGAATTAATTTTAAGAAAATAAAAGTAGTTAAAAAAGGGAAGTCAGGGGATGATTTTTATCCCTTAAATTACACTTCAATACAGGTGTTTGAAAAAAAAATTATCTAGGCCTATTTAATAAATTAATGCTGTCAAATTACATATGTACTCAAAGTTTGCATTAGCACTATTTAAAAACAAACAAACTTGTCATTTCAGTAAGATACATGTATTCAGAGGAACGTACTGTACTGGATTTTTTTTCTTAATTGAAAAAGCTAATACCATGCTTAAAAAAGAGCACTCCATGCTATTTTTTTTTACCATCCTCAAATCAAACCTAATAATTTATTTAATGACCATGAAATAAAATTATTCTACCATTCATCTGTCACATAAACAATGTGAACAATTATTCGGGGATTTATTTATGAATTAGTTTTTAATTTATAAACAAGTTATTAAAAGAGTACATTTATTTAGAAAATAAACATTTGAAAATATCGGGAATTGTGACTTGTTTCTTATTTCTTTGTTTGTGTTTACCAGGCCGGTTAATACAGCTGGATTGTATAAAATGGTGTCAACACCTGAGCTTTCAATCGCCTTTGGGCATAATTAGCAGAAAGTCAATGCATGTTATTTGGGTATCAGTGTTACACATCATTGAACACGCTGGTCAACATTGACCCTTATTTCAATCTATATCCTGCAAAAAATCTTAGTTTCAATAATTGTGTATAAATTTATTTCGGGATTAATTAATTTTGAACATAATCTAAGGGTTCCATTTGCGTGATTTACAGATGTACACTCGAACATTTATATAATAAAACACTTGAAACTGAGAATCTAAAGATAATTTAATTAAGAAGTCATTGAAAATAATCATGACTGAAATATAATACTCGGCAATGTTTAACAAAGAATTTTTCAAAAGCTCCAATACTTAACAAAAATGCATTCAGAGTATAGTATGGGAATCGGCCTTGCTCTATAATTATTATTATCTATTTACAGCTAATTCTGGTATAAAATAAACAATTCAAGTTTAATTTTCTATATAAAAAAATAAATATGAAAACCAATATCAATCACAAAAAAAAAAAAGAAATTGGTTTATTTTGGGACCGCTTTGGTTAAAAATTAATATATCAAATAATTGTGTTTAAATATTCATGTTATTAATATGTGTGAACGTCTTCTTCATTCAATAATTATAATTTGTTTCTATACGCGTACTGTGATTTTCTTAACAGTTCAGAAATGACTGTCGCCTAAGAATTGTAAATATTTGTTGATACTACTCAGAAAGAATTGCTCATCAATTTCAACTGCCTTTTATATAGTTGCATTGTTTATTGGTAATCTCATTCTGAGTAAGCTCCGCCCATTAAATTAATTAACCCCGCCCACTGGGACTGCTGGGACTGCTTTCTGGGACTGCTGGGACTGCTCTCTGGGACCGCTGGGACTGCTGGGACCGCTGTGGGACTGCTGTGGGACTGCTGTGGGACTGCTCTGGGACCGCTCTGGGACTGCTCTGGGACTGCTGTGGGACTGCTAAAGCAGTCCCAGAAAGCAGTCCCCGGGACTGCTCTGGGACTGCTTTGTGTCAGGTTGGGTCTGGTTGGTACTGTACCTAACATCACTCAGTCATTCATACCTTGTAAAACCTGTATGCTGCATAAGAAAGTCCTCCAACCAAGGCAATGACTGACAGAATCTCACGTACTCTGCTCCACCCACTGTATGGTGCCACTGTGAAAGGTAAATCATTTAGAAAATTGATCTCTGTTCCTGTTCATCATTATAATGATGATTATAATATCACTTAACAATTGATCGACAGTAGACTTACTCTGTTGATTGACTTGAGGTCCAGTAACTGGAGAGCCATAAGGCACAACTGTATTCTGTGTGTTGTGGTCAGCCACAGTGACCTCCTCTGTAACCCCTGACCTTTTGACTGCCATTTCTATCTCTTCTTTTGTAAGACCTTAATTCAAAAGAAAAACTTTGAACATTTAAATAACATGTTTGGTACATAAAATTTTACTTCAAGGACAGTAAAACAGACAAGGTGATTTTAGGTGTGAAGCTGGTTTTCCTGAGTGAATCCTTCCAAGTTTTAACCAAATTAAATGTGTACAGATAATAAATGTTTTTGTTAATGACAGCTTTTATTAAAAGAAGACAATTGGTAAAGGTGGGCACCTTTTGGTTGCATACCTTTTCTCTCTAGAAATGCCTTTCTTTGCTGCAAAGGACTTTTCCTGACTTTAGGGTTTTGCAGAAATTTAACAGCTGTTGAAATCTATAAAACAAAGACTATATCAATTTACACAACTTCAAAAATTAACAAGAGATGTTTGTAAACCACTTATGCTCCCCCCCCCCCCCCCCAATAATTGGAATTTTTCTAAGTCCAAGGGGCATAACTCTGTCAAAAATTGCTTGATCACACCCAAAACACAACTTGACCTAGAAATTTTTATAATAAATCTGTAAACCAAATTTCATTCCAGTATGTGCAACATCAGCGAAGAAAATGAAACTGCAATTAGTTGGAATTTTCCTTAGTCCAAGGGGCATAAATCTGTCAAAAATTGCTCGATCCTACCCAAATCAAAACTCCACCTAGATATTCTTATGATAAATCTGTATACCAAATTTCATTTCAGTATGTGCAACCTCAGCAAAGAAAATGAACGGAAACTGCAAATAATCCGAATTTTCCTAAGTCCAAGGGGCATAACTCTGTCAAAAATTGCTTGATCGTACCCAAAACATAACTTTACCTAGATATTCTTATGATAAATCTGTATACCAAATTTCATTTCAGTATGTGCAACCTCTGCAAAGAAAATGAACAGAAACTGTTCGTCAACCAACAGACAGACCGACCGACCGACAGCAGCAAAGCAATATGCCCTCCCTTCTTCGAAGGGAGGGGGGGGGGGCATAAAAATCATGTAGTAAAATATTTGAGCAATATGTTCAGATCAACAGTGACAATTTTTTTTTTCAAATGATGCAAAATTTTCACATACCATATCTTCCCTGGGTCCCTCTGGTGGTGCCAGTATCTCTTTTGGTATATCAACTGACTGAAGTGACAAATAAAAAAAAACAACTTTTATGTTAGCTGAGAATAACATTGTTTCATGTGCTCTTTCAGTCAGAGGAAAATTATAGAAAAGGCATCCTAAGAGGACAGGTATTTGGTTTAGTTTATGGTCATTTTTAAGTGGAAGCTAAAGTTAACCAAATTCTGATGCTTATTCACATCATTTTCAGGAATTGTTACAATTTCCATCAAAATACTGAAGGTTTCATTTTTTACCCTCATTTGTTCATCTGCCTTTCTACAGGATATCTCAAAATGTTATGAATGAATTTCAGTGAATACAGTGGAACTTGAATGTCACACGGCCCGACAGAAGGAATCAGATTTAAGTAAAAATGATAGAAACAGAAGATTTCTTTCCCAACCTTATTTTTTCCCCTCTGCCAAATACTGTGGAATCATTAGATTTTGTGGTGGCTCAATGTTTCTGGAATTTGTTGGTGCCCCTCATCTATGAATTAACATCCTCCACGAATTAAAAAAAAATTGGGTTGCATAGTCATCTTTTATTTTGTAAATATGGATGAATACACAAAATTATGTCCCTGTGACCTGTAGAATTTAAGCAATCCACAAAAAATTGACCCTCACAAATTTTAATAATTTCACAGTATTATCAAGCAATCTCTAAAAGTGATGGATGTACTTTAGTTGCACTTTTTTCCATGTGGGATTAATTAACACTGTGTACGCAGTAAGAATTTTCCCTGGAAATTTGTCAAAACGTACTTAAAGTGCATTTGAGATATATAATGGGGATTCAAGAAATCTGTGTAATTTTCTACCCACTGATTGAACAGAAATTGTGATTCTTCAGAATTATGACCCTGCTGGAAAAAGAATGTTTACAGTATTTTAATGAAATACTATAAATCAACTTTTATTTGCATTTGAGAAATATCCATGAGTTTTGCAACCCTCCTTGGTCAACCCATGAGCATTTATCATTTGGAATCATTCATTCTGTTGAGCATTTATGAGGAATTTTTCTGCAAGCATGAAAATTACTTGTCATGGATGGTTTTGAAAATGACTATTTGGAAATGAAAGTTGTCACAAATATTAGTTGGTTTGGATTATTGAGGAAGAGTGTGTTCTGAGGCAGTTTTAAATTAGATCCAATCCAATTAAAGGAATTTTTTGCTCCATTGGTCTGTTCATGTACAATTAGAATTTGGATACAGAAAAAAGGAAGAAAAAAACTTAAGTTAGACAAAAGTGCCTTGAAAGAGTATACCAGTTTTGACTAGATTCAAAAGTAGACACACAGTACTTTTTTAATTAAAATAATAACGGATTAAAACAGAAGCAAATATGGAGGTCAGGAGTGCAATCCTTTATAGTGCAATCATTTAACACTTAAAAAAAAGCTGCGATGTTTATTTCATATCTGAAATGATATACATTATACCTTTGGTGAGAAGGTTGATTTGTTGCGGAAGCAATCCCTGTTTGCTAAGTAAATTAACTTCCATTTAATCTTACTGACTGCGTGCTACTTTCTGACACTTCATTTAATCATGAAATTATTGATGTTATGTACATAAAAAGGATTTGTCATCAAATTTAAGAAAAACAATGTGAAAATTACAGCCAATTATTACTAAAACAAGGAATATTTATGTAAGAATAATGCATTTAAAATGCAAACTAACATTTTTATTTCATGTTACTTTACCTTTGTTTCTTCTTCCGCCATCTTGTCACATCAGCCGAACAAGTCTTGTTTTGCTATTCATGATTGGCTAATTATATCGGAACATCTTGTTCAAAAGATCGCTCCCGATGATAACCGAATTCTAAAGCGGCGAAGTTGAAAGCAAAAGTTGATCAAAAGAACAAGTTACAGTAAGGAAAAGGCAAAATATCTTATCATTTATCACAATAAAAGTTCAGTCTAAATCAGTTAACTCTAGCCAAACTAAAATTTTAAAATAATTGCGAAAGGGTACACTCAGTATACCAGAAAGCATGGAAAGTGTATTAATTCTGTATTTCATCTCCCCAAATTCTTTTTAAAGTGAAGTCCCATTACTTTAAAATCCTGTTTATTGATGCCATAGATAAAATTATTTGTAGGGTTTAATAAACAACTAAGCAGTACAAATTAATAAATTACAGTCTTTCACAATTATTTCACTGACTCATAGGCATGATAGGACTAGCCAGTCAATGAGAATTGCAGGTCCCTAGGGAAAAAAATGGCCTAGGAGACCCCCACATTTTCTATACATTTAAAAATATTGGGAAAAGTGTTTCTTAATCAATAATCCTGATGACGATGTCTTCAGTTAACCCATTTGACTGCATTTAGCATGTTAGGTATACACTTTTCCAGACACAGCACCATTCCTATACTTCATAACACTGAATAAATCTGCCATCATATTTACATGTAATTTATAAGTTGTTTTTTATTTAATTTATCATTATAGAAAAACTTTAAATGGTGCAAGTTGTTTACTTTAATTTTTAGGGCATTTTTATTTAGAGTGTAAGTTTACATGTGAGTTAACTGACATAATGCAGTCAAAAGTTTAATTAATCTGAGGGCTGTTTTTGGGTGGGTAAGGGGGGGGGGGAAGAGAAAATCAATAGGCCTGTCCAACTTGCTTGATTATTCAAAGTTAATGGTCCTTATCTAATTTTACTGGCCTTAGAGTTTAGGTAAAGAGTGAAGACTACTTTTTGTATGATTAAATGTTTTGAGGTACATTTTCTCATTTCATTGAAATCATAGATCTATATGTCTGAGAACCCTTTACATCACGCAATAGTGGAGATGTTATTTATTAATTTCTCTGGCAAGCAGTTTTCCCTGGCAGGTTGAATCACAAGGTGCTTACTTCATTTTGAGCATCCTTGGACAGTACAAAATTGATGTATATATTTTTTTCTAGGTTGAAAATCTCAAAATTGATTATATGCCATGTCAGAGGCTCGTCCTTTTAAGGTTTGGAATTGTGAGCGAACTGTAAAAAAGGGAACGGTAGCGGCATCATTAGAGGATTTACTTAGAAAAGGTTAACTTCTTTGATGTCTGATTTATGGATTATGTATACAATAAATAAGAATCTACTTCATATATGATAACTTATCTTTTCAAAGGGTAATGTATCTGTAAACAAATACAATAAAAGAAAATTATACATTTAAACTGATGGCAGTCAGGTGTGAAGTTTGACTTTACTATAAATGATCTGACAGCACTACAGTTGCAGTAGTTTTGAACTAAGGACATTTACTTGTAAAATTTATAGACTGATTATGTACAATTCCTTTTTACTTTCACATGAAATAAATCTTTTTAATTCATAAATAATTGTTAGATTGTCTCTGAGTATTATGTGGCATTTGTAGGGAAGTTGTTACTAGGAATCCCCGAGCCTGAGCGAGTTACAGCAGTGTTAGAGGAGGATGGTACAGAGATTTCAGATGAAGATTACTTTGCCTTCATCAGACATAACACCACCATTATGTTACTGAGAAATAGTCAAAAGTGGCAGCCAGTTGGAGCAGGTATTATTTTACCAACATTCAGACAACACAATGCATACATGTGTGTATTATCAAGATTATGTTTGATAATTTTATCCGTAAACTTTGCCATAAATTCAATACCACATTCATAATAAAGATGTATGTTTACACTAAATGTTTTGGTGAGTAAAGCATTCTGTAAATGATAAATTCAACAGGAAATTTCAACACAGTTTTGGTAGGTATTTTTTTTCATATATAAATGATATGTGGCATTTGTAATCAAGCACTTGAAATCAAAGTTTGTCTATTTGTGAATCCACCTATATGTTGTCATCATCTTTCACATTATGTACACTTATATGTTGTCATCATCTTTCACATGATGTACACCTATAATTTACTCCTGAACCTATGGGACAATGTCCATAAAACCATCCTCAGAAATAAACAGAATTCAAATATTTGTATATTGAAATTATGGACCAGAAAGATAAAATAAATCTTAAGTGAAAGCTGCAAATTCAGTTTATTCAGATCATAGCTGATGAGTTTAGGACTAGGCTAAAGTAGTTTTTAAATTTTTTTTTGAAAGAAATATATAGGAAAAATCAGCTTTGAAAATTTATTTTAAGAACATCAAGGATACATATTATCAAATTGATTTGCAAGAAGCTGCATGTAGTACAAATTCAATGTTTTACAACAATGGCTTCAATAGTTTTCAAAGAAATCTTTAGCAAAAAAGTCTCAAGATTAAGAAATCTACAAACTGTCAATTAAGTAGTGTGACTGAGATGAACATTGTGGTACATAGACATGTTCTTTATCTAATAGAGCAGAAATTGTTTATGCAGTACATCATAATAATTTTTTTCTTTATACAGATAATAAGTTTGGAGAAGATGAGGTTGACAATCTAGATGGAAGTACTGAGTTATCAGAGAGAATGAAGCAGTTAATAGCAGGACTTCATAAAAACATCACAAGAATCATTACACTATCAAATGATGATCTACAGGTAAAATTGGCAGATTGATAAACTATGATATATAGGTAAAAATTACCAAACTGTGAAATCTACAGGTTAAATAATCTGTCAAATTTACAGGTTAAATCATCAGATTGTCAAGATGATACAAGATTTATATATTTAGCCTGATATAAATATAATGGGACGACATTTTGTGCTTTGTTAAAATTAATAAAATAATATTTTTAAAGACAACATTGCCGTTAGCTTAAAAATGATTTATAATGCAAAATTTAATTATTTCTATGAATGATACTGCCATGCTTAAAATTGGGAGTTCCGTAAGCCCAAAAAACAAAGTCCGCGTATGAAAAGTTACTGTGCTTAAATTTTCAATACATTATTTCCACAAAGTTTTTAAGTTAAAATGACCGCGATGTAAAAAAGACAACATTACTGCTTGGTCAATTTTTTCACAGGGTATAATATGTATAATAGTGTATAATACAACCGAACTGCGTTTTTTCCCAAATTTTCAAGCCAAAAAAGGGGGGTGCATATTTTACACCAATGCGTATTATATTCAGCCAAATACGGTATTGTTCATGAAATCTTTACATCATTGTCAGTTGAAGTCATTGCAATATATCTAAATAATGATTTGCATTTAATCTCATTAGACTGTCAAATATTTTTAACTCTCATCTAATGATGTGAGGAATTTTATTTCTCTGCAACTGTACACTCATTGACTGGATACATATGGCATTTGAATTGTCCTTACCACATCATCATCAGCCCTGATGTGGAAGAACTGCGAATGATAGTATTGTTCTCCCGCCTACCTCCAAGTCAATTTTCAAAAGTTAACATATTTGAATGATTTTTCACATTCTTATAGATATTTATCTGAATTTTCATAAAATATTACTTATTTGGAAAAAGAAAGAGAGATAACTCTATAATTTTGGTAAAACTTGTGTTTTTCACTATAGAAATCAATATTCCTCATATTTTTAAAACATCTTCCCCCCAGGAATCGAGAGTTAGTGTGCATAGTTCTTTCCCATGCTGCTCCAGTTTAGCAAATGATATTTACTTTACAGTGCACTATTCTAAGATGTTGCTTCTCTTTATAATAAGATGTGAGATTTTATAAACATAACTTAAATATTTGACCTTGCATTCCCTTTAATGTTTTTGTGAATTTTCAGGTCATTGTGGATATGGACATTTCAGTATTGGCTCACCTCCTACAGGATACAGAAAATTTTGCCAAATCCATCCAGGAAGCCTGCCAGCGCCATCTAGATGAACGTAGCCAAACATCAGAGGCTATGGATCTATTAAGACTTTATCACACAGCCCGACAGTCCAGTCCATATGTAGAGGATACAGGTCCAAAACGAAAAAAACATGCTCATACTTAATTCCGTAATTCACACTCATTTTTTATGGTGTAGAATTTAGACTCTTCTATATACATTTGTCCATCCATTAGAATGTTTTGTATATTTTTTTAATAGAATTTTTTAATGTAGAATCTTGTTCTTTTTAATTTACACATGAAAATGAAATTTATGCATTCATATTATACATTATGGAAGATGTCTGTTTTTAACTGTTTATGAATTTTTTCCAATTTTATTTCAATACCATTCTTGATGAAATAGAATAAATCACTGTGCCATATTAAGAGCAACTGTGAGGTGGTCATCAGAAGACGATCCTCAAGGGGCTGTCCTGTTTTATGAAATGAAAGTTAAAGGACTGTGTTTATGAGGAGCTGTATTGTTTTACAGATGAATAGACCATGGCTCTTTTAACAACTTGCATATAGCATTAAAAGAACATATATATTCATATGCATTCATATTATACATTATAGAAGATATCTGTTTTTAACTGAATAATAAGAATATTAGAATGGATTTTCGCCTTTGGAAACACAAACCAGGACCATTCAGAATATGAGATATGTAGTCCAAATATTGAAATGAAAATTGCATGCCTGTCAAACGATGTGATCTGCTAAAGTCATTTGTATGGGAAATGACAAAAGATTGTGAGAAAATGTGATAAATCTACTTCATATTTATTATTTTTTTAACAAACATTCCTAATAAGGTTCATCATCTCTTATTTCACTCCTATTTAAATTTCCTTGATCACTACTTATGATTTTCCAACAGAAATCTTATTTAGAATTAAAATGCACAAAATTTCAGATTACAAAATTTGACAAATATCTTTTCAACTTGACAATTTTATAAAGGAATAATGGTCGTTTTTCCCAGTGAGAATTATCTTTCATATCAGAGGGTTGATGAACCTTAAGCTTGTGTGATTTGATGTTTGATTTACATTTTTTTTCAAGACACAGAGTTATCTGCCTTGCAGCACATTTTGAAAAATGCTGTTCTCTGCATAAAATTCATTGATTCATGTTTTTTTTTAAGAATAAATTTCTCTGCACGTAATTTCTTGATATTTTTATTTTTATACTGGTAAATAAATAAAAAAGGATAAATCAAAAGTGTTTTCATTTTCTACAACCTGTTGTGTGCTATTTGATTTCCATACTGTTTGTCCCAAAATGTTAAAAAGGAAACATTCTTTGTGAATGTAATGTACTGTGTTTGGTTGAACATCTATTCCTAGATAAATACATACAACATTGATGCATCTTTTTCTTGTACAGGTAGTGCATATATCTCTCCCAGATAAATAAAAATAAGGCAGTACATGTATGTTGAAGTAAATTGTAGACTTTGGAATGGTAATATCTGTCTGCCCATTGTCCAGTCAAAAGTTTCTTGTTAAACTTTTGATCATTATTAGCTATAATGCAGTGACAAAGGTTAATGACATAACCTGAGGTAATAATAAAGAAACTTTTCTTCAAAATTCTGGAATTCCTGTTCCATAGAGTTATTGCTGAGTCAAGAAATGAATGAATGCTCCAACGTATTGTTTTGAGGACCCTTTCTGAGAATGTTTTTATCAGAAGCATAGCAGGGATTTATTTCTCAGTTTTTATGTTACAACATTATTATTCAGACCAATGCTTTGAAAAAAAGTTAATATGTGTATTTGACAGACATCTTAAAAATTCTATGAGTCAAATGTGAGTAATTATTGCTTCTGCATCTCGAGAGAGGTGGAATTTATGTGTTAAAGCATCGGGTTCGAATATTAGTCATTTTTAACATCGGGCTCGATATCTCCCATAATGACAGAACTTGAAATGTGCAAATTTATTGATTCAAGAATAGATTTTTCGAAAGCCACACGCTATTCAAATCAGGTAATTGTTAGAGTTTTAAAAATATATCTGTAGATGCTGTCAGTCAGCAGAAAGTCAATATCTACCTTTAGCATTGCATTGGCTTTGATCCACCCCGAAAAAAAAACGAAAATGTGAGTATAACAAGCAATCAACGCTATATAAACAGACCATGTTTTAAAGAAGCATTTATTTATGGACAAAATTTATTAAAGGGTCTACTTTGCCTTCTGAATTCTCTGAACGTCATTGCCAAAAAGTGTCCATGTGATGCACAATATGATCATTCAGCTGCAGCTGTTCAATTATGTTTTAACAATGTCTTAATTTCACTTTAAATGAAATATTTAAAACAATTTACAATAAATAAAATATTTTGAACTGTCTTAATATGGGCATTATTTTTAAGAAGCAGGTATGAATACTGAAATCAACAGACTTGAAATACTTCTGTACTTCTGTTTTCCAATTACGTATGAATGGATTAAACTAAAAGTCAATGATGTGAAAATCCTTGTGCTTTCAAGTTTAAAACATATAATGTTTTCAAAGCTTTAAGAAATTTGGTTATTTGACATACCAGGAATTGTCAAACACCCTATTCGTGCATAAATTGGGAAATGTCAGATATTTTTGGATTACAAGATACGCACTTTCAAACATTGTGATATTCAAGAGAATTTTTTTTTATACAAACTTAAAGATCTTGATCTCAAACCAAATGCCAAGAATTTATTATTTTTTAGGTTCTCAGATATCTTTAAATTTGGTCACAAATCAGAATTGTAAATTTGACTTACATGTACTCATTACTTTAAGTACCTAGGTAGGAATAGTGCAGGATAAGCAAATTTCAGAGTGTCCTATTATTTATTTACTTCATTTTAGCCCAGGGTAGGTAAATGTGAAATGAATAAGCTTTACAATATAAATATATCTAATCATTATGTTCTGTCAAGTTTTCTTGCACCATTTGTAGATATAGGTGTGATGTTGAAAAATCCAGTTTCTCAAGAAGAACAATCGAGACGTAGTTTAATTGGTATCATCAATTGTTAATTATATCCTTCTTTTTCTCATTTCACATTTGAAGGTTTGTGATTTATAGAATTTGAACCATTTTGGTTTCTTCTTATAAAAGACTGTTTTTGAGTAAATTCTGTGTACTGCCAGTATCTCTGTATATGCTTGTGGTTGTGTTGAATTTAGAGATGTGTTCTACTTTCCACATGGATATTCAACATGTATGCAATAAAGCTGCCAAATTTAAAAAAAAAATAATATCAAACTGTAGGCACATCTAAAAAAAAAAAATTCAGTATTTTCAATTTCTTCCATTATATTCAATATATAATGCACATTAAACAATCTAACTTACAATTATTTAATTGATATATAGTGTATGTTTTTTTTAGTCACTTTAGTTGCACGCTTGGGAAATTATCAAGTGAAAATTAATACAATTGGAGTAAAATGTTCTTTGGAAATCTCTTACTTCAGCTAGAAAATGAAGATTAATTGTCTGACTTGCATTATAGCAGGGCTGTGTGAAATGTAAGAATTTCTGTTTTTTTGTCAGGATAAAGACTCTAGGGGATTACTCCGTTAGTTTGATGGATTTTCCATTATTTCTCCATCTGCCTAATTTTCAGTGAGAAACTCATTTTACAGTTCAAGGAATAAACACGAACATTGATTTGAAGCTTTCCTAGTTAGTTAAAAATGATTATACTTTTATGTACTAGTGGCAGTAACTACAAACTTTTTCACATGATAATGGTAAGAGTCAATGGAAAAGTCTCTCCAGTCTTATCTACAAAGTATGAAATTTATCTCTTGACCACTGATATACATTGTATTGAGAACCAATGGAGAAATCTAAGGTAGTTTTTGTGACTCTATATGAACCTGAGTGTCTTCTTCTACATTGGCAAAACTCAAGATTTTCCTAGCTTCTCTTAACAAAGATTCTTACTCTCTGGACGGTTATAAGATAGCTAGAGTAAATAAACCATCCCGACATAGAATAAAACTGCTAAAGTTTTCCAGATTGTTATTAAAACCCATAGTCAATTTTCAATCTCACAAAATTTTGCTACATGTACTAAGCTATGATGTCTTGTAGTCAATCAACTATGACATCACACTAGTCTATAACACTGCATTATGAAAAGACAGAGACAAAAGGAAAAATCAGAGAAAAATTAAGCTAATAAACAGAAAATTCAATGTTTTGTAGTTGAATATGGAATTTATTTCACTTGTGAGACAGAATTTTTTTTATATTTTCACTTGTGCTTTGCACTTGTGAAAATATTTAAAAAAAAATCCTATCCCACTCATGAAATAAATTCCATATCCAACTATAAAACATTGAATATCCTCTATGAACACAATTCCATTCTCTGTTAATATTTGCATATAAAGAGCCATCTTATAGATCTATAGATATAATGTAGTCATACATGTCTAAGGATCAATGATTGTTTTTTTGGAACACTAGTTTAATGAACACAACACTTTATAGTTTACAAACATCAAATAAGAAATATGATTTTCTGCACGTGACCTTTATGTGTGTCTCTGACAGTCTGTTAAAAATTATATATTATTAACAAGGAGACACTGCTTATTCTATGTTTTTGAATAGGAAGCATTTTATTGGACATATTGATTTTCTAGGCTAGATATAGCTGTGTGCTGTAGCTATAGCCCAGTGTATATTGATTCGGAAGTCTCCCTATACTGTACATCTGTCTGGGACTGTGTGTTTACTCCATATTAGTCAAATACAGTCCGATTTTAACACTGATTGTGCTTTATTGACAGGCAAATGTGTTTATAATTTCATAAAAACTGGATTTCATGTTACAACTTGGTGATTATATTTTGCAGGTTAGTTTTTCATGAGTAATATCTGAAACTAATGCTTGTCTGCGGGATTCTGTGAGTAATTGTTTAAACCTGCCCAGGCATAAAACTTCAAAAACTTCTCATATTTTCCACTTGCTTTTTATTAAAAAAAAAAATTCTTGATGTTTTGGAAAGGTTATTTCTTGATACTACTTAACTGAAATGAATCTATTTTAATGTTACACATGATAGGTTTCATTTCATATTAGAAATAGGATGAATTGAAAATGCCATTCTGTAAGCTTTTAAAATCCTATATCAGTAAAGTAGACCCTTTGACAAAGTTTCTTCATACTTACAAGTTTAATTCTGATAACATCATGATAGCTCTCCGAATAACAGCTGTTTACATATTAAACACACTCCCTCCACATGAAGAATATTGTCACACCATGTCAAGTTCTTATAGCTGTTTGTCAGGAGGTGGGACAATTTATAATACACTTGATTTGTAAACACACACACAGGGTTTAGACAGTGTTTTGTTTTCCCTGGTTGTGTGATTTTTTGACTTTAAAAAAGGATATATGTGATTCTTTTAATTCATATATCCATTCTACAAAACATTGAAAGTAATGTTTAGCTTTAAACAAATGATGGATTTTAAGGGGGTGATTTTGTACATGTAAGGTAACTACATTGTATACATTACTACCTGAGGTAAGTGAGTTTATATCCAGAAGTAATTGTAATTAATGGAAGGAGTTTTTTCGTCTTGTTGTCATAATAATTTGACAAATGTTGAACTTTGAAATTGGATTCAATTTCACATCAGAATAATGAACCCTCCTATAAGATATTGAACCAAGGATTTAAAATATCTGGACTGTGGTTTTTAGAGCCGAGCTCACTTATATTGACTGAAGATGTTACTTGGCAATTTAAAGTGATTTGGTTGTCATATTTTGATTTGCACCTCCTGTTGTAAATGTATGTATTTGAATCATTGGTTCTTGTGGTACTGAGCCTCAGGGGTGAAGTTTATGCAAGTTGCCTATGGTAAATGAGTGATAATTGAAACCAGCTAGCACCTGGTTGTTGAAATGTTATGACTGGTTTTACTTTTAAACATACCTATGTTTGATATACTAAATAATCAACAATATATCTATTATAATCTGTCTGCATGCTTGTACATTTGTCTTTGGGTTATTACCATAGGAATATGATTCTTAGTAAAGCTGGATAATGCTATGAAAGTTATATGGCAGTATACATATACAATGTACTGCTATTCTCTAGTTTCTATTACAGCAATACAACAATATATTAGCCTACGTTCAAAAGTATATTAGCATTAAAAGATGGATCCAGTTTTCAGCTGTCTTGGTGACAAATTCACTGGACACCTTGAGCTCTGTTGAAAACTAGTATTAAGGATTTTATGGTGGTTTGAGTTATACATGTTTGCATGTTTTGAAATAATTCTGTGGTAAATTGTCATTATGCAGTGCTGGCAATACAATTCTGATAAAATATTGTATTTCAGAATGTTTTTTTTTTAATGATTATATTACTGTACACTCTCATATTACAGTACATGTATACAGATAATATGTCCGTCTTTCTCAGTATATACTGAAATGATAAAGCCATTGTGGAGATGTTAAAATTTTAGTGTAAATTTAGTGTGCTGACTTTCTTAATCACAATTTATTTCAGTTATTATTGAATTATTGCCATATATGCGTTGTATACACTCTTTTTAGACTTCTTTTACCATAATGCATACATAAACCTCTGATATTTTCCAATCCTATTAAAAGCTCAAACAGTTTTCAAATAGTTTACATCCTGGTCACTAATCAAAGAGATGAATAAAGTATCAAACTGTTTATAGACTCCACAAACTGTAAAAACAAATAGATTTAATATAGCAGAATGCCATGGGCAATAATCTCACAAATTTTCATGGAGTAACATCTGTTAATGCACTGTAGTTGTATTGTGTTGATATAAATCTAATTATTATTAAAATACATTTCACATCTTTTTGATTAATCTGTAGTTATTGTTTCAATTTCAAGCTCTGATCTTAACTTAAATAGCTTGTTAGACAATATTTTTATGTTTTACGTCCTTTGCGAGAATTTTTCACTTATATGAGATGTCGCCAAAAACGGTGAAGGACTTCAATTTTAGACCTATCGTCAACACTTGCCACCATTGAGCAGTGAGAATTATTTATCATGCCAATGCTGAAACATGGGACCTACATTTTTTATTAGGTCCCTGACTTTCAAGTCAAATGCTGGGTGCTTGGCGAATGAAATCTCCAGAAATCACCATGTGAAAATTTGAATATTTCCTTTTAAAATTCAGCATCTGTGCAAGTTATGGCCCTGAAGTTGGATGGGAGGGGAAACAGACTATATGTTTAATGACAACTTAGTGTATGTATGCATTCATCTGTGCATATATTTAACATTTAAAATATATGTATTATAAATTAATGAATTAATAAATTAGTGATTTTATATTAAGTTTAGGGCTTCAATAAGGGGTCTAATTACATACATGTATTGATTGTCAGAGAGAGCAAGATACAGAGGGGGCCTTGTCATCTTCCTCGCCCATATTATGACTAGCTGCAGAAACTGTAGCTCTCTGTTTGAAAAAAATTGGATAGACAAATCAGAAAGCTACAGATCTAAGCATTGTAAAAGTCTTTGATTTATGGTGCCACTTTTATGTCACTTTCTTTAAAGTCCATGTAGGGGTCATGCTTAAATATGTCTGTCGAAGAACATACACATGCAGAGAGAATCAAAATGAAAATTATATTGGGTTATCTTACCGTAACCCCAACATGGATGTCAGAATGTGAATTTTTAAATCTGACATTCCAAGGCCATGTAGGGCTGTTTAGAATCCTTTATAGGTAAATAAGTAACAAAGATTAGGAGTAAAATATACGTTTAATTAAAGGATACTATTCTTTAAATGGGGGAATACATATAATACAAGAAATAATACCCAAAGCAAGTGACAAAAAAAGCGGCACTGTAAATCAAAATTTTTTTTACAATGCTTGGTTCTCAGAAGCTCTCTGCTTTGTCTGTCCGAATTTTCTCAACCAGAGAGGTACAGTTTCTGCAGCTAGTCATAATATGAGCTAGGAAGATGCCAGACCTATTTAAATAACACAACACTTTATGGTAAGATTTTTCTTGACTAAATAATATCATGGCTTTGAACATAATTATATGCTTTTATAATTGTGTAGACAACTCAGGTATTAGTCTAGAACATATTGGTCTATAATTATCCAAAAATTATATAAAGGTCTGCAGCTGTGACATGGAGATTGATAACAGACAGCTTATCAAACATTTTAAATATCATATATTTACATCTGACAATGTGTTGCCAGTAGTGTCCATGACGGTAAAACTTAGGGATATGACATCATAATGAGATCACGATATCAGAGGGCATGGCTAATACATGTACTAAATTAGATTTCTGGAGATAATATAAAAGAATTTAGAATAAAAATGAAAATGTACAAGTGTTTATGTTTCACTTGGTATTTCATTAGGACAATACACCTAGGAGTACATGATACTTCTTGCATAAGCAGTGTTGTAGCTTATGAGAATTATCATATACTACCCGAGGTCAGAAAATATGCCATAAACACCAAAAATAGCCATTTCTTAATTAACCTCTACATAGCAGTATTCACAGATAAGTCATAAAAAATTGTTGCTGAAAAATATGACAATTTCCAGGGTTTAAAGATTTGATTGGGAAATGAACACAGTTGTTTAAATTTTACTAAGAACATGATTTATCATTTTTCACTAAATTAAACTTACTATAGTAATAGTGAATAATATTGGATCACGTAATTATGTATAGGATCTAATCACAATGATCCTCCTTATAGCATGAAAGTAATACACGTACCACTGTGATTATAAGTACCCTTGTAACAAATTGTGAAATTGTAGTACCTTAGAATTAAAACGACTTCCAGTATTCTGTCTTTAGGACTAGTAAATTAATAATCAGCTAGAGCTTGTCTCTTATTCACTTGATGTGACAAATGCCATCACAGGATTTGTCTGGATTACTGTAGGTTAATTGTGTATAGACCTTTGCTTTGCCATTGGTCAACTATTGATGTTCAGTTTGTTCATCAATTCCACTCTCAAAGTTCTGCTGCTGTCTTGCAGGTTTTCCGATAAGAGTTTATTCATTTCTGTCTGGCATGCGATGATTGGAGGTGTAGTAGACTGATGTAGGGATCTCGAGGAGAGGAGTCGTCGGATTGACCCAATCATAAAGGTGTTCTGAGGACCTATATGGGAGAAATCACTGGGTCAGGGGCCATGGATAGATGGGTGTGTCCTAATGACAGACATTTGGCCCTCAGGGCAAAGTAAGTAAACCTTGATGATAATATTTAATCATGTACATACAGTGTATTTGTGAGATTCAGAATTTATCATGGGAACAAAGAATCATGTCAAATCATTTTTATATGGAGTAAATGGAGTGTTTAATTTCTTTAGCTAATGATTTATGCTTTATCATGATGGAAATGGATATGAACTGGAAATGAAGAATATTGTACATGAATTAATAACAAGCAGAAGTGCTAGAAAGAGGATAGCCATATTTAATAACCATGTAGATGCAGACTTAGACAGGAGATATATGTGCCAGTCATTGAATCAGACATTTCCTCTATATTACACTTAGTTATGCAAGTTTTATAGCTCCATCAGGGGTATTTAATAAGCAGTTTTCAGATCAATGTGAATTCCATTTCCAATAAGTAAAATGCATATTTTGGGATACACAAAGAGTATATTAATTTAATGGAGAAAGTTGAGTTTAAATAATTTCAGAAATCAGTAGAAGTAGATGTTAAAGAATTCTGATAAAAATTAAAATTATACTGTGGTTTTGTCAAGGTCTTCAAAAAATTTAAGTTAAAGACCATGGATTTGATATTTTGGCAGATTGGGAACAGGGTGGTCAGTCCACACCAACAAATTATCTACATTCCACAAAGGGGATCAACTCAGCATGGAAGAACAAGAACACATAATGAATGTCATTGCCAAGGCAGATTACCTTGATCAAGTCGAGCAGGAGAGGATAGGGTAATTATCTCCCTTTTTATTGAAATCAGTCTCGTTTTTAGTAGTTTTGCCAAATGAAAGCAGAAACAGAACTGAATTTTCTATTTCAGTGTGATTATATCATATATAGATTTTGGAGATTCTTTACAGAGATCTACTTGTAATATAAACATTAAAATTGTACACACACACCCCCCCCCCCCCAAAAAAAAAAAAAAAAAAATTGAAGTTAATTTAATTTGTGAAGAAATAAATAGAATTTTTAGTTATTGAATGTGATACCTATTCAATTCCTTTACTATAGTTCTTATAAAAACAAGTTGAAATATTTCTCCTCTCTATCCACACATGTGTATACAGCTTTGTGGTTCTGTGTGTTTCCTTTAGTCATCAATATGTCTTATTGTTCAGGGTGTAGTCTATATGTAAAGCAACATAGGAATCTCTCAGACATTTCAATGGAGACAGATTTCTGACAAGTAATGGGCCAGCTGCTGCCTCTATGCATAATAATCTCAAATCTTTATTGATAGAAAGTCCATCATATGGCAGGGTTTTGACTCTCTGTGGGGACCAATTGTTAGCAGACAGTTTCACTGATTTTCTAACAAAAATAACTGGAAAAGATGATTTAAGTTTTGTAAAAAAAAAAAGCTGCCAATTATAATTGCTGAATTTAGGAAATGTTTTCCTGGTAATTAAGCCTTTGTTGTAAGAAATAAGAATCATTTTAAGTCTTTTTCTAGAGATGACTTACATAAATCTAGGGGTGTATCTGTACTGTGGCTGAAATTTTAAACTAACGTGAATTTGAAAAATTTTAATCGATATCAATGATCAATGCACAATTGAAGTCTCCCTGTTTATCCTACATTTACGAGTATTGTCTTTCTTTCTGATTATCCTTGTAATTATTGGCTTTTGTAAGCTGAGTCATTGAGATGACTGTCTTAAGAGCCTGCTAAGCCACGTGAAGTGTTCATCTCACTCCTTAGCATAGGGTAATTAATTGTCTGTCAACAATTCTCACCTTTGATTTTATAATCACATATTTTTATTGCATGATTTATTACATTTTCAACAGGGATTATACTGTAATTTATCCATTATTTAAATGTGATGTTTTAGAAAAAAGTATTTTTCACAGCGAAAAATATCAGAAGAGTGGCAAAACGTGAGATTTTCATTCCCTTATGAAGAGTTTCAAAGAAAATACTTCCTGTTATAAGATAGAGTAAATAAACCAATCCGACACAGCCTGACTGCCAAAGATTCTCCATATTGTCGTTAATATCCATGTTTACAATTTTCAATCTCATAATACCTTAGCCATGATGTCTCACAACCATTCAACTATGATGTCAAGCTTATGGCACAGGGTACAAACAGACAGAGGCAAAAGGAAAATCAAAGAAAATGTAATGAACAGAATATTCAAAATTTTGTATTTTATTTGGAATTTTTTTCACTCATGAGACAGGATTTTTTTTTATATTTTCAAAAAATTGCACTCATAAAAATATTTTTTAAAAATCCTGTCCCACTCATGAAATAATAAACTCTTGATTCCTACCTACATTTTACACACATATAGGGCCTACATGTAATTCAATATTAATTGAGATCTGGTCATTCAAACTTTTTTTAATGCAAAGTAGAGTACATGTACATGAGTAATTTATCAATAGTTCAAAAACTAGTGTCAATGTTAATTTCTCTTATTTTTAACTCTTTTTGTTTTATAAGGAGGATAGACAATTTCATTCATTGAATTCAGGCCTTAAAACATTAAAAAATCACTGAAGATTTGTTGTCCAAAACAAGAGAAATAGGATAAACAGGGATCAATAAAATAGTTAGTCTAGTACCAAAAATGGTTCTATTTATTTGTGTGTATTTGCCAGTGCTGATCATACAACCCATTTGTCAATGATCACTATGCAGATTTCACAAAACAATAGTGTTTGAACACATACAGTAAACCTATCTCATTCCCACTCATATTGGTCTTTCTTGGTCTTTGAAGAACAGTTATTGTTCAAAGATAAGGTATTTGCTTTGGACAACAAATCTTCATCTATCAGTTCATTTTGTTTTATTTTCTACTTCTATGGATCCATTGTGACACGATTGCAGTGTTTTTCTTTGAAGTTTGCTGTTCTGTATTAGCAATACAGAACGAGACTACAGTGGGCGGAGCTACTTTCCGTTCTGTATTAGCCCTGTATACTGTCTTGTATTAGCCAACTGTTCTGTATCTAAAATACAGCACGGTCTAAAAATAAATCTGATTCAATTTATCAAAAGCACGTACAAATAGTAAATGCTGATTTTTTTCCTATTATAAATTTTGAAGAAATATTTCCTTAGGAATGTAAAATGTCAAAATTTCTCAATCACTTTTAAAAAATTATTCCACACAGAATCTACACGTTATTTCGATCCAAACGAAAAGGAAAATTTGCAATTATGGAAAACATCCTATGTTGGATAAATTCCTGAAAACCTGTTTGCTTTCCCTGCTTTTTGTGTCCCCTTCAAAATAGTAAAGCCAATGGGTTCGAGGATGCAGCATACACTACGTGAAATTCACACCCCCTCCCCCATTTTCCACTCTTCTCGTGCAAACTCAATCAAGTCCATTTTTCAGTTTTTTTTTTAATTTCGCCTTAAATCCTTATCGCTGAAGACTGTCGCACATCTCTTTCACTTCGTTTTTTATGTCGCATTTCAATAAGAAAATAAAAATCTGTAACATCAAAGTCCATCGAAAAACTGTCTGTATCGCCTGTATGTGTATCTAGTTTAACTGAGATTTTAAGACCCCTGAAATAAATTAGAATCAATCTCCATCTACAACAAGGTTAAATTGTCCACCTTATCAATTAAGACTGACTTCAAGTCTGTTACGTCTACCCCGTTGTCAAAACTAATCTGACTAAATCTTACGTTGTCCGTGGAAATATATATAGATAGTTTTCAGTAGACCCAAATTACCAAGAGTTATTTCCCGTTGGCCGCTCATATTCCTTCATTATTCAACCAACTTTAACTTTTTATACTGGCCTTTGTGGGGTAGGAAACATTGTTTTTCTGAAAAATTTACATTTGCTTAAGCCTCCTTTATTTCATTATTTTTATTCTATAAAGGCTTTCCCCCAAATATTTCTGCTACACCCTCTTAGATTTGGTAAGACAAAGAGGAAAAATTACCAGGTTGGACAAAGAGGAAAAATTACCAGGTTGACCACCAAGATGGCGGCCAAGGGAAATGACTTGTAGAGAAAATACGTCATATGAAAACTATCTATACTGCAGATGTATACTCCCCGTCGAGGCCTCATCTACAGAGAGAACAAACGAACTCTGGCGGAAGTTTGGATGCTGCACAGCTATGAAGTGGGCGGTGCTTTTTTTTTGATTGGTCGTGTCACAAATCATTTAGAGAATTCGACAGGTTCTGTAACGTAGATACAAATTTGGGGGTGGAGACTCATGCTACGCACTCGTCCACCCCCAAATTTGTATCTACAATACAGTACCTGTCTTGTTCTCTAAATAATACTTACAGTGTTGCATTATAAGTTGTACCAAATTTATAGTATTAGAGTTATATATCTCTCTTTGATTTCCCAAATAAGTTAAATTTTGCAAAAAAATTCTTATAAATATCAACATAAATATGAAAAATTATTCAAATATGTCAACTTTTCAAAACTGACTTACAGGTAGGCAGAGGAACAATACTATCGTTCCCTTTAAAAGAAAAAGTCATTTAAATATGTTAACTTTTCAAAAATTGACTTCAAGGTAGGTGACAGAACAGTACTGTTGTTCACTGTTCTTCCATAACCAACTACAAAACATTAAGTATCATTTATTTATGTTCAGACAGACAAATGTCAGTCTTGTCCTTTTATATAAAGAGAAGTTGTCCTCTAGAAATTCAAAGAGATCAAATTCTTCTTCTTTGATGTTCGATTGAAATATGCAATTAACTATATTGTAAGTTGGCAAAAATTCTGAGTAATAAATCCAAAATACCAAAATTAGTGCAAGTAACTAGAAAATCAATTTTAAATGAATTTTTAGCTGAAAATATCAGATTTATATGTTGAAAGCAGTACAAGGGGTTATAAAAAAGTTTGTGGACTGGTGCCATAAAATTAAAACCTCCTCAGGTACATCAATGAATTTTTTAAAAATATTTATTCAAAATCATATTTTCTGTTTATAGAATAAACTAAAAGACAAAATTAGTCCATATTATCTTTTTTTAAATGGCACAAAAGATTCAAAGACAGGAGAGATATATTTAATGCTGATTCACGGTCCGTGTGTCCAAAGTCAATCACAAGGAAAAGTAACGTTGCTTGCGTGTGGTAGAAATTGAATCAAACAAGTGGAAGAAGCTGCCAATGTCAACAGAGGATCTTTATCTTAAGTATCTGTCCATTTACAATGTTGTGTTTCGAAATCAGCTGTTCATGAAATATTAAAGTCATATGAACAAAATTGGTTTCAATCTGTATTTAACAATTGGGTATATCGTCAAGAAAGAGTATATTGAGGCAGAAGGAGCAGACATCTAGTCTTAGAACCATTTACATTGTCAAACGTACTAAAAGAAAACGGCAACATGTAATGTCTTTTGAATTTAATGATAAGTTGGCAAATTATTTTAGGAATGACTCTAATTCTTGGCCAAATTATTCGAGTATAACCTGGTTTGGGTCAGTTTAAGCTTTATAATCCGTGAAGCGGATTATAAAACAACGTAAACTGACCCAAACCAGGTTATACTCGAATAATTTGGCCAAGAATTAGAGTCATTCCTTATAATTTAATTTTAAAATCATTAAATAACTATGGGTGTAAAATTTCGTTGCTTTTTATTAGTTCAAATTTGCCGCTCAATAATACAACCATAGTAATGGAAGTGATGGGAAGCGAGGGGAGGTAAAAACTGATACATAGGCCTAGCAGCCTTTTTGATTGTTTACATGTGGTAAGATCGAATTATTGTTTGAAGTTAAAGGTACATTTATTAAATCTGGAATTTTCCATGAATCCCAAGGACTGGAAATGAGAGGATTGTATGGATACAGATGATTCAGCTGGTCGTCAGGGGGGTGTGTCCCCATACCAAACCAGGTTATACAGAAATAATTTGTGTTCCTTTTTGGATATTAACCAATCAAAGGCTAGAATACAAACAAAATTAAATTATTAATGTGTCAAGCTAAAATTTTCAACACTTCTTGATTTTTTGTGGTTTTATATTCCTTCTGAATTTTGTAATCACACAGCCTATATAGTATTAATTTTATTGCATCAGTCCACAAACATTTTGATAACCCATGGTATCCTTAGTTTTGTAAAAGGACAGTGTAAAAAATAGTCATAATACTGAAATAAAATATTGTATAAAAAAAACATAATTCAGGGTTAAAAATAATATGATTTACATGTATAGAATAAATTTTGAGGGAATTTTTTTGTATTGTATCATTAGAATAAATTAGCTTGACTGTACCCAGAAGATGTCAGACTTGGAAAAAAAATCTGTGGATGACTGTATTAACAATTATCCATTGGACATTCCATGATAATTGATAGCAAATGACATTTCTGTTTCATTGGTACCCATTTTTTTGTACAATTTACTACATCAGTTTTGATTATGGGACGTAATTGACGTCAAAATTATATGTGTATTAACTTCATGTTTATTTGAAAATCGATGGAAACAATCGATAAGCATGATAATGGACCACTGCATCTTCAAAGAATCCTTTGTAAATTGAAGCAGAATTTTGTCCAGACCTAATCAATTTCCATTAAATTTGTGCAGTGTCTGATGGATGTTACCAAGATGAAAATTAGACTGAAATTGATTTATTGAAGACTTTCTGATATTTTGGATAAGGACAGACACAAGAATGTTGTGGTTACATCATAATAAAATGTTTGGAAATGTATTGATTCAGAAGATTTGTCTGTGGACAGTTCAGTCAAGTTATAATGGAAATGGAACTTGCATCAGTAGACCTTGTATTAATTTTTTTTATAGATAATTTAGCATGTACAAATAGTTCATTTCCCATAAAGTATCTGTTAAAAGCTGATTGTAACTTTTAATATATGGAGAAATTTGATATATAAATTAAGTGTTTGCTAAACAGATATCCCTGTATAAAGCTTTTAACTGATACAATGTATCTGATAAAAATACATTTCATTTAATATTTCTAATGGTCTGACAATTAGTGATTACTTACAATGGCTTACAAGCAATAGTCTATATAAAAGCGCATAGCCTCAGCCAATGCATCCCTGTATCTATTGAATAAATATCATACCATAAGGCATAGCTAGGTGAATAAATTAAAAACCATATGGCATAGGTCAGTAGATATAAACCATATGGCATAGGTGAATAAATATATATCATACGGCATAGGGGAATAAATATATACCATATGGCATAGGTGAATAAAGATTTACCAATTGGCATAGGTAAAAAAAATATGTATACCTTAAGGTATAGGTGACTAAATATATACCATATGGCATATGTTAGATATATAACATAAGACACAGGTAAATAAATTTACATGTATACAATACAGTTGAACTTTGGTATCTCGAACACAGACATCTCGAATACCATGCATATGTCGAAGTGATTTTGAAGTCCCATCTGCTTATTCCTTGAGTATTTTACCCTGGTTATCTCGAATCCTCGGTTATCTGGAAGTATTTTCTCAGTCCATTCAAGTTCGAGATAACGAGGTTTGACTGTATATAATAGGTGAATAAATATATACCATATGTGAAAAATATACCGTATGACATAGATGCTCAAGGATTTCTTAGTTGTTCAGTGGAACATGAATTGACTAAAATCTATGAACATCTTGCTATCCAAATCCTGCTAATTTATATAATATGTAAAAAAGAAATTCCAATATTCCTGATTTGAAACAATTCATCATTACAATTAAAATTCTGACAATGTACTAAATCATATTCCAATGTCAATTGCTGATATTTAAGGAAAATAAATGACTGTTGAGTGAGCTACAGCGCAGATCCTTGGAATATAATTATTTTTGCTGTTCATTATAAATCTTGATGTTACGTACCCATTGGAAAGATGTCTGAGAGAGAACTTGATCTGTACAAAAGATTGTATTTATGTATGCCATGCCATGAATATGGCTGGAGTATAGTGTTTGTCATGTCTGTCTTCTGTCCATTGGTTTATGTTTCTGTCTTTTGTCCTTCTATCTGTCCATCTGTCACTTTTTGTGTTAGCTCTATTTCAAAGTGCAAAATTCATGCACTGATACATGCTGTTTAGAGAAATTTAAATGTGTCAAGTTTTTGACCTTGACCTTTCCCTATGACCTTTAAATCACTGTTCCTCCTTTTGTGTTTACCTCAGTTTCAAAGAAATTGCTCAAGATGTTTTCATCAATTTTTTTACACTGACAAAAGTTAGTTGGAGCATTTCAATAGTGTCATATAATTTCTGACCTGATATTCCCTAGGAAATTCACCTTTTTCCTCATTATGCTCTAACATCATCTTAGTGAATTCCATTTACAGGATTATTTTATACAGCTCCATACTCAAATAAATCTCTGAGAGATCAATTCAACCAGACCTATTAAAGAAATGATATATAATCATAAATTTTCCATGTACATATAGAGAGACAATATATCATTTAGCTGTAAGATTAAGATCAGGGTGATTCAACACCATGACTGCATACTCTGCAACAAAAGGCAATAACTGTGCTACAGGTGTCAGATCTGTTTATGAAAAAAAGATCTTCTTTCATCATATTTTACCCTTAGATCAGACCAAAGAAACTGTGTGCACCATTTGATGGAACATTCGGACATATTTCTAGTGTATTATGGATTTTATTATATTTCGGGAAATACATGAGTAGAGTTAATTTGAAAATGCTTGTATATTTATTCTGTAGTCGTTTGGTGGAAAAGCTAGACAACATGAAGAAGAATGCCATGGGGAATGGAACCACCCAGTGTATCCTGTGTGGGGATGAGTTTGGTCTGCTGGGGGCGAGTCCCACTCACTGTGATGACTGTAAAAATGTGAGCATTACCATCTTAAGATAGAGGATACAGATACAACAAAATAAATACAGTTGAACTTCGGTATCTCGAATACCATGGATATATCAAAGTGATTTGGAAGTCCCAAACCCTTATTCTTTTTTACCCAAGATATCTCGAATCCTCGGATATCTCTCAGTTCCATTGAGTTTGAGATAACTAGGTTTGACTGTACCTGAATTAAATTGTTTATTAATAATTGATTTTATTCTAAAGTTTTCTGATTTCTGGTTTAGCTACTGTTAGTATTATAAATATTTAATTCAACATGTTATTTCACTGATGAGCTGTTATGCTCAAAGTTAGTAAAGAATTAAAATGATATTATTAACGTACTATTTTTGCATTGGAAGTTTATTGTTTTGCTAAAAAAAACTTGTTCATAATTGATAAACTGGTAAACTTTTTCTTTATTTCTCGAGGGAAAGTAAACAACTATATACAGCTGTACATGTATTGATTAAATATGCTGCTAATTAACTCATTCTCAGATTTTTTGGTATTTGTCACATAATATTGGATAAGACTATACTTTCAGGCTGTTTGTACAAAGTGTGGAATAGACACCTTTAATAGCAATAAACAGCAGCTGTGGCTATGTAAAATCTGCAGCGAATATAGAGAGGTTAGAATTGTTTATCACCTTACTTAATTTGACGTTTAAAAAAAAAAAATTGATAAGTGAAAGATTGACATATTAAGTCTTTATCACCTTACTTAATTTGACATTTCTAAAAAAAAAAATTGATAAGTGAAAGATTGACATATTAAGTCTTTATCACCTTACTTAATTTGACATTTTTAAAAAAAAAAATTATTAAGTGAAAGATTGACATATTAAATCTGCTTGAATACTGTTTAGGTTTTATTTATGTTGTTTACATGATATAAAGAGATCCCCAAATTCATGTCCCCCATGAAATGTTAAAATTTCATACTACAGAGTTATATTGCTTCTTCAGCCATGAAATCAAATTCTCAAGAACCAATACTTTTCCCTCAAACCACAAAAAATTTGACCCCACAAAAATAAGTGATATTACAATTCTAGTAATTTAGGAACAAACTGCTATACTTGCCAGACATGTAGAGATCATTTTATCTAGGAATATTTTATGCATTTATCTCTCTGTTGTTGAACGTATGCTCAGGAGTTCTTCATACAAACACAACAAATTAATAAAGCTTATTAGAAAAAAATTGAAATACAGCTTTTGTTGGAGTTGGAGGAAACATTCTAAGATCATGTTATTATTTTATTACACATGGACAAAACCTTCCTAGATAAAAATGAAGGTAGTTTGAAGTTCACAATGAGATCCAATCCAGATCCAATCCAGGGATACATTGAAGAGTGTAACTCCTATATAGCTTCCACATTGTGCAATTAAATTGAAGGATATGCCCCCTAGTTTTGACCTAGGGAAAGCTTGTTAAAAAAAAAATACCAAATCCAAGATGGACCACTTTGCATCACACTTTTATTATGCAAGTATTTATACATTTATTATCTGATGTTGTTTCCTCCTTAAAATTTCTACATTAAAAGCAGGGATGCTTGGGATAGACTTCATGTGTGTGATTTCTTTCTTTTTCCACTCCACAAACATGAGAGGGAATCTGTAGCTAGCATAAATAACCCACAAGCATAAATTTTAATACTTATTGTATTGCATCATGTTAGTAAAAAGAATCATTCAATATTTTCACCTAGGTTTGGAAAAGATCGGGAGCCTGGTTTTTCAAAGGAATTCCAAAATATGTAATTCCAGAGAAAAAGTCTGAAATTTCCAAAATTGGAGGTCATAAAGGTCAAAGAGAGCTGCGGGGTTCCCTGAGATCTCGACCAGGATCGGGCAGAGGTTACAACACATGGAGCAGGGGAAGGGCAAGTCATGGTGAGGCATAGAGAAATAGTTGGAGGGGGGGGGGGGGGGAGGAGGACAGACTATATTAGACTAATGATAAAATTATTGTATTTTAGCAAGTTACGGGGAGAGCAGTGAGCAGGAAACATCCAGTAGCTCAGATGACGAAGTTAGCATTGGGAAAAGAAAGGCAGTCAAACGCTCAGGTGACTCTGGAGGTGAGAAGAGTATCTCAATATTGGTGGTTGGGATAAGGTTTGATTCTGAAACAGCTACCAGAATACTGAGGCCCCTTCCTCTTATGATTATTGGGCCTCCCATTTTTAAGTCAGTTTCTATGAGCTGCATGTGCCTCATGCATTATATTCAGTTAGAGTATATTTGATTTTGAACTCATTCTACCCTACAAAAGATTGGTTTATATTTTGTGTTTCACTGTGGTTTCTGTATTCTGTAGAATAGTTTCAGATTTATGTTCTTATTTCTTATGACAGTACAGAAATCAATCATTTCTGTTCTATTTTGTACATGTTAATTTCTTCTCAGTTTTAATTTAAAAAAGTGTTGTATTTTAATCATATCAGTGAACATCAGGAAATATGAATTCTATAGAAAATGAAAGAAGAAATTTCTGATTTTATAACAACAACTTAGAAATATCAGTCTAAATTCTCTCAGGCCTGAATAGGTCAGTTTATTAGATTTTTGTCTGACCAAGTGATCATTGTGTTAACAAGTTCAATCCAGATGTATAATCTTTTTTTTTTAATAAAAAAAATTCTTTCAAAAATTAAATACAATAATATTAAGTATGACATTTTTTGGGAAATTACCAGGTACTCTTGTGTTTATCTTGATGTTTACAGGAAAACTAAGATTGGTGTGATGTATATGTTCTTGGTCTCTTTGAAAACATTGTACAGTAAAATACGCTTATAGTGAAGTGCCAAGGACCAACAATTTTTATTTGTTATAAATATAATTCATTTTAGCAATTCAGTTCACAAAAGGTTTTAAACTATGTGGAATGAAAGTCACTTTTCTATAAGCGTAAATTCATTATAAGCATGCTAGCTATAACTGGTTTTACTGTATATTGTGTAAATATTAGTGATCATTTATCATGCAGTTTGTTACGTGGCAAAATAAATTTTGTTGAATTTTCAGAAAGTGACAATATCAGTATAACTAGTTCCACTAGTGGTCAGTATTACAGTAGCCATGTGAACAAGGACCAGCGCCCGAGTATCACCAGTAGTAACTATTATGGTGGACATCTTAGTGCTACAGAGAGTAGTCGTGGTGATGATCTCCATGACGACACAGACAATGAAAGTATTGGAGGTAAGGCAAAAAACATTAGTAATATGATAACCTTTTAACACTTTCTTTACAAGAAGATGGCAACTTTAACTGATTTTCCTTGCTTCAGTACTAAGTATTTAAAAGACTGAATTTAAGCTCTACTAAAGCTTGATAGCACACTTTGTAAACTGTTTGAAATTTACTACTGGATCTGTGCTTCGTAGTAATTTTACATAGCTGCATTTTTCAAATCACAAAAAATGAGTCCACTAACAAAACATACTAAATCAAGGATCTGTTCTAATAAGGAGTCTTAATTCAGGGCTAGGTTTCCTATTATGTTTGTTTTTCTCTATTGCAAGATTCAGAAAGCAGTTTAAAGCTCAGGTGGTCATTTTTATTTTCCACAGTGTATTCTGTGCAGTTATTTATACAATATAACAGCATTGTTATCTAAAGAATAAATGGTTTATGATAGTTGAAATGAGACTGCATAAAAAAATAGACTTCCTGTTGTGGTATCTTTTGTCAACATTTGAGTTTTTCCCTCCATTGTGAAGGAGAACCTACTAGATAGCCATCACAATAAGCTTCGGACTTCAGTGTATAAATATAGACAGATGATATATCCTTTCATTTGGCTGAAATCTCCCAAACCTGAAGCACTAAAAGAACATCATGTTTTCATGCATGTACTGTTGACAAATCAGAAAATACTAATGTTGTTATTTTTATCATTCTCTGTTCTATCACTGATACTGCACATGGTCTCATAATGTATAATACTTGAAGTAGGAACTCTGACTTTTGTCAGAGTAAGTTATCAAACTGAAGTTTTATTTACCAAGATGTTCATGTAATAAAACATAACTTGTAAGGATGTGAAATTTTGTCAATAATTCATTTTCAAATATTTGCATTTTCAATCTTCTTCATCCAAGATACAAAAAAACAAGTAATAAAAAACTTAATTTCTTCATAAAGCTTTTGGTTCATCAATAGGCGTGGTTAGGTAGGGTGGGTAGGAGAGAGAGAAGTGGGCAGGGCTTTGACTGATCATATGAATTTACTGAATCATGCAAATATAAGAAATAACTGTCTGAATTTTTTGTTTTATGATGATGATCAAGCAATTGGATTGCTTGATAATTTTATGCATAAATGCCTTTGGTGAGGTGGACATGTATTCTTGGGCCTCTTCATACCTTGAAACAACGAAAATTAAACCACCACGAAAATTAGTGATTTCACAGTATACATCTATTTTTTTTTTAAAATGAATTGTAAGAAAGTTTTCCAGTGTAAAAATATTAAAGTGTTTTTGCAGATGGTACATGTGTATTAAAAAACTGACAAGAAAGAAGAGGTGGGAAACATTTCAAATAGACATAAACAAAATCATTTCCCAGTTCTTATTTATTTGAAAAAACTTGAGATTCTTTGATACAGAAATGTATTCTCTGCACAAATGTGAATGTTTTATTTATATAAATCTAAGACGTACTGATATATACATGACCTTGAGAAGGTAATCAGAGTGTTTAAAATATCTGAAGACATTTTTAAAATTTAAGATTTTTCTCTTTAACCTAGCTTGCATGTATTATTTATTCTCATTTCTTATATGACTTACCAAATCTCCAAATACCATTTATTGAGATCTTGAATAACAGTGCATGATGTCAGATATGACCTTATTGAGGTCTTAAAAATAGCAGGGTACTATAAATGTGGATATTTACGCATGTTGTTAATTATGCAAATTAGAAGCAAGAATATTATATGTGGGTAATTTATGTGATACTAATTGGATTATATTTTTAAAACTTAATAAAATGAATATTAAAACGTATAGATACGTGGGGGGATATTTAAGTGAAAGCTTTCTTATCACGTTTTTAGCATAAATAACCTTGTTTATAGTATATGTTTTTTATAAAAATTTTATCATGTCAGATTTGACCATTTATGGGCTTGCACAAAAAAATCACACAGGCTGTTCAGATTGCAGACAGATAGATATACAACCTATGTTAAGAGAGAAATCGGAATTAGGCAGATATAGGAAAAAAAATTCATAACAGTCTACTCAATCTTTTCTGTACTAAACTTCATGTTTTACCACATATTTTGCTAATTGCTTCTGTATTTCTCCTGTTTTCCCCCTCCCTGTGATTTCCTGTGGTGGTGGTCTTACGTCTTCTTTATTTTGTTGCTTTCGTAGGCATTTCCTCCACTCCACGACATCACCATTCTTCTACCCCCCAGAGTCAGCCTGCTCGGGACAATCGTTACCGATATCATTGACCTAAGCTTCACCATGACTGTGACCCGATCTTCTTACCTGTTGGACAGCTTAGTCTTTGATGTGTTTTATATTTCCTTGATCATAGTCTGACTGCTATAATTATTTTTAACTGTCTTGGTCTAGCTGATATTATGTGATAGATTCAGTGGAGGAGGATATTTAGGAAACAAGATTTCAAAGTTCAACTGGACAAATTGATTCATCTTTTCCTTGATCTGAAATGTCATATTATGCAATCTGAGAATTTATTTGTAGAAAATTGTGACATATATGCTTCATTTAAAATGGGAAAGAATGATTTAAATATTGATATTGCTCCTAATTGCAAATTAAAATGATTCAGAATTTTTTTTATATCACAATTAAAGCTTAAATATACCAAGAAAATACAATTTCTATTTGACTTTCCACATGTGATTAAGTCAAGCCAGAGGTAGTGTATGGAAACAGTCTGTGGTCAGTGTCTGTTGTACTTTTAATCTGTGTTATGTAGCTAGTTAGTCTGTGTTATTATCCTGTATTCATCTTCTATGAATTCCTTTGTATTTTCTAGTCTTTTTAACCAACCCCTGCTACCCTCCTTACTCCATTTTTGTTACCCCCTGTAGCATGTTTGCAATCAGCAAAACACACACAATATCTAAGCTCAGCACACATTACAGGTAGATATAACAGGTAGATATAACAGAGAACATGATATCCTTGCACTGCTTTATGTTTAAAAAAATATTTTTTTACCTCACAATTTTTTATTTGTTCAATTAGTGCAATATATATAATTCTGTTTATATTACTAAACTGCAAAAAATTGTAAACTCTGGATGTGTCCAAACTGAATTTTCCTAACAATTAACACTTGCTTTAATTAGTTTCTTTTTACAACTGTAATATCCTCTGGTTACGGTATAGTCTCTTGTTGATTAAAATGTAAAATTCTTACAGTTTTGTCTTATAACCCACTCCTCATTGAGCTGACAGGATTTGGGTAAGAGGAAATGTGGGTGACGAGATGTAATGGATCAAATATGCACTCAGTCAGAGAAAAGCTTTAAAATAGCAAGAAGAAATTGTGTACATGAAAAATTTCTCTGTGTAGAATCAAAATTGTTTTATGAATGTTGTCACGAAACTAATCATATAGTATACAACCTACTAATTCACTTTAATACGTACCTTTTGAGATTGATAGGCAAATTATTTTGTCATGTATCTTGCAATGTATTGTGATAAATTACTAATGCATTGAATATCTAAGAGAAACTGTTATAAAATTATTCACTTCTTACATGTTTAAGAAAAATATCATATTTTTAAAGGTGCATACATATTTTTTTTCTTAAAAATTGAAATAAAGTGTAAGTTACTCCTCGTACTAGTATTAGTGACAATCGTGCAATATTTTTGATTTATATTTCAATTTAAGGCTTAGATTTTGTACATTTGTCTTGTTGAATAAATCTTTTGAATTTTTGCAGCAGTGCTTTTTTATCAATACAGAATTGGAGGATGTATAAATGTTTTTGGTATTTTTCACATAAAAGAACTAGATTCACTTTATGCATAAAATGGTCCTGACTATATCAATATAGAGACTTCATGCTTTCATGACCTTTAAAAAAGTTCCCTCTGAAAATCCATGTATTGATGACTGTGCGTAAAGACAAACAGTAGTTTTTGCATTTTATGAGAAAAGGGTGTTTTGGAGTAAATTCATTAATTCAACAAAGAATTGAAATACATGTATGAGCACATTTCTCGAATCAAAAAATGAAATGCGTATAATGAAATTATGAACAATATTACTGAATCAGAATATTCTTGTAATTTTTTGATTGGAAGTTGTGATTAATTTAAAACATTGAAAAACAGCTTAAAATATTGGCTTTTTTTTTGGAAGAAGCTTTATGAACAGAAATAGGAGCAATGACACAATTCATGGCTTTTATAGCAAGGAAATTGTATCATTTTTAATAGATATATAGTCAAGATGGTGTAGTGCTTTATTCACTAAAACAAAAGACATAATTTGATTTTTCAGAGTTTTACAGAAAGAAATAAGGCCTTTGGTAAACCATATTCTTTTTTGATAACTTTAAAATAAGAAGTACAGTAAACATCTTTTATAACGTATCTCAGGGGACTGTGATAAATCCTACGTTATAACTGGTGTACGTTATAAACGGAGACCGGAAGTACTCAGTACCTTTACCGTAAACAGTTTTCAAACTGCTAGTGTGTTATTAATATTTAAAAGTATGTGTACATTGTAAATGATTTACAAGTATATTTGGTTTCGTTTTTTATATTAAGAAAGATTGATATTCAGTAACATTTTATTTATTTATTGTCAGATCATATAAAAAGTCCGTAATGTTTGTCTGTTTGGCCTGAGGACATTTATTTACAAAAGTCTCCAGAGTTCCCAGAGTCGTGAAAACTTCCGACTAATGCCCTTTGATCGTCTGGGTAGATAGTATGCACGTGTCAGGCACGGCCTTGTCATCCTCGCTGTCGTCGCGGTCTACTGATATTGAATCACTGTATTTTCCTTTCACTTGTTTATTATATCATTTTCAGTTTTATTGCTATTTACTGACTCAAGGATGATTTTTTATTATGATTTATTATGAATACATCTACTCGATGAACTTTATTCAAACAATTTATTATAAATACATCTACCTGAAACAACAAAGAAACCTCGTTAGAAAAACACCCATTAGGGAGAAGCTATGAAGTCAACAAACCGTGACTAATCCGCAGTCCCTGAGCTGATAGAAAAGGTGTGAAACCAGGTGTCAGAATACGTTATAAGAGGTGTAATTATGTAACGGGACCAAATTTCTAATACTTTATAAGCGATACTACGTTATATACAAATACGTCGTAAGCGGTGTTTTTTCCAATGAAATATATAGACACTTTGCCGGGACTACGGAATGGCTACTTTACATCCGGAGATACTTTATAACCGAGTACGTTATAAAAGAAGTTTACTGTATACAAAAACAATTTACAGAAATTGACTACCACATGAAAACTGAATATTATCAGAAGTATACAAAAACGATTTACAGGAATTGACTAGCACATGAAAAATCTCAAAACTGAATATTATCAGAAGAATACCCCCCCCCCCCCAAAAAAAAAACAATGAAGAAAGTAGGTTAATGATATGCATTATGAATAGATATTACTCTACATTAGACATTTACTTATAATGATGTGTAATGAACAATACAGCTTTGTTTTACTGTATTTGTTAAGTGTGTGAATTCTTTGAAAATTAGGGTACTTTTATCAGTTGTAGGTTGTCTGTCATCTGATCATAAAACATAAGACGCATTAGACATGTCCAAACACTAGACTGTTTGAATGTGTGCCAACACAAAGTAGTATTAAGATGTTTATATTTACTGAAAAGTTGTGATGAAAATTAGGAGACTTGATATTGATGAAACATTGCCCCTTACTCTCTGGAACAAAGTCACAGAGAGAAGTTCTTGGAAATAAGATTTGAAACATTTGTAAAATTAAGAATTATTTACAACAGAAACATTAAACAGAAAATACACATCATCAATGAGATGCCATTATTGATTTTGGTATGTTCATTAAACTTTGCAATTGATTACAAACTACTTAAATAGTTTCATCAGCAGAAAACGACTTCCAGCATTCTCTAATCTAGTATCTCTCTTCCTACGCTCGTAATCACACATTTCTTGGAGTAAGGACTGCCTTAACATTAAATGACATTTATAGCTTTATTTTTCAGTTTGAATAATCATGTTGTTTTTGCTCACTTTAGTTTAACCAAATGTTTTATGATAGTTATATAATTAATGTAGGGATATAATGTTTGCATGGTTTCAAAAAAATTTTGTTTTAAGATAAAAGTACACATTTATTAGCTGTTTAATGAGAGATGATGTTGAGAATTGTTTTTTTTTATAGTGCATCCTTTTAGACATGGTCTTTTATACAAGACTACATAACATTTCAAGCAGCTGAGAGTCTTAATTAGCATTAAAATACTGATATTTTCATTTTTAGCTATACATAAGCTTCCTTTTTTTTATTAATTAAAAATCAATTCTTTTATACTCCTAGATTTATTGTAACATTTTGGAAGAATTCATCCAGGTTATGCATTTCATTCTTTGTTATCTTTCTTTTTTATATTGTATGTAAGTTAATCATATAAGTATTTTATTATTAATCATAGAAATGATATGTAAAGTTGTTAATCAAATTCATTTTAAAACTTAGTTGTGAGTCATCATGGAACAAATAGGGCACATGATCACCATCCTCCAACCAGACTTGTTGATGAGGCAGATATTGATGATGCTTTTACCAAATATGGAAATAACCACACCCATTCAGAGGACCATGAAGATAACCTATCTTCTCCTGAAAGTCCTACTGGGGGTAAGGGAAAGAATTGGAAGTTTGAATTATATGACTACTCATACATGTATGTCTAAAAGGACACTTTTTAATTTTTTAGACTATTTATCTTCAGATAGACAAATTTGGCTGTTGTCTTTCCACGGCCTTTACTGTATCACTGAAATGTTTCATTTGATATTTTAGGATCGTTGGGAAGTCTAGAGATGTCTCTACTTTATGATGCTAACAACAATGCTCTTCATTGTACCATTGTCAGGGCCAGAGTGAGTACATGGTACCATTGTCAGGGCTAGAGTGAGTACATTGTACCATTGTCAGGGCCACAGTGAGTACATTGTACCATTGTCAGGGCCACAGTGAGTACATTGTACCATTGTCAGGGCCACAGTGAGTACATTGTACCATTGTCAGGGCCACAGTGAGTACATTGTACCATTGTCAGGGCCACAGTGAGTACATTGTACTGGTGTTCTTGTCAGGGCCAGAGTGAGTACATTGTACCATTGTCAGGGCCACAGTGAGTACATTGTACCATTGTCAGGGCCACAGTGAGTACATTGTACTGGTGTGATTGTCAGGGTCAGAGTGATTACATTGTACTGGTGTGATTGTCAGGGTCAGAGTGAGTACATTGTACTGGTGTGATTGTCAAGGTCAGAGTGAGTACATTGTACTTGTGTGATTGTCAGGGTCAGAGTGAGTACATTATACTGGTGTTCTTGTCAGGGCCAGAGTAGTACATTGTACTTGTGTGATTGTCAGGGCCAGAGTGAGTACATTGTACTGGGGTTCTTGTCAGGACCAGAGTGAGTACATTGTACTTGTGTTCTTGTCAGGGCCAGAGTGAGTACATTGTACTTGTGTGATTGTCAGGGACAGAGTGAGTACATTATACTGGTGTTCTTGTCAGGGCCAGAGTGAGTACATTGTACTTTTGTGATTGTCAGGGCCAGAGTGAGTACATTGTACTGGGGTTCTTGTCAGGACCAGAGTGAGTACATTGTACTTGTGTTCTTGTCAGGGCCAGAGTGAGTACATCGTACTTGTGTGATTGTCAGGGTCAGAGTGAGTACATTATACTGGTGTTCTAGTCAGGGCCAGAGTGAGTACATTGTACTTTTGTGATTGTCAGGGCCAGAGTGAGTACATTGTACTGGGGTTCTTGTCAGGGCCAGAGTGAGTACATTGTACTGGTGTTCTTGTCAGGGCCACAGTGAGTACATTGTACCATTGTCAGGGCCAGAGTGAGTACATTGTACTTGTGTTCTTGTCAGGGCCAGAGTGAGTACATTGTACTTGTGTTCTTGTCAGGGACAGAGTGAGTACATTGTACTTGTGTTCTTGTCAGGGCCAGAGTGAGTACATTTTACTTGTGTTCTTGTCAGGGCCAGAGTGAGTACATTTTACTTGTGTTCTTGTCAGGGCCAGAGCGAGTACATTTTACTTGTGTTCTGTATATGTTTTTGTTTTTCAGAATTATTTAGAAAGAATATAAGAAGAATATAGTGTATATGTTAATTTTTAGCCTCATGTTTTATTGATTACTATTTCTTTAATCCATGTGACAAAGAAGATATGGTTGCAATTAATAATGCTAAACAATTACATTCAAGCAGGGGGGATTGTGTACTTGATATTGTTATTTCAGAGAACTCTTGTGAGCAATTTAATTTGATCTTATTTACCTGTTGTAGGGACTTAAGGCTATGGATTCTAATGGTCTATCTGATCCTTATGTCAAACTTCATCTACTTCCTGGTGCCAGTAAGGTAAGGGGGTTATAGGTAAAACAAACAAGGGGAGAAAACTCTTGTAACACACCAGGTGTTGTTATGCTGTTGCAGTACATTTTGATGTATATTATGCCTAGTATGTTTTAATTTAGAAAAAAAAGAATATATTTACAGGACACTGCAGATGGAAATAAAATATTATTATAAAATATTATATATATATATATATATATATATATATATATATATATATATATATATATATATATATATATATATATATATATATATATATATAATTCTTAATTTCATTATTTTATTTTAAGTCAAACAAACTAAGAACGAAAACAATACACAAGACCCTAAATCCGGACTGGAATGAAACATTGACGTATTACGGCATCACAGAGGAAGACATGATTAAAAAGACTCTCAGGTGAAAAAAATATGAATCCTGTCATTAGTAACTTTTGATAATTAAATCTCCATATCTTTTGAAAATGAAGAGTTCAGTTTGTTTCCTTGATGCAAGGCTTGAAAAAGGTTTCAAGTGAAGACTTTTATGAGATCTTATGTTGTTTTTTTGGAACTAAACTATGCTTTTATGCTTTATTCATAATTTTTTCAGCATACAAAAGTTTAAAATTTACTAAATATTTAGGCAACTTTAAAATTTTGTTTAAAACTATAATTTATTCCCTGACAGATTAGCTGTACTAGATGAGGATGCCTTTGGGTTTGATTTTATTGGTGAGACGAGAGTTCCTCTAAAGAGGCTACAGCCTCATGAGACCAAACACTTCAATGTCTGTCTGGAAAAACAAATCCCAGTAAGTGGATTATCCTTTCTATAACTGATCATTATTAATTAGAAGATGTGAAAAGGGAGTTTTCTTTGTAAAATATTTCACAAATTGATTATAGAGTTAAAGTGAATGGAAATTCTGCAGCCCCAACCTGTAGTCATTAGTCGCTGAAAAATATTTTCAGGAATATATATGTTCTTGATCATTAATCTTTTCTTTAAAATTGTTATTTTTAACTCACCTGAGCTTAAAACATTATGCAAACCAATGGCCTCTGAGGCTTGGATGAGGCCATAATAGTGGATCAGCATTTTGTATGAGAATGCTTATTAGGAAATCCCATTAAAAATTTCTCAAAACTAAGAGCCACAGGAACAGGTAGTCTTACTGATATGCTAGCATCCCCACTCTGGTGTAGATTCAAATTATTCAAAACCTTGCCTGAAGATGGGGCTAAAAAAAAGGATCAGATTTTATTATTTTAAAAGAAAAATAAACATTTCTGGTTATAGTTATCTTCTCAAGAACAGAAGTATAATAATTGTTCAAATTTAAATTGTCAAATTTGTCTACAGTGTTTCCAAATCATGACCAATGGGGATGGGGGTCAAAGTTTTACGTAAGGTATAGGGAAAATAAATAAATTCTATTTAGGAAAAAGTGCCTTAATTGAAGTTTTCAAGTACATGTACACATCCATTTGCTAGGAAGATAGTGTAATCCTCTTGTTATGATAAATTGACATGTTTTGTAATAGATCACTGTATTTCCAGACTGACAAGGATGATGACTTACTGTCACATGACAGAGGTAAGATCTTACTGGGGCTGAAATACTCCACGTCCAAGCAGGCTCTAGTGGTGTCAGTGGTCCGATGTGCTGAGTTAGCAGCGTGTGACACAAATGGATACTCTGACCCGTATGTCAAATTGTAAGTACCTGTACTATAATTTCCTTTCTATCAAGAAATTAACATGAAGTCAGCTGATATTAGTATGAATTTGCTGTTAAATTTGCATGTACAGTTGAACTTTGGTATCTCTGTGATACCTGGAATACTCTGGATAGGTTGAAGTGAGTTGGAAGTCCCAAACACTTTTTCTTTTATGTATAATTAACCTCACTAGATATATCTGTTTCTTCTTGACCCCCATTGAGTTTGAGATAATGAGGTTTGACTGTATATCATGGAAATAAATTTTGAGCTACATTTGAATACTGGATTTTAATGTTTAATTCCATTCACGTGTTATCATGGAAAACTAATAAGTATTAATCCTTCACTTTAGGTACTTAAAACCAGACCCAGAGAAGAGGTCCAAGTTCAAAACAGCGGTTAAAAAGAAAACTCTAAATCCAGAGTATAATGAGGTAAAAATTTTAGTTGTTTTATAGAAATTCAAAAAAGGAATATATACAGGTGTGACATTTATCCTCCTTCTTTAAATGTTAGCAAAAGTAGTCATGGTAGCAAGAAAAGCAAATAGTAAACTTTTTAATCATGGGGGCAAAATGGCAAATTATTTTGTCATAGATAATGGAAATTTTCAATAATTTCATTTAAAAAAAGAACAAAAAAAACCCCATAGTTTATCAAATTTGACATTTGAACTTGTAGTATGCAAGGTTTCTTAGTCTCATTTGCACTTACAGGTACATGTATTACATTGATTATATCATTGTACTTATTACAAAACAACAGACTGGACAGGTCAAGGTTTCCCAATATAATTTGGACATACATGTACATGTATCATATTTGTATTGGACTTTAAAAATCTTTGAAATCTGGAATCTATATCCTTGACAGCATATTTTGATGCATATTTTAAAAGATTTTAAGTCTATAAACAATTTACTAGCTTAGAAAATAATAATTATCGATTTCTCATTTAAAGATAGAAAAGGACCTTTGTTAAATATTGGTTCAATAAATATAAACTGACATACATGTATCTTGTGTGACTTTTACAAATTTAAAATTTGTCTGAATTCTTTCAGGAATTTATTTATGAAGTTAAGCATAATGAACTAGCTAAGAAAACCCTAGAGATTACTGTTTGGGACAGGGATATTGGCAAAGCTAATGACTTCATTGGTAAGGCAATCAAGAAAAAAAAATATATAATCTATGTGACATTTCTGTTAATCCCAGACTACTTTAATAAGCAAAGAAAATAAGTTGGTGATGTACTGTAATTCTGTGATGTTTTCAGCTGTTATAGATAAATTTGAATTTTTAGGTGGTGTTCAGCTGGGAATTAACTCTAAGGGTCACCGCCTAAAGCACTGGTATGACACGCTGAAGAACCCAGACCACAAGTTTGAGCGCTGGCACACCCTGGCAGCTGAGCTTGTCCCAGAGGTTTAAATCAGTACCCACCCCTACCCTATTTAATGTTGTGTTGTGAGTTTATTTCTTTATACTGTAATCCTTGCATGCATTCTAGAATGAGTAAATATTTTTTCATGATGTCCAGTTATTGACCCCAAAATATTTTGCTCTTTATTAATTTTATTCACCATTCACAGCTAGTTAATTTGTACTAGTTTTAATTTCTTCTCAAGGTTTAATATTTTCCCCAATGTTTGGATAAAGACATCTTCCTCCATTATTTTTTTATTATAGTTTACAGTAACCCTTGCTATGATTTTAGAATTAATGTGTTCCACAAAATAGTGATTAGTATGAAAATCATCAAGGGATTATATTCATTATTGATTAAGGATTATACTAAATAATCAAATCTAGTCATTGATTGAAAAATGTACTTACATGTACTTCTAATATAGTATGGGGCCAAATTCATTGACAGCAATTTTATGTACATGGATAATGACCCTGGATGAGGTTTTAAAATTTAGGGCACATTATCACTGTAACTTGTTAAATATACATGAACATAAAACAATTTTGTGAGTTTGATATACTTCCAAAATGCAATGTCATACATTAATGATTTAAGATTTTTTTCTTGTGTAAATTTTGTTCGGTGAAAATTTTTCTCAAAATTTAGCAGTATTTTTATATGAGTGGATATTCCTTGAATCAAATGCAAAAAATTAAGGTGATTGCAAATACATAGATAAGTCTTTCTAAACATTAACTGAAGACAGGATGAAAACATTCTGCAATTGTATTTTAGCCTGATGAATACTAGGAGACAGCCTGTCCAGCATACACTACTGAAGACAAGAAGTAGCAGTTCTCCATTGTATATCAGATTTAGTGTACCACTTCACTACACATGTGTATTTTCTCTCAAAGTTTCATGTACAAACATGTACATGTGTACAAGTTATAAAAATAATTGTTAAATTCCTCTTTCGATATCCCACTTTTGTAACAATTTCATACTATATGTCATTCTTCCTGTACCACAGTCTTGTAAAAATGTAATGTACAGGTAAACTTTGATATCTCTAACATCAACATAATGAGGTTTGACTGTAATTGTCTCTGTTTAATTGTACTGGGTCTTTCCTACTAGCAATTTGATGTTAATGAAAAAAAAAATATCAGTTGGTAAAAATTCATTCACTATTTTCTTTTTTTTTTTTAGGTAAATCATTGATTTTTTATTCAATATTTACAAATATTTTTAGTGCAATATTTTTAGTCCAGATTAGGATTAATTAAGTCTGTACTGTTCTTTTAGCTTTAGCTTGTATCTTTCTTAATATATACATTCATTCATTCTCTTGACTTACTTTGGAATACTTTTTTTTTGATTGAGGAATGAAAATGTTTATTCTTATGTCACAACTATTTCAAATAATTTACATACATAAGATATGAATACTTACTCCTGGAAATCAAAGAATCATTTCCATATTTACTAACTGTTTATATTTTATAATTTTTTTTTTTTTTAGAAATTTGAAAGATCTGTATTTTGATACTGTTTCCTGCTCAATGTGAATTTCTGTGTTGTCTTCCGATACAATAGGGCTGTGAATGGTAGTATCCTATCATGATGCCTTACTAGTTTATGGTTGTGAATTTTATGTATTTTTAATGTCATTGATATGAAATGTTCAACACACCCATCCACTAATAAAGATTCTGATAAAATTCAAGATTTTTTTTAAAAATTTGATTTTATTACTACTTCCACTTATCAGACACACTAACATTCACATATACCAATACTGCAATAACTTACTCTAAGATATTATAAAACCTCTAGTAAAATTAATCTGTAATTTTTGTAAATATAATTTATAAACATCAAACATATGTATATAACAATCATAAATGAACAATACTGTTGGTTTTCAATGATTTACTGAGGGCATCAGAGACCTCCATGGCAGTTATACAGCTCTGAGCTGTCACTAAAATATCTTCTTTTCCTAAAAAATAAATATTTACAGTATGTTACAATATGACATCCATCCTTAAATGTAAATTGCAAAATCCACAAAAAAATATGACGAATTTGTGATCATGCATTGTTTGATTAGAGCAAGTTCATGCTTTGCTTTAAGGACAAGATCATAGGTTCAGATCGTGCTGTAAATGAGGAGACATCTTTTTGATTTAAATATCAGATGTCATCAATTTTGTTCAAAGCATGATAGGATAACATAGGGATGGTAATGAAATAGGTTTAAAAATATTTTGCTCAATATAAGGCTGCAGACTTAACTTTATCTTTGGTGTCCTTATGAGATGGGCATTAAAATTTTACATAATTGCTTTTTTACTCAGTAGGGTTATCGTACGTAGAATACTCAAGGTTAACAATGGATATCATTGATGACTAACATGGCTCAGAAATTCAGCCTTGTGACAAACGTGACCATTAAGGCCCATGGGCCTCCAATATACACATGTATCTGTAGATAATTAACATACCTTGGACAGCATTAATGAAGTGGTTTAACTCTGTAGGGAAACTGTCCATGTAGCGATCTAGAAATGTTTGTAGGAGAGGTTCCGATTTACAGGATTCCTGGGTAACTGTATACAACTCACTTGTCTTAATGCTCTGTGTCTGTATCAGTCCTTTGGTTCCCAACACCTACAGATACATGTTTATAGCTCTAGAACAGTCTAAACGTCTTCATGTTATACCCCTTTTACCCTCTGAGTTTTCTGACTTTCAGGCACGTAGTATAGTATCATTTTGAAAGGAGGGGGCAGTCGGAAAAAAAATTGACAACCTACCAGGTACATGTACCTGAAAAAAACCTTTGACAAGCCAAAAAAAAAATCCAAAACTCAAAAATCCTATATCGAGGGAGGGGGGGGGGGGATCCAACTTCCTTTCAAACATTTTCAATAGTGAAAAGTTATGTTTGGGAAAAAAGTGGGCCTTAATAGTGTCTTTTATGCATTTTTCTCAGTAGAGCAAGTGCTAGCATACAAAAAAGTCGACTTTTTTACTCAGTTCTAGATCGAGAGAGAAGGGTTACATGATGTCATTGTCTTAAAGTGGAAATGTCTTACTGACAGCAAGAAAATTAATGAAACTGCGTTATTTTTGCCAAGTACTAAAAGAAAACCTTGCCTATACATGTATTATTAAACATTATACTTATGGCATATAATTATATTTTTTTAATCATAATTTATGTGGAATTATAAATTACCTCAACTTTCTGCTCGTATCCAATGTTTGCTTCCCTAGTGGCTTCCATCTGTGCCATTACACCATTCGGAAAATTCAAAATGGCTGTCACAGAGTCAAAATCATCAAATGTTTGATAAAGTGCCGCATTGTCTGAAGAAATTGAACCAAATGCACAGACAGATGAGGGTTTTTCTCCTACTAACCAGCAAATGTAGTCAATATCATGGATGGCCATATCAAGGAAAATTCTACCTGACGGAAAACAATGACAAGTATAGTACCAGAAACAGATCAGAATTTTAGAAAGGGGCGGGGGGGGGGGTACAAAAGAAAATCTTTTTTTTTTTTTTTTTTTTCTTTCTTAAAAAGCAAAATCTAAAAAAGAATGTTTCTGGTTTTAACAACAGATTGCAAAAATAAACTTGCAAAGATGCACTCGATCCTTCACTTTATTCACTTGTGTATTAAAGCTTCATCTGTTTTATTCAATGCAGAATAAACCAATTTCGGGAACCTCAGAAGCTATGGTCAATATTTATTTTGGCATGGGTCTGTCCGACAGATCTTAGAAAATATTTCCTCAGTAAAATATGAGTCCTAATCAGCATCAGAAGCGTAGCGAATAGAAATTTGTATAGTTTCTTTATTGGCGGTTCTTGTAACAAAATCTTTAGAAACATCAATGATGAAAATTTAATTTTACTTTTGTTGTTCTTTAGATATTCCTTGGTCTGCCCACCTTCCCTGCTGGTAAATTTTACCACACGTAGCTTTCCAATTTCACCTTTCCTGTAACGGCTGTACAGAGTATAGAACTGTTTGTCAAAACGTCTGTCATAGAAAAGAATAGAATCTCATAATAAAACATACAAATAGCCATAAGTCTCTGACAAAACTGTAGCTCTACTGGTTTGTACTTATAACAAAGGAAGATAAAAATAGCACTCGGACTTGAAACTTTGCAACAGCAATAAATAGAATAATGATCCTTGGTTTATTAGTCTCTTTTTGTGGCAAGATTTATTGCAATCAGACTAAAACTTTAGGAGGAGTAGCCCTTTAAAAGAATTTTACAGAAATTTCGAATTTAGTAACCATGGCATCATCATTCAACAAAATTAAAAAAAAACAATAATGACAATTATGTATCTTAGTGTAGTCTACTTGTGTGCCAAGTTATATTGAAATCAGATCAAAACTGTAGGAGGAGTAGCGTTTGAAAGTTTTTCACAGAAATTTCTATTTTTAGTAACCATAGCAACATCGTTCATCGAAATCAAAAATTGATATATAGAATTATGTTTTTTAGTGTAGTCTACTTGTGTGCTAAGTTATATTGATGTAGGAGGGGTAGGGTTTTGAAAGTACTTCCCAGAAATCTTTATTTTTGTAATCATGGCAACACCGTTCATCGAAATCAAAAACTGATAAATAGAATTACGTAGCTTAGTGTAGTCTACTTGTGTGCTAAGTTATATTGAAATCGGACCAAAACTGTGTAGCGTTTTGAAAAATTGTTTACAGACGGACGGACGACGGACACCTTACTATCGCATAAGCTCTTCTGGTCTCTGAACAGTAGAGCTAAAACACAGGAAGTGATAAACAAGTGTAGGAAAACTGAAGCCTTTGAAAGAAACCATGTTATACCTATTTTAGTGGAATTTGTATTTTAGCGCTACACAATAATAATCACTACATAAAAATAGAATTCTTTATGTCTTGATTTACCTGTTGTAGGCGCAGAATAAAATCTTGTCATGGTTTCTCGCCACCTCGTAACACTCTTTTGTATCTAAAACTGTTAAAGTTAATGGCTTCTCGCACATCACATGTTTTCCTAAAAAAAAAAAGTTGATCACAAATTTGGCTGGAATTAAGCTGGAATACTAGTAATCATTCTGTCCATGCATTCATGTCAAGGACACCATGCAAGATTATATATTTTGGTATCTCGGCATTTTTAAAATTAGAGACACACTATAGTACAATGATTTTGTTTTTTATTAAAAATTGTCAAGTTTGTTGTAAATAAAATACATTTGAACGTTTTCTGTTAAAGAAAATGCAAAATCTGAAAGCAATCCACATCTCACAAGCCATGGGAGCGAGAGAATAACATTGGTTACATAGAGACAAAATAGTTTTATATAGAACAGAATATCTACATCTAACAATATATTATTCCAGATAAAAAATTACATTGTGTAAAAATGATTACTATAACGTATTATCTTAATCTAAAATTGGCCGCAAAATTAAGAATTTCCTTGTCCCCAGAGTTGAGTAATCAGAAAAAGAATTGTTCATTGTCTGAAGCTGAAAAAATTGCATTTTCTTTGGTTTTCATATTTTTCACATACATCATTATCAAAAAAAAAAAAAAAAAAAAAAAAACAAAACAAAACAAGATTTGTTTGTGAAACACTGATGCCCCCGTATGGCAACTTATAGCAAAGGTTAAACTTTCTCAAATGCAAATCAAATATGTTGGTACCCAAAGTAAGGTCTTGTCTTGAGGAATATACCTGTGAAATATGAGAGCCCTAGCAGCAACCATTGAATAGATATTGAAAAGGTTAAAGTTTTTCAAAAGTAAGTCAAATATCAAGGTCAAATGGTAAAAAATAATGGTGCCTAAGGAAAGACCTTCTCACAGGAAATATACTGGTGAAATATGAAAGCTGAAGCATCAATCGTTCAAAAGTTATGAACAAGGTTCAAGATTTCCAAAAGTAGGTCAAACTCCAAGGTCAAGGTCAATGGATTACAATTGTTGGTATCCATAGGAAGGTCTTGTCACAAGGATTACAAATGTGAAGTATGAAAGCTGAAGCACCAACATTCAAAAGTTATGGCCAAGGTTAAAGTTTTACAAAAGTAGGTGAAACTCCAAGGTCAAAGGGTCAAAGTTGTTGGTATCCAAAGGAAGGTCTTGTCACAAGGATTACACATGTGAAGTATGAAAGCCCTAGCTCCAACTGTTCACAAGTTATGGCCAAGGTTAAAGTTTTTCAAAAGTAGGTCAAATTCCAAGGTCAAAGGGTCAAAGTTGTTGGTACCCAAAGGAAGGTCTTGTCACAAGGATTACATATGTGAAGTATGAAAGCCTTTGCATCAACCGTTCAAAATTTATGGCTAATGTTAAAGTTTTTCAAAAGTAGGTCAAAGTCCAAGGTCAAGGTCAAAGGGTCAAAGTTGTTGGTATCCAAAGGAAGGTCTTGTCACAAGGATTACACATGTGAAGTATGAAAGCCCTAGCTCCAACTGTTCAAAAGTAATGGCCAAGGTTAAAATTTTGTAAAATTTTGTAAAACTAGGTCAAACTCCAAGGTCAAGGTCAAATATGGTGGTACCCAAAGAAAGGTCTTATCACAAGGAATACACATGTGAAATATGAAAGCCATAGCTCCAACCAATCAAAAGTTATGGGCAATGTTAAAGTTTTTGCGGACAGACAGACAAACAGACGGACGGACAGGGCAAAAACTATATATCCCCGAATCTTCGATACGGGGGCATAAAAAAATGGATTTCATCATCTATAGTGTTAGAATGACATCTGGTGCATAAGCGTTCTTTTCTAGGGATGTTGGTTAAACTTACCTACTTGAATTTTTAACCTGTGATAGGAAATTTTTAATTTGCATTCAGGTCATCTGTGAACAAAATTTTTATCTGCTTAAAAATAATTCTCACAACCCCCTTTTGTTCCGAGTTTCACATATGTACTACCATCAGTATAGTTTGTTGACTTGTATATCAATTTGTTATATAATGATAATAGTCTTATATGGTTCTATTGCGGGCTGATTCCCATAACATACTATTTCTCTCTGATATTCTGTTAATTGATTGTTTCGTAATTTGTGTTTAAATGCAAACTATGAATGCTTGCCAGTCACAAAAAGATTTTAATACATTTATAAGTTCCTTAATTAATGGATAATTTGGGACAAATTTTCAATCTCTACCACCTTTTTGATTAAAAATCTAACATCATAATGCATAATGGGAACTTTCCCTATTCAGACAATACTGCAAAATCTGTACTTTTTGTAAACACCATAGAGATATGTATTACTACTCTTAGCAATTTTACTATTCAAATTTCATGTTGTTGAAAATTAATGGATATATGTCCTTGTTTACAATCCTTGTTTACTGGTAGTGTATGTAGATCTGTATTAACATAAGTCTTACCTGCAGATAAGGCCCTTTTGATTATGTCGGAGTGAGATGGTGTTGGTGTACAAATTATAACAACATCAACCCTGTTAATATAAACAAATTATACGTAACAATGAGTGTAAATATATAAAAAGAGAAAAATGGTGATATTAATTTTTCCTGTCTAAAGAATTAAATGGAATTTATCTGAGCCCAGTTAACATCTAGATCTCATTGCATCTTACCAACTCCCTGTCCTTAAAGGAAACTTATAAGAGGCCCATGGGCCTTGATGGTCACCCGTGTGTCTAAAACACTGAGAACTGAGCCACCTGGATGTCTTTACCACGTTACTTACACTACTCTTCTATAAATTTATTGACAAAACTTTCAGCATTTTGTTTTGACTTCAAAGACCCTTTTTTAAGTTCCTCTGTTACTAAGAAAGCAAAATTATTTAATGTTACCACTAGAGAATTTCATACTTTTCCTTCCAGAGACCTTAACCAACCTTGAACGATTTCTCGATCCTCTGCATTGACGTTTTTAAATCGTTGGTAAGATTTTAATCAGAATTAACAAGCAATAACATTTAAATAAGAAGAAAATGAATCATAAGGATATATATCTTTACAATATAGCGTGCCTTTAATACTTGCTCAACTTAAAAAAAATGTTGAACAGTTCAAAGGTGCAAAGATGAACTGATACAAAAGCATTACCTGGGATCTTCGAACACCTTTTCACTAGCCTCGATATCGATCACTTCAGTTTCCCCTGTCAATCTATGTTTCTCTATCAGTTCATTCATCATACCATGTTGTGCAGGCACATCCACTAGCCATCTTATGGCCAGACGCCCATTGTCCACCATGTTCTTTAAATGGACCTGTCCGATTCTACCCACACCAAATAAAGCAGCACCAAGTCTCCGACTGCTGTCCATCTAAAATTTACGATTTGTACTGTAGAGTGTGTCAGATAAAGTTACTCAAGTACACTTACTTAAAACGAGAAAAATCTCGTACAAATCAAGGTGTCGTTATAAAAAGAACAATCTCGTTATGTCGAGAAAAGAAATAATGAGAAACGAATTGTCATTACAAGAAGACTCTCGTAATTTCGAGACAAGATATCGTATTATATAACGAGAAAAGACCTTGTGAATACGGGGAAAAAATCCCCCGGATACTTATGACAAGAGATCTTAAATATAGAAAAAGATCTCGTAAAATTGCGAAGAAAAAGTAAGGAAAAAATTAACCCCCCCCCAAAAAAAAGCAAACAAGTTTTGTATATATCATGAATAGTTTATACTTATGTTCGTCAAAGATACTCTTTACATAAACATAAATCCACAGCAGGATAAATGTGAACATATCTACTTTATTTATAGACTTCTAACATATAGACGAAGGGTTTGTTTATCAGACCAAAAATGTTGTTATTCAAGACTTTTAAAATCAATACATAATATAACTCGGAGGCGGATCCAGGGTTACCAACCGAGTAGAAGAGATGTGGGGGGGGGGGGGTGGGGGTGGGGGGGGGGATGGAATACTTACGTTTAAACTAGATATCATTGAGATGGTGGCCATATTAAAGGGCCCCGCTTTCAGAAACGAACATGAAAATGTAAGGTAGCTGAAAAGGGTTTATTTTGAAGAGGAACATTTGTGTACTATTAAGGGATGTGTTGTTTGAGTCTAAAGGGCTTCTATGTCATCCTTGTTATAATAAAAAAAATGGCACGAAAATCACGAGTGCTCCATACCCTTTATCAAAAAACGGCACAAAAATCACGAATGTTGCATATCCTCTATGAAAATTGTTGGATATCCTTAGCTGCAGAACTGAGCTCTCTGGTTGAGAAAATTCGGACAGATAAACCGGAGACCTACAGATCCAAGCATTGTAAAAACCTTGGATTTACGCCGCCGCTTTTTTGTCGCTCGCTTCGGGTATTATTTCATGTATTTTATGCATTCCCCCAAGCTACAAACGTGGTATCCGATAATAAATTACAAATTTTACTCCCATTCTTTATACTTTATATCTTTCAAGGGTTCCAAATGGCCCTCTGTGGTCTTGGAGTATCATTTATATTTTAAAGCCAATAAAGGTAAAAAAAAAATTCCATCCAAAACGTCCATGTTAGAAGTGAAAAAAGTTTTTAAAAGAACATCCATCTGCCGAGAAAATGTAAATAAAAAAGTCTGGAGGTTCAAGTATCATGTATATTCACTTGCCTATAAAAAAAACAATATGTGTGTTAAAAAATGAGATAAATAAAACCGATCGGGCGTGTTATTTTTAGCATTACACTAACATGGAGCTCGGACATGTCGGAATGCATTTTTTAAAACTGATACTCCAAGACTTCACATATGGTAGTCCGAAGTATCCGACGTTTTCCAGGCTTTTTTCACGGTTTTGATATTTTTTCCTGGCACGTAAAATATCAAAATCATGAAAAAAGCCTGGAAAACGTCAGATACTTCGGACTACACATATGGCTGTTTGGAATCGTTGAAAGGTAAATAAAGTGTCAGGAATGGGAGTAAAATACAATATAATTTATTATCGGATACCACGTTTGTAGCGTTGGAACGCATAAAATACAAGAAATAATACCCGAAGTGAGCGACAAAAAAAAAAGCGGCGGCGTATATCGAAGGTTTTTACAATCACAGGAGTTCGCAATTTTATCAATAAAGTCAATAAAAATCACTCGATTGACCAACGCATAGCTCATGGCTTGGTCAATCGAGTGATTTTATTGACTCTATTGATAAAACTGCGAACTCCTGTGTTACAATGCTTGGATCTGTAGCTCTCTTGTTTATCTGTCCGAATTTTCTCAACCAGAAGCTACAGTTCTGCAGCTAGCATATCTTCTATCAAAATATGGAAGGAAAATCACAAATGCTCTGTACCCTAAGTCAATTGGTAAAGTTTGAGGCTGACTGGACCTAAGGGAAAGAAATTATGCACCCAACAAAGATTTAAACAGAGAGGCTATTTTTGACCTTGACCCTTGACCTAGAAACTTTGGTTAAGGTCACTGCACATCCATTGACCAGTGGCACTCTGTGAGTGAAGTATGAGCCACATTGGACCAAAAGGAGAGAAGATATGTTCCGGACAAGGATTTTTCATAGAATTCTGCTATGACCTTAACCTTAGACCTAGAAACATGGTTTAAGGTCACTGCACACCCTTTACCCAAAGGCATTCGGGTGGTGAAGTATGAGCCAGATTGGGCAAGGGAGAGAGAAAATATGCTCCGGACAAGAATTTAAACAGAGAGGCTATTTTTGACCTTGACTTTTGACCTAGAAACTTTGTTTAAGGTCACTGCACATCCATTGACCAGTGGCACTCTGTGAGTGAAGTATGAGCCACATTGGACCAAGAGGAGAGAAGATATGCTCCGGACAAGAATTTTTTCATTTAATTCTGCTATGACCTTAACCTTAGACCTAGAAACATGGTCCAAGGTCACTGCACACCCTTTACCTGAAGACACTTTGTGGGTGAAGTATGAGCCAGGTTGGGCCAAGGAGAGAGAAGATATGCTGCGGACAAGAGATCTAGGACGGACAGAATGATCACTATAGGGCGCCCGCAGAGCGGGGCCCTAATAAAAAAATGTACTCGGCATTCGAGGTGGTAGTTTGTTATGTGCAGTATTTAGTTAATCTGTACAGATTTGTATTCTTACAGATTTTTTTTTTTATATATAAAAGCGATATTGTGTGTGGGGGGGGGGGGGGGGGGGGTTAATCACCACTGCCAAAATTTACTCTGTATAATTCATTTTTAAACAAGTATATGTTCCAGCCTTTGGATCAAATAAGATATGATTTATCTAATGTAATATCTGTGCAAATCATACACTTTTCAATATTTTCTCATTCTTCTGTCTATGATTTCCGTTAAATAACCGTATTTTCATGTTTTCTCTTTTCAAATCTTTTTACATAAAGATTGTGGCACTTCAAAATGATGATCAGTGAGCTCCTTAAGGCAATAACGCAATGTTATAAGCGGATTTATACATTATCATTAGTAGATACAATGCAAGAAACTGTTTTCAAAATTGATAACAATCATATACCTTGAAATCAGGATTGATCATCCAAGAACTTATCCGTCCAGCTTACACACTAAATTTCTAATATTAAGGAAGAGACATACTGTATAATGTGAATGTCCGTTACAAGATTTTGTAAGCGGAATAGGCACGTACACGTATCCTTCACCGGTATTACAGCTCTTTACTTTCCGTGCTGTGTACGGTCATGAACCTTGTAAATATGTTCATTACTGAATAAAGGTAAAATTAGTGAACTTAAAGGTACACCGTATATTTTATGTGAATCATAAAAATAGAATTCTAAAGTAATTTGAACACGATCGCTCTTCTGAAAAAGGGATACAGTACCCACTGTCCAATCCGACAACTGTGCAATCCGGCACACTGGACTTTCCGACCTCATATTTTATTCTCAAAAATTTCTTTAAATTTTATATAGAACAAAACACTGTATATTCCGACCACTGTACATTCTGAATTCCGGCGCTTTTTTGTCATCAAAACTAGATAATTACATTATGATTTCACCTGGGTAATCCGACATAATTACACGGGTGTTCCGTAATAAGCCGCAGGCCAGGTGACATGAATGCCCCGTTTGGCCACAAGATTGGTCTACTTAAAGAGTTGTTAATTACATGTAAGTTTGAAAGTGTTTATGTAAGCGTTAAATGATCAGTTTTTTAATTAAAAAATTAGGCAATCAATTCTCTTTGTTGTTATCAGTTTTATTCTCGCATTTAAGAAATAGCATCCACGCGACAGAAAATAAAAAGAGTACATGATATTTTGATTCCATTAAGATTTTTAGCTTGAAATTAAAATCAAACATGCAGTCAATCCTTCATAAAGCCATGTCCCGAAAAAAAAAGAGTACGGCGAACGTAACATGTAGACAATACACAAGTTGAATGGTACATCTTGTCTAAAAGAAAAAGTTTCATTTCAGGGTTAATATACACTGAATTAAGCAAGGCTGTGCACATAAAGGATTTGCCGGAAGCAAAAATACCGCTTTAAGTTGCCCATTCAATTTTAAAATATTACGATTGTTTGATAAAAATCACAATGTTTTAGAGTTAAGTAGGGTCTGTATATATATACACTGAATTAAGCAAGGCTGTGCACATAAAGGATTTGCCGGTGTAAAGACGAATAATGACCCCCATAGAATAATGACCGGGGGGTCATATTTCAACGACAAAAAATGACCCCCCAGTCGTAGAAAAAATTACTTTTTTGTAGAAAAAGAGACCTAGGGGTCATTTTTTTATGTGTGCGTCCTATAAAAAATTGACCCCCGTTGAAAAATGACCCCCTTTCCAACAGAATGCATGATACAAAATTTATAACGGGTGATTGATGCCAAGGTTTGAACCTCAATGTCTGATATTCTTCTTTATGCCCTTTTTGACCAACACTGGACGAACGCGCAATTAAAGTGCTATAAACCGCATTACATTTACCAGCATATTTCTATCTTTTAAGCCTATTGTGTTCTCAGCACATATTGAAAATCGCAAAATGGCTACTATTGGTTATAACTGTTCACGCGATATCCCTTTATGACTGTCTTCCATTTGTTTCATATTTGGATATTTGACTGATTATAGACATTCATAGCTAAATAACGGACAAGCTGGATGTTCTGGCTTTTCATTGGTAAATATGTCTCCCAAAGTAATCAGCATTCTTGAGTAGGATCAACTTTTTTAAAAAAAAAAAAAAAATGAAGGAAAAAAAAGAATGAGATAAGTTTTCAGAAATAAGTACGGAAAGTTATGCAATATAATATATATGTATATTTTGAATGACATAAAAAGTCTTGCAAATGAAGTAGAATGTATCGAAAATGACGTAACAACCCGTGCGAACGACATACTGTGGATATATATATTTTTTAATGAAAAAATGGTTAAGATAACGAACACTGATGATTTTAAAATATCCACAAGCAGTACAATTTTGTTAACAGAGCATAAAAAAGGACCCCCGAAAATTGCAGAGGTGGGATCAGGTGCCTAGAAAGAGTAAGCATCTCCTGTTGTCCCGTCACACCCGCCTTGAGCGCTATGAATAAATCAGGTAAACGGGACATTCCGTTGTCGAATTTAGTATAAAAACAAGGGCCAAACAATTGATCCAATTATAGGTTTTATTTGTTGACAGAGTCATTGATACGACCATTGAATCTACGAAATGCTGACTTTAAACGAGGTTGTTGAAACCCCTGTAACATCAACTTACATGTATCTGTCAGTAGCCTGCCTCGATTTAAAAATTAATCGTGCTCTTGGGTATCGAATAAGTTGGTAGATGTAAACATTATATGCAAATGATTGCAGAATATTACTTCATAAATAAGGAAAATTGACAATAGAAAAGGCTGAAGTCATCCCGTTTGTCAGACAATTTTAGTTGTTAGTTGGTCTTTATCGTCTATAGTCAGTAGAACGTCCAAATATGAAGCATACGTGACAAACATAAGAATTTAAAATTTCTGCAAGTGTGAAATATATACAATCTTATAATGTGCATTCAATTTTATTTATAAACAGTGGTCTACTCCGTAGGAATTTCTTTTCAGGTATATAGAAGTAATACGTACAGGAGAATCCCAGTAAAATGTACATTCAAGTCTGTTACAATGTAACATGGTCGTCTGAGAATAGGATACATTAAGAGGAATATTTTTTAATCCACTTTAAAACAGTGATACATTTGTCAAATCGATATCGAAATATTTTCAATACAGTGTATATTGAAGTAGATAAATGTTTTCAATTTATAATTAAACACAGACTATTTTATTGACCTTCAAGGTGAATACATGTATAAGGATTTATTTTTCCTACACTGAACTAAAAATAGATTGAAAACAATTCTGAAAAGTTATTTCACCTGCATCTCAATTCTACTCAAGTGAACATAATATTAAGACACAAAGAATCGGAGAAGAGGGAGGGATTGTTCCCCCTTTTCTGAATGTAAATTTTAGCAATTTCTAATTTGAAAATGTTCATTGAAAGTCTTGTAACCACCCCCTCTTTCTTATACAGTAAAGTAAAAAAAATCTCTCCTACTTGTGTGAACAAGATGAACATAACATTCAGGCACATAGAATCAGGGATGGGGTGTCCACCCCCTTCCATTTCCATGAACGTATCTTTTTTTTATTTTTTCGCTTGAAAATGGTCATTGCAAGCCTGGTTGTCCTACCCCCAACTTTTTGATACAGTACAGTAAAAGAAAATCCCACTTACATCAATAAACTTTTTAAGGAGTACATCAAAGATATTTTTAACTAAAAGTATTTTTTGCCTCTTATAATGTGCCATTTCCTCTTTCGATGCTATGCCTGACATTTATTTTTTTCTACATTGCATCAAATGCAAAAATAATACTGGTTATGCTTGTGTTAACTCCCTGTCTTTCACTGTGTTTGGTTAGGACTTGAGCAAATGTAAACAAGAAACTTGACATGTCTCCTTAATCAGTTTGTATCAATTTAATCGTTGAATCATATAATAAAACAATTATTGCTGTTTTTTCTGTCAGGACGATCAGTGATTTTCCACCATCGAAAAACAATGCTCTCCTCTCCCTTTGGACTCGATAAATCTTCATTCTACGGGGGTCATTTTTCTTCACGTGGGGTATGCAGGTTTTTAGAGTGATGACACTTTTTCTACGGACAAAAGAGTCATTTTTCGACGTCGAATAATGACCGGGGGTCATTTTTCGCCGTTGAATAATGACCGGGGGTCATTATTCGACGTCGAAAAATGACCCTCAGTCATTATTTTATGGGGGTCATTATTCGTCTTTACACCGGAAGCAAAAATACCACTTTAAGTTGCCCATTAAATTTTAAAATATTACGATTGTTTGATAAAAATCACAATGTTTTAGAGTTACGTCCGGTTTGTATGAAAAGTCGCGTGACGGTATTAATACCACAGTCTAGCTATGTTGAGAAGTAAACAGTAGAGAAAATTCGGAGAGAAATGTAGTGTAGAAAAAATAAAAATAATACCACTGTGTAAAGAAGGTACATGTAAACGAAATATTTACTTAACCATCTGCTGCTTTAGTAAAATGCTAAAAATTAAATTTCAACATCTCGAAGCGATCGGCAGTTCCATCTGCTTTGTCCATTAACAAAACAAACATCGTATATTATTACAGAGTTTACTAATGCTCAAAGAGATGCTAATTAACGAAGGTATATTTTATACAACAAAGAAACACACAATTATGCAAACGTTTTGACAATTAAATACACGTGTACTCTAAACCTAATGAAAAATGGTTTTTGAAGTCATTTGACACCAATCATAACGCTCAGAAATATTCAACACTGGGTAATCCGACACACTGTCTAATCCGACATTGATTTTATTTCCCGCAGCATGTCGGATAAGACAGGTTTCACTGTATATATACGAACTCGTCACATAATGCAATTTTCGCTGGTTTTACTGATAATTTAAAATCCCTTTTACACTTTAAAATGAAAGGTTCAATTATAAATGTAACTGCGTGACATACTGCACTTACAAATATACATTGTATCTGGAATCCCTACTTAAATGCACTGAGCTTAGCAACTCAATTCTATTTGCAGATGATTAAAAAAATAACAAATTTTTTCTGTTTACAAACATGTTTGAAAGGTGTTTTGGATGGGATTTCGATTCTTTGGTTGTCATTTTACTATTTTGCAGGATTTTTTAGGAACTACTACAAAAGGGACTGGCGATTTAAAAGAGGAAGCCGCTTTACTTCACGGTGTATTCGGTTTTATTAAAATATATTAAGGCTGTCTAATTCCAACCATAATTGAAGGACATTTTTGTAAGAGCACCTAGATAGTAGTTGTATAAATCCTACGATTGTCGTATAGACAACACGATATATTAGCCGAGCCACACAACAAGTCGTGTACGATTCCTTCACGAATATAATACCTCTCAGGTCTCTTTGCAATAATCATCATTAAAATCATGATTAAAGAATGTGAAACAAAAACGCCAAAGAGCCATTCTCGTTTTATGTATAAATAATTCAAAATTTCCGGCAACACTCACATCTGTAGCTCACTGATCTGAAGATATTGGGATGGACGGCTACAGAGCTACTGTTTCATACGTAAAAAAATACATGGATAACATGGTATTAACCTTGTGTTTCTATCTTCTTTCACTGCTCTACAATAAAACATTAATTGATACAACCATTTTAATATTTTCCTGGGCCTTAAAATTTACATTGTACCGATTTTTTTTTTTTTTTTTTTTTGCGCAGTATTCCATACTTTTTGTGCGCAATATTTACTTTTTTTGAATGAATGAAACTATAGCTTTCTGGTCATTTAATCAGACCAGTACTATTGAGCTACAGATCTGCAGCTACCAACTGGGGGTGGGGGGGGGGGGGGCAGACCAAACCAGGATTCAAACTCTAGACAGGTGCTATATCAGCTGAATTATCTAGTCATTTGGAAACGAGCCTGGCCACTCCAGTTCTTCACTCCTCCATTGTTTTTTTTAATCTTATTGATAGAATTAACTGTGATGGAATAATTCATCGTCTCAATTCTTTCGAAGAAAAGTGAGTTAAAAATACAGGGTATGTATCATGTTTATTTCTACAGTCTACCATGTGGCCCGATGGTTTAAATGTTGTAAATTTAAAGCAGAACAGATCCCAGTAGGGTTTTTTTCATCGATAAATTACACTCAGAATGCAGTGTATTAAAGGTAGAGACGGTAATCCGAAGTGAGTAGTTCTAAATGTTTATCGATCAGAATTATACTGTTGTATTTAAAAGACTTACACTAATAGGTAATGATTTAGAACAATACTTATACATAGACATCTTTGTTTTAGATGTAAAGGATACAAGGAGCTTTATTTATACCAAACGGTTTCTTCCGATCAAGAACACAGCGCTTATTTTTCACCGGAATCTATTTCTATTTTTCGTGCTCTCGTGACAACCTCTTTCTTCCTTAATAAAACCATTTTGAAGGCTACCATAAAGTATATATTATAGACACAAAAACTTTTAAAACAGAAGAGAATACAAGTGAAAAGTACACGTTCTTGCTTAGTCAGCTAACAGACAACATAACGGTATTGTCCGTATGCACACGGCTTATTACAGACTTTCCCCCAGCGTCACCAGTATCTATACCCTGTATATATTGACGCAGCATCTTGTGCTCCTGACACACTCTAATACTTAGTCCACGATGTACCGACTGCTGCTGGCTGTATTGGGATTAGCAAACTTTCCCTATATTCGCACTTGCTGCTCCCCAGATGTGCTCCAAGGCACTGCCATGTATTATGGATATATTGTCAAGGAACAAAAGCCTTATCAGGTACGATTTTGTTAAATAATATTGAATTGATATCATTTTTGTATAATAAATTAGTTTTGTTATTTCACCATTGGTTTACCTTTAAAATTTGAGTTTTTGTTTTTAGAATATGATAAAATTTTACTACGACGCGGATGAAAAGAAAATAGCAATGATAACGAACACCATGGGGAATATGACAGATCAGGTTAGAGACATATACGACTACTCAGCTAGAAAACGTTACGTCATAACCAACAACAACACCTGCAACGTAACGGAACTAGAAAATCCCTTCGAAAAGATCTGTGTTCCCTCTAGCGCAAATTTTATGGGTTCCACTAACCTTGGGAATAGCAAGGCTAATATGAGCGTCGATATGTACAGAATGAATGTTAAAAAGGGCAAAATGTCTGGCCAGGCAGATATAATGGTGACACCGATGGAGGGGGGCGAGTGTACCTTGGTAGGAGTGGTGATGAACGGGGAAAAGAATGGAGATTTCCAGATGACAGAAACGTCTATTTATATGAACTTTACGTTTGAAATACCCGACAAATCTGTATTCGAACCACCGAAACAATGCTTTAAGCACAATAAAATGGAAAGCATCCTCTTCGAAGTTTTAGGAGGAATTCGAAGAGAAATTTTTATTTGGTAGAATCCAGAAAAAAAACTTTGGTTTCAAAATCATTTCAAGGCTACTGAAAACGAGACACATTTCATGAATATATTGGTTGAACCAGTTCTTGAGTAAAGGAAATAGTGAAAGAAAGTGTTTAAAATCCGGCCATTGTGATGTACACGTAAATTATGCAGCTTTTCCGAGACCTATAAGAAGACACTGAGCATAAACTGTCAGAACTGTCTAAATGTAACCCCCCTCCCCTCCCCCCCCCCCAAATAAAAAAAAAAAACTACCGATAATAATTGTAGACTGTTGTACATAAATTTAATAGTTCATGTTGTTCCTGCATTTATTAATATATATATGGAATGGGATAAATTCTGATTAAAATTAATCTTCATTCTTATTTGTATTCATTCATGTAAAACACAGAATATTAGGAATAAATATTGCCAGTAACATAAATTTTCGTTATGATTAATCAATCAAACAATAAATATTAAACATCACCCTGAATAATTCTTTAACTGAGCGTAGGTTAATAAGGGTGAAATGTGGCAGGTAGGGCTGAACGGGTATATACTATATCTGATTTCCTGGTATAGGACCAAACTTTGGCATATATATATATATATATATATATATATATATATATATATATATATATATATATATATATATATATATATATATAAATAACTGTAATGAACAAATATGAACGAGTTACAGGATCAAAGTAGTCTGACATGCCATGTGTGCACAATGGTAAGATTTATTGGATGCTTTGTTTTGAACTTATTTTATTGAATAAATCAAGTGATCGAAAACAAGTTCTAACAACTCACTGATTCCTTTCCTTAGCTATCGCAATACCTCATGCAAAATTATACATAGGACTGTGAATTTTACAAGAAATACAGGTGGAATTTTGTTGGATAACATAAAGCAATATCAAATCTACAGGTTTCACAAATAAATCTATGTATAGCATTGTCGGATGCCTCAGATATGGATGAAACTGTGAAATTAAGGTTGGGCGCAGCAGATAACAAAAATACTTAATATTTCACACAACGGGCTTCCATATGCTTACAATCGATCGTCATAAGACATAAATAATTTAGGTGATCTGTTGTCTGTAAACAATAAATAAGTCTTTCATAAGTTAAAAAAAAGTAATCACATGTAGTTCAACTAATTCTTTTGTGTGTTATATGCTAAGCACGATTCTGTTATAAATCAAATATTACGGAAACTTGGATAAATGAGCACCATTTCGACATCTAGAATTTTATGTAACCTTTAAACAATGTAATCATAAACCCCAAAATACAATGGAATTCTTGCTTTGGGAGGAATATGGCGATTTTTGTCGACATTACTAGAAATCCTCGTTCCATTGTGAATGTTCCAAACTGCCGAATGATTAAATGCTGGTTCTATCTTATGCATGTATCTTCAATTTTTAAATACGTACCTCGTTATAAACTTTAAAAAAAAGTTATGTACATGTATCATTCCTTTGCATTGAGAGTTAAGATATTCTTTTTGTTGAGAGAAGTTTATATTTACCTTTCTTCCGGTTTCCAGATACACTAGTAAGTCAAGGTAGATTTATGCGTGTACATAGGCAGGAGATAACTCAAGATATTTTATTTATTTATCATTGCTAGGCTGTTTAATGTACCTAGACATGTTAATTTGTCTTATGATATAGAAAATCTACCCCTTACTATGAGTAAGTAATTTATTTAAAGTGACAAGTGTTCATGCACATGTTATGTTTACAGCTTAAAAATAAATCAAACATCGGGCCCATCGGGCCTATATGCAACTTTGAACACAAAAGAATCTGGGAGAATAAGACGAACCATATGCCCATGCCCATTTTTCGGCTATGCAAGAACATTTATTGGAAAAAAATCTTTCAATTGTTCGAATTTACTTAAGCATTTTAATGTTTACAGTAGTTCTCAAAATGATATTTATATTCTAAACAGTTGACTTTCATTTACTGTCAAAAGTGTCTAACATGGGTAGGGACTTCTGTTAATTAATCTGCATATTGAGTGTTACCACTTATTGTGGAGATATTATAAAAATGTTAACATTGTATATAATGATAGTGGTGATATAGAAGCGCTTGTAGTAAAAATAAATAAAAACGGGAATAAAAGTATTCAAATATCTATTCTAATTTTTATCCGACATTCTAAATAATTTACTGTAAATGAGTTCATTACTACATACATATATATATATATATATATATATATATATATATATATATATATATATATATATATATATATATATATATATATATATATATATATATATATTATCGATCGTTATGTAGGCATATGGCTCGGCTTATCCCCCCAGTTTCTTTAAATACAATACTTAGAGAAGAAAAGAGCACTACGTTAAGAGATAAACAAAAAAGAAATACCTGAAAAGATACATTAAATTGAAATAAATACTTTGCAACCTGTCAAGGATAGTTTGAAATTATATGCTGAAAAGGAAAAAGAAACGAATGGTAACATAATATAAGGAAAGTTTTTGACTGTCTGGTCGGAAATTTTGGTGTTCAGAATTACTCGACCGTGAAATGTATGACATCATGTAGGGAACGTGGTAAAAAGCTAAAAAAAAAAAAAAACACACACACACGTGCATATTGATGATGACAGGTTTATCCACACAACTTGTACTACCACTTGATGCACTGGAGGTAAGCACGTACATCGATTTTCGATATTTAGAGACAATTTTCAAGAATTTATTGCAATCATGATACGACTGACGGAAGTTCCATGGGGGTATAGTTACATCCACTGAATATTTTCTCCTTTTATTTCTAAAAAAAAAAAAACCATTGACGTTTATTAGTTCATAAACAACACTAGGCATATCACCTATACAGATTTCTTGATCAGTGGCTGTTCCATCAATGAAACGTACTATGACGTACTTATCAATAATTCAATAATTAATTTTTTAATCCTACTTTAAATGATTATTTATACAGATATAAATATAAACAATAAAATGTCTTCCTTTGGTTATTAGTATGGGAACTTAACGTCGCAGCTATTGCAGAAAAAATTTACATACGTATTTTCTTCTACAACAGCTGAGACATTAATTCCCGTACTAACTACCAAAGAAAGCATTTGGTAAGTAGAGAAAAAAGCAACAACAGGTTGCTGTACATCTTGTCCGTCGTTAGGATTTTAAACCAACATTGACGATGGTTGCATGGCGCATTACAACGTCAAGATAGATTGGATTATTCACCCTGCCTCCCGTATAATCGCCATCTCATAACCACTAAAACCGCGATTAATACAGTAGGTCATGATCATCACTACATTCACCCATAAACTTAAAGAAACCGATTCCGTAATCTTGGTTTGTGAGCTCGTCAACTTTACGTCGGTGTTCTTACTCGTGCACACGTGCGTCGTATGTCTATTTTTACAGCATGTTTACCCTCGGCCCAATGTAGCCAGAGTTTGTCAAGACTTTCTCTCACACATTCATATTAACCCACTCGACTGGCCTCCGTTAAGTTCATCTGTGGGACAAACTGGACGGTAGGGCTTGAAGGCGTCGGAAAGCCGAAGCGACTCTCCACCAGCTAAGGACTGCATTACCGGAATGGTTGGATAAAATTCGTATGAGAAAGACAAATGTGAACATCAGGCAGAGGAGAATCAAGGCTGTGAAAGATGCGCGAGGGAGGCATAGGAAATTTTTATTTTCAATTTTGGGGGTACCGTCAGTAATTCAGTAACTTATAAATTATCAGTCAAATACAAATATGGAATTTTGTTACCTGTTGACTAAATATGAGTTTAAATGTTAGATTGAAATACTGGAAAATACATTTGGAAAAATAGCATTAAATTACTTCAAAAGTTTATCCTTCGTTTATTTTTCCTTTTAGTATAATATACTTGTATGTAGTACATCCATATCCGACCATGCTAGCATTTGGTTACAACCAGTGTTTTCAAAAAGATTTGACCGATATTCAGAGTGCATTCAAAGGACAGTGCAATAAAATGTTTTTCGTCTTCTACACTATTTCCAGAGCAAACGGTACTGATTCGATCTTCAACAGGTTCGCCGTGATATCTACTCGTCTCTATTCGTAATGGTAAAATTCCACATCGCCAAAATGAGCGCAAATATTAAAGCATATCAAGTACAACATAATTTTCCCAACCAAAAAATTGTTTAAAAATATATTTTGGAATACTGAAAATCTCATTGCCCCCAAGGTTTGAATAATAATTGTGTATTTTTGATTGAGCTATACTTATAACTACATTTAGCTTTGACATATAGTAATAATCTAATTCTAGATGATGTAATAGTTCTTTCAAATCCCTATACATGTACCTATTGTAATCAACTTCAAATACATTTCTTGTAATTCGATCATTGTCAGAGGATAAAATTCCAATATCTGATTACATTTATCCAACGTCTATATTGACTGGGTATCCATCCAGTGTCTCCATAAACAGCCAATGTATAGGTGCAAAGCGGTGTTCCCCAATGAAATACTGAATAGCACTGTTTTGAATATTATCCATTTAATGGATTTTTTTTTTGAATCCCAAGACACTGGATGCATAGTCCAAAACAGGTATTAAACAAGAGTAAAATAGTTTTTAATAAGCATCAAACCTGAAATTTTTATTACAATGAATTGAGGATATTATTTTCCCAACAACACGTCACCCCTGCTTTAGCGAGATTCTCTGCATTTTTCATGAAATTACCAGTGTATACATCTAAACGTTATACCAAAATACACCTGTTTCTAACTTATTTAATCCGATAGTGAATTCAACATTGGTTGCTTTTCACCTAGTTTTATGAAAATGTATACACTGAAAAGGATTTGTTGGTGTTTATATGAATTCTCCAAGTCTGCACCAGCTATGTAGTTGGTTTAACATACTTCTAGTAAGAAGTAAATCTTCTGAAGACTTGGTCATTAAAGCAATGTCATCTGCGTAGCTTACGGTTGAACTAGTTCTGGTCCTAAATTAAGATTATTAATATCCTTTGCCAGATCATTAATGAAAATTGAAAATAAGGTTGGGGATAAATTACCTCCCTGTTTAACACCAGTTTTGGATCTAAACCATTTTGCGAGTTTACATTTACTCGTACACACAATTCTGAGCTTTGATAAATATTTTCTATTGAGTTATAAATTTTACCATCTATATTATGTAACAAAAGTTTATAAAGCATCATATCTCTATAGTTAAAATCAAAACATTTTTGGAGATCAATAAATGCAGCATAGAGATTTTTATTATTTTTGACTTAACTACTCAAAGTGAATAAATGGTCTTCACGCGATCTATCCTTTCTAAAACCGTTTTGTTCGTCTGCTAGGATGTCGTTTTTCTCTAAATAACTCATAATTCTTTTGTTCATAAGAGATCTGTAAAGTTTGCTAATACATGGCAACAGACTAACTCAGCGGTAATTCACTGGAACACGTTTGTTTGACGAAGGATCCTTAAGAATAGGACAAATTATCGCTTTCCGCCACTCCGAGGGAATCATACTTGTATCCAAAAATTGCTGGTAAGGATAACGTATTATGTTGATGACTACTGGATATTTCAAAACTCTGTAAGGAATTTTGTCGCACCCATAAGCGGACCTAGATTTTGCACGCATCACTATATCAGATAATTCCTGAATAGATATATCATAATTTATTTCTTTGTTACACTGGTGAAAACTATATGTAAGATGGAAAAAATAAGAGAAAGAAAGAGAGAGAGATACAGATACTTCAGGTGATAAATTAATTAATAACCTCATTTATTTGCATGGGAGAGGTTTACTCTCCTACTGCTGATCAGAGCTCTTTGATTTTGCTAAGATTTAGCTTTGATTTTGCTAAGATTTAGCTTTGATTTTGCTAAGATTTAGCTGCTTACAAAGATGATTAAAAAAGATAATAACATTGCCGTGAAATTAAATGATGTAATGTATAACTGAAAAAAGGGACATGTCATCATATCAATTAAAAGGGCTTTAAAATGGATTTTCTCGAGAAAACGTAATTTGAGCTATCTCAATATAATTTCAGCCAGGATTTTTATTTTTTTGAAGGAAAAAAATTATTTCAAAGCATATTATGAATTTTATTTTTTTCCGGAAAGAAATATCATCCAAAAAAAGCTCCACTTTTGATACTCCATTTCGAAGACAACGCAAGCCCATAGGAGCAAATTCAGTTTGGGAAGGGAGGGGGAGGGCACAGCCTAACAGAATTTATTGACTATCAAACTAGAGTTTAAACTCTATGGTCTTAATAATGACCTTATTCCCAAGGTCGACTTATGACATATTTCAAACCAGTTGTAAGGTTATTGTCTTATAACTTATTTTGAATACGAATTACTCCGTTCACTGATCGATACAGAGGGCTCAAGGCGGGTGTGACCGGTCAACAGGGGATGTTTACTCCCCATTAGGCACTTGATTCTACCTCCGATATTTATAGGGTTTTGCCTTGTTCACGATTCTTATAGTTTTCTGAATTTATGAGATTGATCAGTGTTCATTATTTTCACTTTTATCATTCTACAGCATACATATATTTATTCATTATGTTAATTTGATTCAATATGTTCATTTTAATTATGCACTATAAAGTCTACATGAAATTTTATCAATTGATTTTTTTGGACAAGTAATAACATCTGTTTGGTTTTTTCCCACAATAACAAACAATTTTCAATCTAAACAAAGCTCTCATAAAATATATATACAGTATATATATATAAATATATATATATAATAGATAATAGATAAAACCATCAACATAGAAATTTAGAAATTTATTGTTTGACTTTTACTTGTCTCATTTATTTGCTCTAAGCTATTTTTTCATCATTGTTAATTATAATCTACATAAAATGCGTATGATATAAATGAAGGGTTGTCTTTAGATAATCTAAAGATAATAGAACAATAATCACTATTTTAAAATGTCCTCAAAGAGGTTCAATTTCGACATTTAGTTTGTATTAATGAATTAGCAAATACCGATTGTCAAGCATGCAGGCATTTATTTTCAATTAAGCACATGTAATTAAAAGCTAAATCCTTATTTTAAATGCATTTAACTGCACGTGAAAATGAGGTACAAATTTCAGTTGTGTTTTATTCTGGCATTCGTTGGGGATATCAAATATCGAGGAATTGGAAATACTGTCCGTTGTGTTGTAGAGGATCGCTGACTCCCGAGCGACAAATACCGAGCCTTTTCTCGCTATGATCATTTCTGATTGTGGAACGCAGCGGTCCTCAGTCAGAGGAAAGACCATGGCATCCCCAGTGATGTCGAAATCTGGATTGGAGTAGTTCACGCTATACAAGTCCATCAGTATCGTGTTATTTCCTAGTCCCAAAACCATCTTGCCCTTATAATTCGTTGGAGAAACGCACAATTCTCGATTAAAGTCCCCCTTCAACGGTGCTACGCTACACGTTCCATTTAGAACGACGTATCTTTTGCCACCAGCGTAATCTTCAAGTACAAATAAGGTCATGGACCCAGCCTTCTCAAACGTGACGTAAACATCCTTGGCAAACTTTCGATTAACCTCATCGTGGTATATCTTGGAATAACCCTATTTAGATAAAATTATTATACATATTAATATCTATCTTGATTTCTGAAGTTTTTAATCACTTGAGGATTCAATCTTAAATCACATAAGTACCGGTATACAATTTGATGAAATCAGATGCAAATATGGCATTCCGGCATATTTACCTTATATATATATATATATATATATATATATATATATATATATATATATATATATATATATATATATATATATATATATATATATATATATATATATATATATAGCAGCAGTTAGTTTATTTCCAAACCAATCTTAGAAGATTTGCAGTATATTAAAATTTATTTTCCTAGTTTTGTTGGAAATAATTTATTCATCCCTTTATAATAAATAGATTTTATGCAAATGTTACAGGTCCTTGTACATGAATAAAATCAGATGACTTACAGAATACGGGTCATTTGTCTCGTTAAAGAACTTGGTTTTGGTAACCGTAACTCCACCAGCAACAGTGATTCCCTCCAACTGAGGAGGGGGGCAGCAGCTCTGTACAGACCCGACCACTACTAGAAGTGCCCCAAAACACGTCAGCATCGCCATTGTGGTTATAATTAAAATGTCTTATAGTGAACATTTATTTTTATAATATTTCAGCTTAAGCTCCGCCTTCCTCTTTCCTTTTATTCTTTTCCTATGTGTCTCAATATTCTGACTGATATGGCAGAAATGTCACGTGATAAAGGTACGTTGGACATACGTACATATGCATTGTTTCTTGTGGGCAATCATAAATCATTTAAATTAATTTGATGAAATTTGTTGTCATTAATGAATTGGTCATTCTTTTTTGCTCCAGAATTCAAGGACAAAGTTACAAGTTTTCCAGCTGAAGTTTTAAAGGAATTCTAATGAAAGGGTATTCAGGAATTCAATGAACATTCCACATTATTCTTTTAATTGTCGATCGTGATCAGATAATGCCTTTCATGCAATTTTTGCACCGATTGATTTCATGTCGTGAAAACTGTTCACAGAAAAATAAAATATAGTGCTTATTCAAAATGAAAAAAAGCCTTGTTTTATTGGTGCGGTTTTCCTGGATAGAATGTTCTATCGTTAAAATGATAAATGTCCTACGGACCCGGTGTGGTGAGGGCCTGTCCCGAGACACAGTTAGATTATTCTAACTACGGTTTTCCGGAAGAGGTGCTGCGGAAATCTTCACACTAAACCTTATGTTATCCAACCTTAAAATTTTGCGAGCTGTACGAGTTTTCATAATTAAATAATATATCTTCTCAAGGACATTTTAAAATAAACAGCTTTCCGTTTGTGAGGAGGCCTTCACTCAGATCGATAGAACAGCATGTCAGCGAACACTGTTTTCCTTCTCGACATCTTGGCAATTCAAAGTGAAAAACAAATTCATACCGACAGAGAAAAAAAAAATCCATGGGATTTATGTTTTCCCAGAGTTTAATGATATAATCATAAATTTATTTAAAAAAAAAAAAATCAGTACTTAACCAATATTTTTAAAATAGTAACATCAAGACTTGAATTATGCTCCGTATATTTTCCATTTAAATAACAAGTGTCTATGAGCTTCTCCTCCCTCTTTTTCTATTCATGTGTAAACATATATAACTTTTGATCTTCAAAGATACGCTGATTGTCGTTAATGTATTCAGATAAAACAGTATCCTTTCAACATTCGACAGTATTTTCCTATGTAAAAGCATTATGGTTATGACGGTCATGTTTATGGAAAAGTAATTGTGCAAGCAAATTCACCTAGACTAAAAATACTACTTCCTATCCCAGACGTACCTAGATGAGCCAAGTTATCAAATTGGGCACAAATTAAATGTTCTTATATATATCTTCATTAAAAATGTATAATATCACAAGAAAGATACATCTTTTCTTTTTAGCTCTAAGGGTCAAGGTTTTCAAAATGTTCTGTCACTTTTTTCTGGAAATAAATCTACAGTTGGCGGACGTAGAATTTGTTAATTTTTTCAGTTTTTTTAGATGCAGTTATCTCGCGTTTTATATTCTCAATACCATCTTTGCAAGCCGCACTTCTTTTCTTATTGGACAGGAGAACCTTGGCTTGCGAAGGTGCCTCAGTACCTCTCTCATAGGAATAAAATGCTGCGAAGTAATTTAAACTGTTTTACACTATAGAGATATTTGATTTTTGCAAGAAAGTTGACTGGTTTAAAAGTCATCACTTTCAATCTAATCTCTACTTCTCTAAAACATGATAGTGTCATTTTAAAGTAAAAAAAAAATCGGATCTTGACTTCCACAGAAGTTTCAAGTTTAATAAAAAAAAAAAGTTAAGGAAAACTCTTTCTATACTTAAGATCAGTTAAGATCCTAGAGCCACAATGAGACGATACAGTACAGGACAAATTTATAGGAAGTTGTAATGATATCTTTGAATTAAATATTAAAATGTTAAAGATAACGAACAGTGATCAATGTCATAAACCCAGCAAAGAATACAAATCTCCAACAAGACAAAATCACACACGATCCCTGAAAACACCGGAGGTGGGTTCAGGTGCCTAGGAGGAGTAAGCATTCCCTATCGACCGGTCACAACCGCCGTGAGCCCTTTGTATTGTTCAGGTAAACGTTATCCGTAGCCAAAATGACATAAAAAGCAATATCCTAATATTTGGTGTAAACATGTCAATCAAAATACGACCCAGCGATCGATTGTATTTGCAAAGAAGGTCATCATAACGACCTTAAAATTTGCCAAATGCTGACTTTAAACGAATATTTAAAAACCCTGTTACATTATATTTGTCAGTAGCTTGCCTCTATTAAATTTTTTTCTACTCAGAACTTGCTCTTAAGTATCGAATCAGTTGGGAGACATAAACACCATGTACGAATTATTGTTTAATATTACTATAGAAAAAGGGAAAGTTGGCGATAGAAAAGCTCAAATCACCCGTTTGCATTATAGTTAAGTTGTTAGTTGGCCCTTCACGTATACAGTAAGTAAAATATTCAAGTATGAAGAAAATGTGGTAGAACTTCTTGGGTTTTTTTTTTATTTCAAGCTTGGGTCCATATGAAAAAAAAAGAAGAATGTTTTTAATTGATAAAATGTCATCGATAGACCTAAATGTCGAACTGAGGACCACAGCAAGAGACTTCTTCTTTTCATGTGTAAGTTTTTGGAAATAAATCTGCTTCATAAGAATACAAAATCAGGTTGGATAATAGAAGAGTACAATTAATGCCTATCGAAATTCTAACAGACTGACGGAAGACCTGGTCTCCAAAGACTATTTTTTGTCAATAAGGAACTCCTGCATCTTTTCAATACCAACTTCAGAGTACTTGTGTAGAATCAAAATGATTTTTAGCAAAGTAATTTTGTAGATGAATATCACAAGATATGAAAATTTCCGTGTTTTATTTTTATTGAAGATGCAATTGTCTATGATGGCAAAAAGCATGTTCTTTAAGTTTAAGAAACTTTTTAGACATTTCATTGTGAAACATTGAATCCATTTTGTAGTTCCCCCTGTTCCGAGGACCAAATCTTGAAAGTAAACTTAAATAATTTATCTGTACTATACGAGAATGTTTAACTTATAAGTTAGACAATTTTGTAATATTTCTATTTTTCCTGCCCCAGGGTCTACGGTTAGTCTGCCCAACAAAAATTCCTTGTAAACAAATCTGACAAATTATAGCCTTTAAGGTAATCACAGACAATGTTAAAGGTATTTTCAATGCATTTCTTTTTAACATTTTAGACCCTATTTGCACATATAGCCCTATTCCCGTCCCTTGCGCTATGGTTTAAACAATCTCGAATGTAAAATACACGAAGAAACTTGTATAAAGTTTGACAATTTGCAAGATTTTTGTGTGCATTTTAATGTAAAAGTTTGGACCCCTTTTGTGGCCACTACCTGGAGTCTGGGGTCGTACTATAAACAAATTGGAAAGTACACTTCATAACAATGCTTGCATATCAATTAGACAATATGTAGTATTGTAGTTTTTAGGGGAAAAAAATACTTATTCCTTTATCTTAAACTTCTTTTATGGCCCATACTTTGTATAAAAACTTTAACTTTCACTATATAGAGGAGCAGTGGTTTTCTGCATGGTACAAATGGAACACATTGAAAAAGTTTCATTCATGAACTATGATGTCTGTGAATTTTTTAGACATTACCATTGATTGAAATATAAACATTACTTTTGTTTAAATCAGAATATTTTATCAACAAGTACATGTATTCTTTTTTAGCTTTACTTTGATTCATCCCTAACAAAAAAAAATTGTATAGTTGATTATAGTATCAACGATTTAACTATTATAGTAAATCAGTTTTTACTATAATAAATCAAAGTATTTTTAATATGGGTTGCAGATTGCTATATTTTATGTTCTCCAATTCATACATGCACATTTTTTATACTTAATGGATATATTACTTGTTTATTCACAGAATATTTCCAAATTTTACATCATTGCTATCGAATTTAAGAGATTATAGCTTCGAATTCCGAGAAAATTCTAAAGTTTCATAATTAAATCAAAGTATCAAAGTATTTACCGTAGTTAGCTATAGTAAACTATAGTTAACTAAAGTAGATTTTTGCTAAAGATGTTATATCAAATATTCACTACTGAGTGAAGAACTACACTGTAATCTCAGACAGCACCAATTATCCGACACTCCACCAAATAATAATAATAATTTAAGCATAAGGGGCACTATTTTGCTGTACGTTTCTATAGTTTTCGTACCAAATTAGCCCTCAAAATGTCAAAAGTAGAATCTACAATATAACAGCGGCGAATTCTGACAAATGACAATTCTTATGTTAAGGTGTCCTATGACATTCGAGTGCATGACGCAATCAAATAAGAAATTATCGAATACTAAACAAATACTGTAAACAGAAAAAATCATGAGATCAGGGATAGAACACACGCAACTCGCTGGATAAGACTCATTTCCAGCTAAAAAGAAGAGATTTGTACTCTACCCGTAAATTGATTGAAAATTACCTTGGAGATGAATCACATATTGTTTGCACATGAGCAACATATGCAAAATATTTAGAAAACAACTTGCAGATAAATTTGTTTAAAGAAAAATAAAGAAAAAAAAATCAGATTTTAAAATAATTTTTGTCATATTCAAAGCAGAAACAAACTTTTTTTTTTCTCAACTTGAAAACCTACACATCAACGGGAATTCGAAGAGTACGTATGATTGCAAGTCGTTCTTTTCTAAGCACAACTCAGATAAATGTAAAAGATGAAGATGACGAATAGTGATCAATCTCATATGAACCCCTGGAAACACCAGACATGGGATATGGTTAATACAATATGCACTGGGGAAAAATCCTGGACACAAGCTTCTCGAGATTTTATCGAGGCCAAATTCCTGTCAATGGGGTATAATTCATAATTTGATGAATTTTACGGACAGCTCGCACAAGTGACAAAATAAATACATGTAAATTTAAAAGGAATTCCTGTGAATGAAATCCATAACCATTACGGCTAACATTTTTTTCTTCAAATATTTCAATTAGTATATTTAAAAACTTGAAAAATAACACTTTTACTGCTTTTAAGGATTTATTAACAATTATGATACACTTTTGGAGAACATTCATAACGTTTGTGACAAATATCCACAGTTTAAAAAACATTTCGCAGAAAATATAGCTAGAATATCAAACAATTTTGTGTTGCGCATTTAATCAAAATCAAATTTCATATACATGTATTTTATATCTAGTCCCATTGTAATGATGGGGAGTAATTGTTCAAAGCAAAACATAACAGTTAGTATAATGCTAAATCAAAATAAATAAAAAACTTAAAAAGGGTATAAATCATTTCAAAATCATGCATCAGGAACACAAGCAGGTCTTTTTAAATGATATACTTCATGAAATCAAGCGGAAGGTCTCGAAGGAGCTCCTTTTCCTTCATAAAGGAATTGTTGGTGCATTCGCTTGGTACGTTGAAAACATCAGTATTGGAAATGGTGGTTTGGTGGTTCCCAGCAGCAAGGTCCACGTTCGAGATAAGAGTTCCCCCCAAGGTGCGAGTGCTGACAGACACCACAACATCGTAACAACTAGAGGTCTCTTGATACTTCATTGATTCGACGCTCGTTTTTGTTACAGCAGAGCTTGCTGTGTATTGGTAACTGTTCACAGTAAGATATTGAGTTGGGGAACCCAACTTGAGTGAACCAAACGAAACAGCATTGGATGGCAGACAGGATCGGGCAAAGGGTCCAGGCAGGCTAGTGATGTTACACATTCCATTTGTTACGGTGTACTTTCTGCTGGTGGTGTAGTCTTGCAAGGTTTTCACCTGCACCGTCAGATTTCCTAGGCTTGGGATCAAAATATATGACAACGTGGCTATCTTCTGTTGTACTTCGGAGTAATAGTACCATGAATTGCCCTGTAAGAAATTTGTAAAAGCCAGGTCAATAAATATTAAGTAAAGGATGTGAAAGATTATTAGGTTCTACATTGAAATACTGTAGATTCCTATATGTAAGCGAGACATTTTTTATCGCGCGATTTCGTGAGAAGCACCACTCGCTAAATAAAATTACTCTTTTATATTCTTACATTGTTGAAATCTGTGTGAAAGGTCTTGATCAAAAGAACTCTCACAAATTCATATTCCTGCGATTTGGCGTGATTTTTTCCCGTTTGCCCGATCATGAAATTGACACTTTGACGAGTCATTTTGCTCAATGTAAAGTACTCGCGTAAAATAAGGAATCTACAGTAAATAGCTGCAGCAACTTACATAGAAGGATACTTCTTGTCCGCTCTGAAAAACGATGCCACTACTGTAGGCATAACCTTGAAGTTCACTGGGAGAACAGCAGCTGACGGTCTCCCGAATGGTATGGGAGCTGCAAGCCGAGATAAAGAAAAGCAGGGCAACGCAGGCGGAATGCATACTGACTGCTGGACTTTGTCAGTCAACTCGGCTTCACGCTGAAGCTGCTTACCTTTTATCCTGGTCTTCACATGGAGGGATGAGTAAGACTTAAATAACAGACCCATTGTTTGATACAATGAACATTATTCTTGACTAGGAAGGGGTAGTATTTGATTTTGTCCTTGCTACTCCTGACTGGTCGCCTTTCCTTTGCCTGGTTCAATTGTACTTTGTTGCCGAGGGATTATTTTGCTGATGTAGGCATATCAGGAATATTCTGAAACAAAGAAGTTATTTAATATTTTTTTTCAATGCATGCTATATTTATTTAAGAAGTAAGTATGGCTTCATCACACATTTTGTACTAGAACACAATTCAACAATAATTTATTAAAATTTAACAAAGGAGTTATATTTATTATTTTTTTGTGGATATATTTGCAAGATTTAACTCAAATGAACATATCTTAAGTAAAAATAATTTGTGTCATAACAGAGACATATTTTATATTTCTCTGGTTATAATAATAATAAAACACTAAATAATTAATACATCTTGTAATTCAGTATATATGCAACATGTAAAATTGATTTAAAAAAAAACGTTTTAAAAACCACACAAAATAACGTTGTAATAACGTTCTAAAAATGTTTTCATTTAAGAAATAAATGTAGTCTTTCATTTCTTATCATTTAATTATGATTAAAAAATAATAAAATAAAACTTTCTTTCATTTTAAGTGAGCGTCTCTGAGAAAACCATGCAAAACAGTCCACAAGCAGGATTTATGTATTGATATCAATTTTTGTGTGCAATATAGTATTGATATACCATTAAATTTGCCACATATATTTTTGTCATTGTTGCCTTAGTTCATGACTTAGAGGCATGTTACTAAAAATAGAACATGTAGTCAAACTAGGAGCTTAAAATCATGGAATCTAGACATATCTGAGGAAGTCTCAACAAATTATGACATTTCATGCATTGAAATTAATTCATAGGCATAAAAGTATCAGTCAGGATAGTAAAATTTATTTAGTACTTATCCAGTTTAAGTACAAAAAGGTCACAAATCTTCCAAAGTTCACATTTCCAAAAAATTCAAATATTTATGAACTTTCAAAGTATTTTTAAAGAGTCTGTAAACACTGCAATTTGTTTTATTGTAATTACACCTCTAAGTACAGACCATAATTAGGAAAATATAAAAAATCTATCTTTGGACTCTTTCAAATAGGGCAGATATGAGGTCATGAACAATGCTATGTTTTGACGTATTGCAAATCATAATAAAATTGTTAAAAAGCTCATATCTAGTATATCATAATTTAACTGGAAATGTTTCAGCATGTCACTTTATAATATTTCAAAACAAACAGGACAACTATAACACAATTCTACATAAAAGACACTTAAAAACATTTTAATGCAGAACATATATGTTGTCATGGGTAACGGTTTTATCTTGGTATGTTTTTTTCTTTAAAAACATCAAATGGCTGTTATTCATTGAACTTATTTTTACAGGAAAAAGTTTTATTTTGTGGTATTAATAACTCACTCACTGTTCTATATAAAAAGGCAAAGTGTTTAAAAATATTAAGAAATTTATTTTTGTCATTTAAATATAAAGAACATGTTGCCATGGAAATGCCATATTCTTGGAGTTTTATCATTTTCTTTGAAAAGGATGAAAATTACTTTAATCAATTCATTACTCTTCGACCAGAAAATCATGAAAACAAGTCCAATATTTACAAACATTAATTTAAAATAAAACATTGGTGTACAAATACAGAAAAAAATATGTAAATGTTGCCATGGAAACATCATACAATTTACATTTTTTTCAATTTTTCTAAAACAACACCCCTGATAATGCTTATATTCAGGCAAGCTAGGCATTGGATACTCTTAGAATACTTCAGATCTTTACTTTTGCTAATACATATATAATCTGACTAAAAAGGACTATTATTTGTGTTATGAAATAGAAACAAAAGAACATGTTATACTAACATAGCTTGAAAGCTACCATAAAAATGTGTACCATGGTTACCAAACAAAGCAAAATATCCAGTGTTAAATTAGAAATACATATATGCTAATATATTCATATGCTAAGTGCATTTCATGAAATACTGGAATTGTAACTCGTATCTTTAGAAATATCTTTAACTATTAGAAAAAAAATTGCAGAAAATAAACTTTTCACACCTACATGTTTATCAAATAGGTTGCCATGGATACACAAGATTACATATTTACAACATTTAACACATTTTTATACATAGCTGATACTGTCTGGTGATGTTCTTCTGCCTTGAGATTCATGACAATTTCTTGGAGATTTTCATCATTCACAATGCTTTCTGTACCTGCTAATTCAACTGAAAGACTTGTACTCTCTCTGCCTTTGCACCTTTTCTTCTTGTTATTAATGTAAGAAGCAAACAAGTTTCTTAGCTGTTTGCTGTCAGCCACTCATGTGGCCTAAAGAGGCGACATCCATTTTCATCGGAAGCTTTTTTTAGTTCTCCACTTAAGGCTGTGTAGTTTGGGCGTTTCCCTGTCTTTTCACAGTTTTCAAAAATCTGCTTTACATACTCTTTTACATTTAGCGAGAACCTGCAACATTTAACAACAGATTGTCCGATTGGACAAGTGCATTTTAATGTAAAGGAGTCTCTAAATAATAAAAAGAACGACTGTTGAAAGTCAGTCGTTAGTTTCAAGACGGAAGCTGTACATAAAAACCGGACTTCGATTCACATTCGATCGGGATCGAAGTTCACTAATTGCATACTACTGAGAAGGTATGGAACTTAACGAACTTAACAAAGTTTGGATTCTGTTTTATGTTGACAGGTTCACTTGTTGTTGTCAGATAAAATTTCGTTTTATGTGTTTGTTGTATTTATCAATAACATTACGAATAAATCAAGCACATGTCATGTGTAATGGGCTTTATTTCAGTTTTCAACAGTGTTTGAAATAACCGTGCGCCTCCAGAGACGCACAAATTTTGCAGCGGGCGAACAAATTTGCATGTACTGACAGAGAGAAAATGTGATCTGAGAAAAGCTCACTTCAGCTTTCAGTAATCATGAATTTCTACCTTGAATTAGAACTTTGTGATAAAAAGTTTCAGAGTTTGTTGATATAACTCAATAATAATCATCAAATTCATGTATATTTGATTTTAATATATAATCATCTTAGTCCCACCCATGGGTCTTATCCCTGGAGCCACTGCATGGACATGAATTTTACATTTTTTTTTTATATAAAGCTAGCAGTTCATAGTAAACATACAATTAATTTGCCTGCTAGATGTCCATGAGAAGAAAATGTAATGATTATTTTCAATATATGACCTAGTTTAAGACCCACCCTGGAGCATGAACCCTTAACCCGTGGGAAGGGGTGGATGGGCATAAAGTTAACAATTATGGGCTCATGGATTATTATAATTTGTACCTGCACAATAGTACCTGCTAGATGTCCAAGAGTTATAAAAATTTGTAGATTGCATGCATTAAATTGCATGTAGATGGTTTTTGCTCCATCCCATAGGCCCTAGGGGATAGGAACCTTGAAATTCACAATTTTTGTTTCCCTCATAAGAAGCATTTATATATCTAATTTGGTTGAAATACACATTTTTCAATGAATGATGCCTGGGTTTAAACTGTTTGATACTAAATACATGCATGTAATACAGGGGTTGAAACATACAGTAGCCCGACGCCCGGGGCTAGTCATTTTAAGACTCGGGCTAGCTAAATTAAATGTAACAATAGTCCGTCAGACTAGCAGAATGAAAAAAAAAATTCTCGTCAGTTTACTTTCTCTTTTCCATGAAGACTGGTTTCTTTTGACTGAGCACTTAGTTTAGTTTAATTTGTTCCTGTCAACAAAACGTTTGAAACTTAAACTTGTTATGTTTTCATTTTGCATAAAAATTGTTGGGCTAGTTAGTTTGAGGTTTGGGCTAGTAATTTTTTACTGATCAGTAGCCCCTGGACTAATGGGATTTTCATGATAATTTCAACCCCTGTAATAACTCCTCTTACCTGAAAGTCTCTGCAAAGCTTCATTTAGTTTTTCTTTTGGTGTTTTGTTCTGTTCATACCAGTCCTGAGAAGGTAGGGAAGGGACACAGGAACTTGTGGCTGGTAAGTAAAATAATTATTTCCTCACTAGAAAGCAAACTGGAAGCACATAATACAAAAAAATGTGTAAATGCTACAAGAGGATGCTTCCAAATCCAACTAGATATCATTGAGATGGTGGCCATCTCAAAGGGCCTCACTTTCAGCAACGAACATGAAAATGTAAGGTAGCTGAAAAGGGTTTATTTTGAAGAGGAACATTTGTGTACTATTAAGGGATGTGTTGTTTGAGTCTAAAGGGGTCAAAAAGTAGTCCCTTGACCTAGAAATTTCGTTCAAAGTCATTGCACATCCACTGACCAGTGGCATTGACCAGTGGCACTCTGTGAGTGAAGTATGAGCCACATTGGACCAAGGGGAGAGAAGATATGCTCCGGACAAGGATTTTTCATATAATTCTGCTATGACCTTAACCTTAGACCTAGAAACATGGTTCAAGGTCACTGCACACCCTCTACCCAAAGACACTCTATGGTGAAGTATGAGCCAGATTGGGCCAAGGAGAGAGAAGATATGCCCCGGACAAGAGATCTCGGACGGACGGATGGACAGACTGATCACTATAGGGCGCCCGCAGAGCAGGGCCCTAATTATGACTTATCATTGCTTTGCTATTCTTGTCAAGATTTTAAGATGTGGCTATAAATACTTTCCTATATGATTTAAACAAAGGATCTTTAATATTTAAAAGTAAATTTTCATTGGAATACAATTGGATATCCAAAATAAAGTCATATACTTAGAAAATAATTTCAGGTAAGAATGGCAAGAATGATGATAATGCAATAGTCACATATATTATCAAAGTAAAAAAAACCAGAAATATTTTACCTTCAGTTTTTGTTTGTGTGCAT